CAATCACAGAAGCTGATTAGGAAGTGATTAGCATGCAGTCGGTTCCTCTCTTTCTCCCACAGTGTCCTTGTGAATGCAGAGGAGGGGGGCAATAATGTCCCATCTGGACACACACTCTGCATATAGTTGGAAAAATGTTGTTGGGATTTGTGAGACAATATTATACAGTTGATATTTACAGGCAGACAATACACAGTGTGTTTCTGGAACATGTGGTTATAATCTATATATTTTGTAATATTATATCCAGATCAGATGACTGTATAAGCTTGATTTAATGACAAAGACACAGATTATTATCCTACTACAGAGCGTTTTAATCTAATAGCTCATTGTTTTGGTGATATGGCTTAAATTTGACCATTTAAGCACACTCATATTGTTGTTTTGGTCCGCAGTAAGCAGCTTTTTCAGACAGAGATCCCTGAAAATCCTACAATATACCGTAAGCTTTGCACCAACAAGCCTAGATGGTTAACAAAGTAGAGCATTTAGCTGCTGAACAGACAGATATTTCACAAAAAAGAGATCAAATGAGAGTAAATATTGTACTTGCACAATTTCAAATAAATGCCTATGTCTGCTGGATGTTTAAACAGACAACTGTTTGCAAAAACAACTTCATATACACCTAAAAAAAAGGACAATATGTCAGTGTTTAGGGGTTGTTTCTGCTGAACCCAAGAGGCTAACAACATCAGTCATTGCACGTGTATTGAATTACAGTTTTGTTTACCACCAACAGAGCATTGAAGTAGCATCAAAGATAACTACTCCATCAATAGATAGATGGATATATTTGAAACTTATGAAACACTTAAGTAAGACATGGCTTGCGTCCTTTCTCTCCCAACAGAAGTAAAATAATAGTTCACGGTCTGGTCTTTTCATTATTGGCAGCATCGATCAGCTGTCAGATGCCTGAGTCGGTTGATGTGTGTGTGTTGGTTTAAGTTGGCAGGACATTGAGCAAAGGCAGAAGTGTTAGCTGAGAACGTGGGCGAGTTGCAGGAGGTTTGTGTGAGTGTGTGCAGAGAGTTTCACACATATTACCGCAGACCCCCTTTTTCAGCACACACACATACATACATATGGACACACAGCAACTTTGTTTAGTGTGTTTACAGCGAGAATGTCTATCTGAGGTGTGCAGACGAGGGAAAAAGGAATGCTTTACGATTAAGGGTGTGAAGCGGAAATTTAAAACAAGGACATGTTTTTCTTCACTGCTAAGCCAAGGCAAAATACCTCTTCCATCACGGCACTATATCCGAGCTGAGTGGATCTGTGTGTGTGTGTGTGTGTGTGCGTGTGTGTGTTTGTACATAGTTAAAAGCCCACAGCACATACTGCCTTTCTAACACGGTGGGTTTAAATCCAATCTCTCTGTCCGCTGTATACTGCTTTCAGAGGCAGAGATTCCAGAAAAACAGCTTTGAAACTGAATGGAGCTTCTGTATGGATTTTGTAGTTTTTCCGAGGTTAAACAAGGCCAAACAAATGCTTTAGCATGTACCGAGGCCTAAGTACTTCTGCAATGCCAAAACTATGGACCAACAATTTATCACTGGAAGAGAAACACACCAAACTTCTTCAGCTTTACACTAAACGAATGCTAACACATTTTACTATCCCGCCACCTCTAGAAGCCCTCAGCACATACCGGTTTTTGAGCAATTAATACATTATTTGTTATTTTTTATACTCCTAACCTTTATCCAAAATATCTTACAGACAACTAATATTAACATGCTATTTTCTTTTACCTTTCCTTGCACCTCTGCTTACTTGGTTTATATTTAAATATGTCTGGGATTTTAGCCTTTGCTGACCATTTACAGTACATGCCGACAAACGTATATAACACACCACAGGAAAGGGTAATAGTGCCTCTTTAAACCACCACCAAACATTCAGGATAGGCTTCACAGTAAACTACAGTATTTACATAATACATAATACATTGTGTTATCATTCACATTAGCAATCAAACCTAACATTGGAGGCATGAATGACAACTGCTCAACTTGTCTCATCAAAGATTGCAAACTAATCAAAGACCATAATCAAACAATCAATGCTGTTTTTTTTTAAATGTTCTTACCTTGCTAATTCAACTTGAACGTCATATTACTGAATGATGATCAAACCTTATGGGATTTATTTGGGAACCAAGATACAGTTAATACAGATACAGGACAAAGAGTACTAAGACCTCTATGGTGCTGCTATGCACATGGTCATTTCCACAACCTTACTCTCTCTTTGCCAACAATCTGGAGGTCCTTTCTTCACTAAAAGCGTAGAAAATGCATAAATGTGGAAAACGTACGATTCTGTTGTTAACAAAAGATAGTATTTTCCACTATAGAGGCATAACATGCACAAGGTTACCCTTTTCTATAAACAGGCAGAAAGCATACCTACACTTGTCCTTGCCTAGGCGGCACACTATTCCCATTCACATGCAAATGGCTCCTGCTCTTTTAACCCATGCAGAGAGAGCTACCTGACAACAAGATGTAACCTGACACACACACTGTGGGAGACAGGAAGTCATGGAGTTTCACACACACACACACACACACACACACACACACACACACACACACACACATACACATACACATACACATACACATACACATACACATACACACATACACGTACAGCAGCATTTGTTGGACATCAGTTAAGTTAGATTCTGTACATCCAAGTCATAATATAAAAGTTTGGAGTAGAAAAATGCGTGGTCTACTTTGTGCCCTCTACTTGTCCGAGCATTTTTCGCTTTATGACTGGAGGTAACTCGCTGTGACAAAGGCTTAATTGAATTGAATCGGAGTTGCACGAGGAGAGGCTGGTTTAAAGAATGACGCCCAGAGGAATGTGATCCAGTGCATCTCTGACGCTGTGAGTCACAGGCAGCCGTACAGCCGGCAGCCGAAGACAGTCGCTTAGTTTGATGTTAACTTGTTTCTCCTCCGGCGGCGGCTGTCACCTCTTGGTATCCCTCTGTAGCAGAGCTCGGATCAGCGGGGTATCTGAGGGCCTGTCGTTTTGCTCTCCATCACAGCCGCCGCAGCTCGCTCTAGGACACAGGTAGCAGAGCTGCAGCACAAACTGAATGCTGGGAGATTTATGTCGCTGGCCGTGCCGGTTAATGACAGTGCTTCATGGTGGCTTGCTTTCATATACCTTCTTTCCTAGAGGTCTCTTAGTGGTCCTGGTTATAGTGTAAACATTGCACCTGTGTATCTTGGTGTTGAATTTCTTTCATTACTTATACTCTCTGGAAAACTGAAGGTTAAACACAAATATTAGACGACAAAGACAAATAAATGAAAATGTTTTTTATTTAGCCTTTCTTTGCTCTGCAATACTTATTGTTTGCAGTTCTAATGAACAATTTAGCTAGGTCAAATAATGTTGGCATCCGGACTAAGAGTGTCTTACCTTATTATAGGGCTGCTCGATTATGGCAAAAATCATAATCTCGATTATTTGGGTCAATAATTGATATCACGATTATTCAAAACGATTATCCATTTACTTTGAAAACATCCATTTATTTAAAAAGAAAATGTGAACAGTATGTTTTTAACAGTTGATTACCCTGAACTTTAAGTAAATTCAACTGAAAAACCCATTAAAAAAAAAAAAAAAATAAATAATAATAATAATAATAATAATAAAAAAATAATCGTTTTATTTCGATTACGTTGTCTTCGTAATCGTTGCAAGCCAACATCGTAATTGCGATTAAAATACGATTAATTGAGCAAGCCCTATCTTATTACATTACATGGCGCAAACAAGTTTATTAATTAAATTACCTCTCAGATCTTCAGGTTTGTTTCTGTGCTAAGGTTGAACTGGGCCTTTAGTCTAGAGCTGGGCAATACATCAGTATAATATTGATATTGGGATAAATCATTCATTATCATCTGGGGTTTGGTTATTTTAATCACAGAAAACAGCTTCTTAAATGATTTTGTATTCCTCATTGACAGTAGACATGAAACAGTCAAAAACATGACCTTTGATGATGTCATCTTGGGATTTGGGAAACCCTAAATAGTCATTGATGAATCGAGAAAATAATCAATAGATGAATCAACAATGGAAGTAATACTTAAGTGCCGCTCTTATATATTGCAAATCACGTTCATAAAACGATATAAAAGATCTTCTCCTACTTTGGCCAATGTCGAAAAGGACAAATATGACGCACATAACCACCAGTGACTTGAATCAGATGGCATTGTGGCTTTTCTTAGCCATATCTCTCCTGGCCATTTTATTAACACAAGCCCTGCATCGCTCTCAGGTCAGTGAATCAGATGGCTGGCAGTAGCCCGATAGTTATTTCTATCAGCGATATTGTCATTACAAGCCACATATCATTGCAAGTTGATTGTTCGGCTGGCCGTCAGGGACACGAGGCGTCTCTCTGCGTTAGAGCGAGTTCCTGTTGGGGCGGGGCCACGGGGGGGCCAGCTCACACATGGCGGTCCCGAGGCCGCGGTGCTGGGCTCAGATGATCCGCTGCAGGCCGTGATGGCTGAGTCAGAGGTGATCCTGAGCGGCGCTGAGTGATGACTGTTGGAGCTCAGACTCCTGGTGCTTTGTTAATGAGCTGAGACACGCACAGAAAAACAACACACGAGAAAAGTTTGACTGCATATGCAATATTCAAATCGCAGGAGGTGCAATATTTGTTCTCGGCGGCAGAGATATTCTGGCCTATAAACGCTATTCTAGACTCCAGATCTTCATTAAAAATCACACCATGATCATTTGAATATATTTTTCAATGATCATAAATCTAATAAGTAACCAAAATGATCAATCCCAGTATGCATCTTCATTTGTCATTGTTTCCCAAATCCTATTTCCAGCCCTAAATAGGACTAGGGAGGAATTCATGTTGCATTACTAAGTATTAGATTGAATTCAATGATCACTATGATGTGAACTAAATGTGTTTCTCTTTGCAGGGAGCTGCATGTTCGATGAGGGTCTCGCAAAGTGTGACTACCAGCAGGATCCCTACGATGATATTGACTGGACGCACATCAACACACAGGAAGTGGCGTACGTCTCTCCAGAACTGCCCAAAGGTGAGACTTCACTTCCTTTCTCCTGTCTCTCTCATACACCGTGTTTAAAACGGCAATCGTTATTGATCTGTGAGAAATACTTCTGATGGTTTTTCAAAGTACTTTAAAATAGAACACTATCAATTGTTATGGAGTATCTTTTCGTGGTTGTATTGTAGCTCTTATTCAAGTGAAGGATCTGTGTACCTCTTCCACCTCTAGCACCTTGTCCTCCTCTGTCTCCTCTTTTCCAAGACATCCTCTCCTCTTTAATCAGTTGTTTTTTTTCTCCGTGGTGATGATGAAGGGGAAATTAAATCTTTCTGCCGTAGGGCTGAGGGTCTAATTAACAGAATATGAGATCATTAATCAACGGCGGGGAACAGGGAAGGTTGCCTACATTACAATCTTAAAAAGCTAAATGTTATAGCAATAACCAGCTATACAATGTTGAGATGGTAACTGGCGTCAGAACAAATTAAAACCACAGCCTAAGAGGAATTTTGACTCGAGTATGAACAATGATGTTAACCACATTAAGGAAAGCATGTTCAAATATTACAACCACAAATTGGCTTTGGGTTTGTTCACATCTTTTCTCTCTAATCCTTTCCTTTCCTCTAGTCTCCTTCCAACATTTCCTTTCCTTTCCTTTCCTCTAGTCTCCTTCCAACATTTCCTTTTCTTTCCTTTCCTTTCGTCCACTTGTCCTTCTCGCCTCCTCTCCTGTCCTTTCCTTTACTCTCCTCTCAGCTCTTTTCCCCTTTTTTCCTCTACTCTTGTGTCCTCCAAATGTTTCTTTTCCTCTCCTTCTCTGTCCTCTAATATACTTTCCTCTCTCTGAACTTGCCTCACTGTGCCTCCTTTCTTCTCATTTCCTTTTATCTCATCTCCCCTCCTTTCATATTGTGTCCATGTGTTTCCTTTCCTGTCATGTTGTCTTTTTCCCTGTCTTCTATTCCCCTTTCCTCTGTTGTATCATCTCCTTTGCTTTCCTTATTTCTCCTTGTGTCTCCTTTCCTCTTCTCTAGTCTCCTTGCCTCTTTTCTCCATGTGTCCCCTGGTGTCTCATTTTCCTCTCTCTAGTCCTCTTTCTTATCATCTCCTCTCTTATCTTCTCCACTCCTTTCCTTTCCTCAAGTCTCCTTTCCTTTCCTCTCATCTAGTCAAATGTCCTCTTGTCTCCATTTATCTTCTTTCCTCACCTCTATCCTCTTGACTCATCTCCTTTCCTTTCCTGTCCTCTTCCTTTGCTTTCCTTATGTCTCATTCTGTCTTCTTTCCTCTCCTAAGGTCTCCTCTCTGTTTTGGTAGATTACGACCATGTTACCATGACAATAATATGTGGTTATTTATCTCTCATGCTTATCATCCTGACACCCCAGCCCCGCTGACATTTAGAGAAAGGTTCAGTTCAACACCAGCCCTTTAGGATTTTCACATAAACACACACCTCCTCCCAAACTGAGTGTTTACCTGCGGTCTTGCATATATTTACTATGACACAAGAGCGGGGGGCCTCATCCAATGGTACAAAATCTAACATTTAGTGATATTAATACAAAGTGGTGTCACTAAGCAGAGTGGGCACTTTGAAGAGGTTAAATACGTGGCCCGAGCGCGCAGAAGTTATGCCGGGAATTAACATAGCATTACCTCCTGTAGGAGTGTGTGGGATGAGCGGGGGGGGGGGATGTCAGGGCAGGTTAATGGTTTGGAGATGTTGGTTCAGAGTGTTGCCTAAAGGTACGGGAGCACGAACTGACATTTGATGTGTTAATAATGCCAGCAGGGTGAGGGACAGCGGTGCTTGAGGATGGGAAACGAGGTTGCTGGAGGGGATTATAGATATGGCAAGGTCTTGTATTTGGAAGAAGGAGCAGGGAACGGGTGAGGGGTTGAGCTGAAATGCCTTGCCATGGGAAACATTGTTAATGCCTATTATTAGGATTGTTGTTTTGTCAGGCTATCCCAGCCACCAGTAATTTAGGAGTTCTCTGGTCCGGCTGCCGTCTCCCTGAGGCCGGGGCATGATTTAGAGAGGAGGCAGTAAAGCATTTGGGCTTTTGACCCCTTCAAACAAAGAGATATCTACTCCCTTTGTTCAGGGAGGGTTGCAGGGAGTATATGGCACCTCAAAGACCTGTGGGAGTTAGTTCATTTTACTGATTACCAGTTCAGAAGGTTGTATCTATAGTCAAAGGCATTGGGAGAACAAAAGGCGTCATATTAAGGCTTTACGTAGAAGATATTTCAGCTAACAATTATAGTTTTGTTCATAATAATCCACATTGCTAATCACCATTTGTGCTTAAGGCGGTATTTAGAGTAGAGGGATGGTTTGGCAGTTTTTTTGAAATAGAGATAAAACTATTCAGTGTAATCTCTCTGAGGGTTGATGTTGGCACTAGCCTCCATGGCAGGGTCGACATGCTACGCTGGCAGCGCGCGTTGTGCCAGTTGAACATTCATGGGCTGGGGCTCTGGGGCTCGGCGGACTAAAGCAGATACTCTTGACTCATAATGTTGTCAGCCAGTACCACTCTAAACCTATTTGGCATGCCATTCTCTCCGTGTCTCTGTCTCACTGTCCTCTTGTTTTCCACAGTGTACTGGCTAATAAGGGAGGAGGAACAAATGCATTTATACTGCAGTAGAGCTGCTCTCTGGACCAATGGATGTTTTAATAATGAGAAAATAATGATGGTTGCAGCAACACAAATTAAGCAGCCTTAAAATGACTATTAAATCAAAGATCTATGACAGAATCCATACAAAACTTGATCATTGAGCTTAACAAAAGTAGTATGTGTTGCATTGGATTGCATTTGATTGTTTTAACCCCATAAAATACATATTATTTGCTTATTTGCACATTTGAATCAGAATCAGAATCAGGTTTATTGCCAAGAAGGTTGACACATACAACTAAATTGCTTTTGTTTAAATGGTGCATACAAAGTGCATAAAGCAACAAATATTGGTGCTCTTAGGAGAATCTAGTATATTTCAGATTGTATAGAGGCAGTCATAAGAAACACTTTCAAACCTCCATTCAAACGATAGATATTAAAGACAGGTTTATAGAAATACCAGAGGAACGGAAAGATTGAATTGTGAAGGGAAGAGACTCCAAAGTTTGGGAGCAACAATGGAAATTCCTAAACACCCTTTGATTTTTAACTGGAAACATGTGATGAAGAGCAGCGATAGAGTCCATGCAGGGCTTTCAAATAAAGTGATCTTCAAATCAGTTCCATATTTGACATTAAATGAACTTAGTGTTGTTGCTTTATTCTGGACAAGCGGCATCGTTGTTTAGAAGTATTTCACTGGGGTATGCTACACCAAGAGAGTCAGATTGTCTACATCCCACTCAGTATGGTTGGTAGCATATTATTTTTTTCCTATTAGCTGTTATCCCAACTGAGGGCTGTTTCTATTTTGCAGAAAAATACTCTATGTACGATTCCTCAGCTTCTGCCGCTGCTGTTGTTGTTATGTGACATATCTAGGTCTTAAGGCTGTCTCAGGGGTATTTTTAGCCCCGTCGTTACATTGTGCTGTTATTCTATTAGCGGCCATTTTAGTTCAAAGACATCAGCCATTTTACAAGCTGGCAGACTTCAGGTGTCAGATGTTCTTGGCATCATACGGTCTGCTTTCTTAACATGTACGATGTTTAATTTGCATGTACTGTCAATCTTTTACTAATCATAGTTTTTCAAAAGCCATTTTTGTCGGATTTCTTGAACCATGCAGGTGAATGCCTGCTTTACCAGGTTGGACATTGGCTATTTACCAAATATTATTCAGCTATTTTTACCAATCCTTTATCAATTTGTTTTTGTAATTTGTCAGCTGGCAGTGTTTTGCTAAGAAGAGGTACTAAAGGTTATATTTGTGTGTGTTTTGACATATCTGGGTCTCTGAATGATAGGAATATTTTGAGCTAGCACACCATCTTGGCAGCCATCTTAAAGGCACTTGTCACCATCTCAGTATCACTGCCAAAATATTGAAAAATAGGAGTGACATCCATCGTGTTTTCATTTTGGATTGATATAGATTACAGAGAAGGAGACAGATGATGGTGCTGGCCTTGCGTCGTTTCTCTTGTGATGGCTGCAGCCCTGTTTTCTGATTTTGTGTCATTTTGGGGACAACCAGGAAGTAGGATTTTGTTACGACTGAAATAGAAGTGTGAGTTTTTGTATGTGTGTGTGTGTAGGCGTGAGTGGGAAAAAGAGAGATCAAGAGAGGGAAGCAGAGCCAATCCAATAACTAGGATACAGTGTTTGGCTTTGACTGTGTGTGTGTGTGTGTGTGTGTGTGTGTGTGTGTGTGTGTGTGTGTGTGTGTGTGTGTGTGTGTGTGTGTGTGTGTGTGTGTGTGTGTGTGTGTGTGTGTGTGTGTGTGTGTGTGTGTGTGTGTGTGTGTGTGTGTGTGTGTGTGTGTGTGTGTGTGTGTGTGTGTGTGTGTGTGTGTGTACTAGTTGAAAGCCTCTTATGTTGTGCTGTAGTCTGCAGAGAAAAGTGTTTTCTCACAGCAGATTAGCTCAACAATAAGTGATAATCACTATTGTTCTTCAGCTCATTGTATACAGCACATTGTTTATTGTATAATATGGAAATAGATTTAACCAGTTGATTGGCGGGCTGTTTGTTCAACTGGAGCACAGACATTATGTTGTATTGTATTTTATTCTATGCACCTATTCTATTGAGAACTGTTATGGTAGTGTATCACTTCTCTATTTTCTTATAGGGCCACATTTGATGTTATTACACTCAAAGCTTCTATTGAGGTTTTTGAATGAAGCTTAAAATGTCTGTTGTCTGACTTAATCTTGTTATTTTTTTTTAATTCAATTTATATTATTGCAAAAGAGAGGAAATGGCTAATCCTCACATTGGAGATGCTAAAACTAGCATATGTTTAGCATTTTGCATATGTTTTTGCATTTTCAGTCTGAACCAATCGTGAAAGACCGAAATATATTGTAGCTATTCAACTTGTGTTCACGTAAAACAGAGAAACGCAGCTAATCCTCACATCGGAGATGCTAAAACTAGCATATGTTTAGCATTTTAACTTGAGAAACCATCTCAATAATTAATAATGAAAGATGGACAAACCAATAATCAATGCTTTGATTCAGTGCTTGTTCTATTCAATTCATTTATTTGATATCAATTAAATAGATATCATGTTTTTTTCGATGAGCTAATGTGAGATTGTGAGATTAGACATCAGGCAGGATAGGCTCACATTTCATCATATTTCACTGGAACAACATCTGGTTGAGGTCTGAGCTGATTACTGGAACATCTGGACGTCAGCTCACCCAGATTATAAATAATATCGAGCCACGTTCCCTATCATCCATTACTGTAAGTCCAAGGTATTTATTCAATAGTGACAGCAAGGATAATATGTACCTGCTGTACATGTATACAAACTTAGCTAACCAGTATTGACTGAAAACTTTCTCCAGAATCCGTAGGAATAAGAAAACTAATGGATTTATATTTGAAGGCAGCCAAGAAAGGAGGAATCTTTTGCGAACAAAATAAGACAGAAAATGGTAGCCCAGAGGATATGTTTAAAAAAATGCAATTAATCATGTAACGCCACTTGGTTGTTGCAGGTAATGATATGTTGCAGCCTGTGGAATTTTTTTTACAAGTGTGGTTAAGGAATCAAACATCAGCTACTGGTATCAACATGACATCATGCAAACTGCAACTGGATACTTGGAGACATGATTTTGATCAACTTTCACTCATTTTGATTGTGTAAACCTGCCTTCACGCTACACATTTGAAAATGGTATTACCTGAAAGCTGCAGAGTTGATATACCAAAATGAAAAGGAGACACTAAGGGAAAAAAGAACATAACATGAAGAAAGTAAATTAAAAAAAGTGTACTCCTTTCCTTTCTTCTCTTGCCCATTTCCAATGTGTATTTGGCTTGCTTAGAAACACATCATCACAAAGGGGAACAAATGACAAAAACACAGTAACAAGGTCTTTACATGTGGGGGGGGGGGGGGGTTGATGACTGATTTATGTACCATAAGCCCAAAAGAAATGAGAGAAGAGAGTAAACACATGCACATATAAAGGAAAGACTGAAGGCTCTTTGGAGTTTTTGTTCTCATGATAGGAAGTGTACTGCTTCAAAGTGTACATGTCAAACAGGAATGAGCAGGGAATAGAGAAGTTTACCTTGGCTTCCTGTTCTTTGTGTCCTAAATGACAGAAATGAGCTGTTAATGGGTTACATTCTTAAATTGGATTTCAGTGTTTAATGGATGGGACTCAAGCACACAATGTTGTCACAGAAGAATGCCTCTGATAGTTAATAATAATACATATCAGATGGATACAAAAAGGGGTTGGGGGTGATTAAGATTCAAGATGATACTTTTCACTACAGACAAAAGACAACAAAACCAATATGCAAAATAAAATAAAAACACTTTTTTAGCAAAAGCAAATTATGCAATGTTAAAAGTTGCTTTACATTTAATTGAACTACAATTACTTGAATTAACTGACCTGGCGTTGAAGAGCACTCATTTGTTTACACTTGTATTCAGTCACTGTAATTGGCCAATTCACATAACTGTTTTAGCTGTCGGTTTAAAGTGTTATGTCTTCAACAAGAATTATCTTCAAGCTGCAGAGAGTTGGTTTACTCGTGTAGGTACATGTAAGGCAGGCAGTGCGACTACAACATAGTTTTTGACGAGTCCAGTCGTAGAAACTAAAGTACCCCCTCACCACTGCTAGTCTGTTCAGGCACTCAATTACAGCAGGTATGTGGCGTACAAGCACAAACACAAAAAAAGCTGATTAAGAGGTCTCAGAAATCAGAGATATGTTATCCTCCCAACAGAGGGGAAATGAACAGAATACCAGCCAGATAACAGTAGTTAAAAGTATATACATATTTAGGTTTGATTGAAAAAACCCTGTGAACTAGATCCACCTTAAGTTAAATGTGATATTTCTTTTTTGACCCTCTCTTTGTCCCTGTGTTTAGGTACCTACATGTACGTGGACGTCTCGCAGCACGACAAGGGGACGAAGGCCAGGTTTCAGCTGCCTGTGATGAAGGAGAACGACACTCACTGCATCGACTTCAACTATCTGCTCACCAGCCCCGGAGGCTTCAGCCCCGGCACCCTCAACGTCCTGGTGAAGGTACTGAGAACAAACAAAAACAATAGAAATATGTAGTTTATTGCACTTAAAGGTCACCTATTATGCAAAAATGTTATACATCAACATGTGTCCCCTCTGTGTAAAGAGATACTGAAAGTTTCAGGAAAAGAGATTCGCTCACTTTTTGTCCTGATCCATTTATATAAAAACCTGTCTGAAAATGAGCTGATCAGATTTTGGCCATTTTATGATGTCATAACGATTATTTGGCTTGTGTAACCATTAGCCAGTCACCAACCAAGGTAACCCCCCCCCCCCCCCCCCCACCTTATGGGATGCTACAATGCATGATCTGTTTGGTATTTGGAGCCAAACACTTCAGAGACATGTTTTGTAAATATCTGAGACCTATAATATATTGATGAAAGACAGTATAATAGAGGACCTTTAACGGACTGAGACCGGACCCAGTAAACATACGTCCGTACCTTTTTTAATTAATTTTGAAACTGTGAACAAACAAAGCTGTTTTAAAAGCCTTTGCAAAGTGTCTGAGGCGAGGTTTGATTTCATGAAACACAAGCTGGATTGCAGTGTTTGCTTGTTGTTGTCTTCAGGAAACATAAGGTTCTTCTACTCCATAAAACAACTCTAGATGAGTTCAAGCGCCGAGTAAAAGCGTTCTGTTTGTCACAAAACCAGATGGTGAACAGAGCCTCTTAAGTTAAAACAAAACAAAACAGGATTTATGGGAAATGTGGTCTGGATTTTGAGAAATCGAACCACAAATGACGCAGTTAGCATGCAAAAGAGGCTTCAGTCTGTCTCGATTCAACCTACAGGTAAGGTTGTGCAATTAAGTGTAATAACTTCATTTAACAATAAAATGCTGACCTTTTTAAATCAGCAAACATACATCGCTGACACCCTAAGAATGTGTTTTGTTTAGAAGAATAAGGATGATCTATCAAAATGTGTTCGACAGACTTTTGGAAGTGTTTAGAAACCTAATTAACTGAAGATTACTCGTTACAGCATTTCCTGGTCCTAAACAGCAGGGGAGCATTATGAGTCGGAAGTCTGCCCTTGAATTTCATGAAACAAAATCAAATCCACATTACTGCAAATCCTTGCTGAAGTGTTGTTAAGCAAAATCGTTCTCCTACCAGCGTAAAGGTGGAGGTATAACTGACAAAGACCTCTGACCTCTTCATGTGCATGAGACAGCATCACCATTAAAATATGTATTTTGTTGAATTATTTGTTGAATATCTCCTTGTAAATGAAGCGATGCGTCTCTGGGTGCATCATGAAATATAAAGGACTGTGTGTTATGTATGTTTCATATCGTGTTCTGTGTCTCTTCTAGGTAAACAAGGGTCCCTTGGCCAACCCTATATGGAACGTGACCTCCTACACTGGTAAATACCGGCTTCAATTAATCTCACATTTCATAACTTATTCAGATTTGATTGTCTTGTGTTGACCGTATCGTCGTCTTTCAGGTAAAGGCTGGATGAAGGCAGAACTCGCCGTCTCCACCTTTTGGCCCAATGAATATCAGGTAACTCCCTCAATGATAACCAACAGCTGTGATACACACACACACACACACACACACACACACACACACACACACACACACACACACACACACACACACACACACACACACACACACACACACACACACACACACACCACACACACACACCACACACACACACACACACACACACACACACACACACACACACACACACATGCTATCACACAGACATGCTGGGAGGCAGCCGGCTGATTTATCTGTGTTGACTGAGGCTCAGGAGGTGACGATTAGGCTAAAAAGAGGCTGAACAGAAATGTTGTGGGTGTTTGTGTGGGGTGTGGCGGCCAATTGGACATTCATATTGTTGTAAATTCTGCTGTATGTCGTTGTTTTTAATGAACACCTTTCTCACAATGGGATTCACAGAGGTAGAAATGGTTGCATGAGTGTTAAACAACACATTTGCTTCAGTGTTTCTTCTTCTTTCTTAATATCCTGCTGTCAGTCAGCATGATCTGTGTGTCTTTGTGTGCTGGTGTTGACAGATGTGTGCACGTTGTGGGATATAGCTTGTCTCCAAATGTCCTCACAGGCACACACACACACACACACACACACACACACACACACACACACACACACACACACACACACACACACACACACACACACACACACACACACACACACACACACACACACACACACACACACACACACACACACACACACACACACACAGATCACTGATCATGTTCACACACACAGCCTCGGGACCCTGTAATATTACTGCAAGGCGAAGTGTGAAAGCATCCTCCGAATGGCCCATCTGGAGCCCGGTCCCCCTCAGTGACTCTGGGAGGAGATCGCCAGCATGAAACCCGTGTGTCAACATGTTTTAATTGAACATAATCATCCTGGTTTGCTGAGGCTTATGTAGGCCTTTCAGGCTATGAAACAGGTTATTGGATTTGAGGTTATGAAGCTATTTTTTCATGTTGGAACATGTTTCTGTGTTAGCACTTAGGCTTGAGATGTAATTAGACTGGTTTCACCAGGGGAAGCGCAGGCACATGCAGACACGTGTTGTGACACACACACACACACTCACACAAAAACTGATGTGCAGATACAAAGCACACCCACACACTGGCAGCACTTTTTAGACCTTGTAATTAAAATTGTGTCTTTATTTAAAAGTTTATTCTGATTGAAAACTTGCTTTTAGATGATCTTTGAGTTCCTTGACGCAATACGTTAAACCCACGGCAGAGTTAGAGATGCAGTGAGTCCATTAGTTGGCTAGATGATGAATAGAAAAGGATTTGGCAACTATTTAGATGACGCAAAACAATGTATTTTGCATCGCATTTTTTAATCGGCCAAACAACCGTCTCATGTAGTTATAAAAATAATGATGACGTTTAATCAAAGCGTTTTTAGAGGAAGCCCTAAACCTAGATGAATAATGACGATTCAAACTACAACATGAAGTGGAAAAACACTCCTCGCCTGCAGATTTAGACATTTTTGATGCTGTGGCCATACATGCATACATCAAAATGATTTATGCCTTAGTTGATAAGAGGATGTTCTCCCTTCTCTGGAGTGATGATATGTCAGTCCGTAGCCTTCAGCACATCACAGTTTCTCCCATGTGAGGAGTTGTATACCGAGCTATCAGTAATCCGTCCTCTCTCTGATGAGAGCAGTCAGGCAGGGAGCGTTCGACACCTGCAAGATCGAAATACTGTCTCCTAAGAGGTGACCATCAGCGGACCCCTGGACTCAAGGCTGAAATGAAAGTAAACAAGGAAACAGAATAAGCAGTGACTGACGTGACCCTTGGTATTGTGGAAAACACTTAAGATAAGATAAGATAAGATGGACCTTTATTAATCCCCGTGGGGAAATTCAGTTGTACAAGCAGCAACAGGGTAAGCGTGAAAAAACAGGACAGCAAAGATTCACACAGATTAATAAAATCAAAAATAAAATCAAGATAATAATGATAATAATAATAAAAGACTATGAAATAGGAGATGAGTAAAAATAAGAGTAAAATAACTGTCAGCATATATACATATTTGGTCATCCAAGTTATGAAGTCCGAAAAGAGTTAAAGTGACAAGTGAAAAGTGAAAATGGACATCTGTACATATAGTGACATATCTATGTACATATTTGGTCAACTACTAATATATTAACATGGGTTGTGGAAACAGTGTATATTTATGTCCAGTGATTTTCCACTTGAAGCCATTTTTTAAAAGACATGATCATTAATGGCGCAGTACACCTTGGACTAAGTCTCATATGCAAGACACAAGGCTTAAAAACACACTCTTACATCTGGCTTTTGTCTTCAGTTGGAAAGGTTGCTATCAGCATTTATTCTCTGGACAAATGACTGCAGTACTCACAGGTATTTATGGGGTCCAAGCAGCAGTGGTAGAAAAATGACACCCAGAGGGGTATGAAAATGTTTAGCCCTTTTTGGGGCCCAATGCTATGTGACATGCATTAGATTAAGATGGATTTACTCTCCTCAAAGCCAACAGATTCATAAACAGATCAAAACTGTCTTTCATAGTATTTCCGCTGTTTTGAAAATCATCATCTCTGGAGTGAGACGCATATTTACTAACGCATATAGTGTAAAAAAAATGTAAGCACCGCTATTTACTTACCTAGATTTTTGGTGCATTTGTGGCGGAAAAAAAACGGGTGTGACAAAAAGGTGTATGCATTGGGAAATAATCTTTCACCAATGTTAAGTGGGGTTTTCTTGCATATCCACACTAACTTTGGTGAGAAAAGACTAACAATCCCATGAAACATGATTCAGAGACATGAGAGACTTGCAATGGACACTATGCATATTAACTGTGGGTGTTTCTCAATCGCGAGTAAAGCTGCTTCAGAGTCACTATTTCAAGCATACTACGTCATCGAGTGCCGCCGAAGTACTGTTCCAATCTCCAGCATACTTGGAAATCTACCGAGCCCGGCGTACTCCGTTTGGAGAAATATCGAGGCTGCACATGAGTAGACTCCGCGGTCTTAAAATCCCCACAATGCTTTGCGCACGGACCAATTTCCAAAATCTGTGGCGGAAAATGTAAGGCGGGGCGTCTCATATGACGCACACCTGCACACTTGCTAGCGTGTTCCACTCTTTGTTTTCCAAATGTCAGGAAGTATTCTTGACTCGCTTCTGAAGCAAGATGCTCGGCAGACATGTGCTACCAAGCAAGCGTACTCGCGATTGAGAAACACCCAGTGACGTGCTTTCGTGGACTTTTCATGTGACTTGCTTTCCCTCAAAACTCACCTTTTCACTCTTGCCTTCAACTCCTAATCAACTAACCCCTTGCCCTTATTCCACCTAGCTTAGCACTTTCTACTTTTGTTGTTATTTTGTTTGACTTGCTTGTAAGCGCTTTGAGCACCAGGAAAAGCGCTTTATAAATGTAATGTATTATTATTATTATTATTATGGACTTCATTTGACATAACATTTTTTTATTTTTATAACTAAGGTTATAATTTCTTCGAAAACTGATTTTTTTCAGATAAATTACATTAATATATTTGCACACGTACATATACTCACAAAGGAGGTCATGCTATGGCTACTAAAACAATAGTGGTTGCATTAATAATCAATAATCAGACTGTGGAGGCAGGCAGACAGACGGGGAATGAAGGTATTAAAAGTCAACTGATGTCTTTCTGCTGCGCCCCGTACTGAGCTATGAGTGAAAGATGATAGAAGAGAGGAAGACGGGAGATAGATTGGTAGGGGAGGGAGACAGAGAGGGGGAGAGTGTGACAAGCAGGGGATGATAAGCTATGGGTAAACAGTTCACGGCAGATTTCCCTTTACAGGTGATGAATAACAACAACGGCTCACCCCCTCACTCTCTTTCTCCCCCTGCCTCTCCTTTTTGATAGCCACCTCATCTCCTCCCTCTTCTCCTCTTTTCATTACGGCGCGCCTAGCTGAGTAAACACAGTTAGAAAACAGAGAGGAGTTAGGGGAGAGAAATGGCTCGAAAGAGGGATGATGATGGAAAAAAAACAGAGTGGAGGAGTGAGTATTGGAGGAAGGGAAGAAGAGATAAACGAGGATGAAGAGAGTAGTTATTTAGACCATGAGTTGATAATGGCTGAAATGGAAGCACCTGTTGAATGCAGCATTCACACTCTACTTGAAATATTGAATTTAGAGAAGTAGCATTAGACACAACCACTAAGAGTAGTAAATTACAGCTAATGACCATCATTTGGAGATCCCATTCAACATCTTTCCCTCAGTATTGCTTCTTTTTGTAAGATGTGAAGGAAAAACCAATAGATGGGATCCAAGCCTTCATTTCTCTACCTTACCATGTTTGGTTTCATTACTTGGGATTACTTTGATCCAACAGGAAGTATCTCATTCATCCTTTATGGCCTGAATGTATAAATCAAGTAGCAGTCGCGATGGCAGCTTTGTATTTATCCAGTTTAGTGCACATCACCGACTTTCTATCTACCCTGTGCCAACTCTGATTGGATCCATCACTTTGACTGCAAATTTAAATGGCGAGAGTCTTACTGTGGAGCTGCTAGTGCTCCCAGGATGATCTAAAGCCTATGGGGCACAGTTTCTGATTTAGTTACAACACTTAAGAGGGTTGATGATTTTGCATCTGATGAGCAAACAGAGCATTTTGGTTATGTAAGGTTTCTCCTAGGAAACATTTCCAATGTTATTTGTGTTTTTGTACTTTTATGATAGCTTTAAGTTATTCTATTCACAGGATAATGGAGGGTAAGAGCTCGCTCTCTCTTTTCTGTGTTTATTTTAATTAACCTTACTTTCAAAAAGTCAATTTCGAAGTGCACTCAGCAGAAATGAAAACAAATAAACGGACAATGGGTCAATTAAAAGCTTCATATAATTTATTCAAAATTTGTTTCAGATGTATTTAATCTTTATTTAAGCATTTCTACTGCTACTAGTAATACTCTCCTTTAATGTGGAACCACTGTTTTGATGTATGTAGATTAGTTTGTTTTTATTTGCCTTTATTCAAATCTCTTTTGTGAAACACATTTGAGCTGAATGAAACTACCTGTTTGAATAAATTATTGTATTTTTGAAACAATTTTACCCAATTATAATAGTAATGAAGACAAAAAAGCTAAATCTCTCTCTCCTTTTTTCTCAGGTCATTTTTGAAGCCGAGGCTTCGGACGGCGCCGGCTTCATCGCCATCGACGACATTCAGGTGCTCAGCTATCCGTGCGGTGAGTCATTAGCATTGCCAGCAATTAGTCCTAGTTCGCTGAATAGCGGCTGATAGCTTTGGCCACTAATTAGACTGTACCTGGGATGGTTTCTGTTGCACTTGAATGGCTAGATAAGTGGGAAGGTGACACAGTGAGGGAGGGATGCGGCGAGAAGAGAAGACAAGTTGTGGAGAAATATGAGAGAAATAAAAAAAAGGGGAGAGAGATCGGGGAGAAAGGAGAGAGTGAAGCGGGAAATGAGACAGTATTAGGGCAATCATAGAGAGAGAAGATTCTGACCACTCAGCAGTTTCCCTCTCTCTTCAACACACACACACACACAGTTTCACACACAGTGAACAGTAGCTGTCTTGTCTCACGCTGACAGGAAAGAGATGAGGGCTGCGATCCATTTTAAATTCTCGCTACGTCTCAAATCGTCTTCTCTCTTTCGCTTGAGTGTTTCCTTACTTCCAGAGGGCAGAAAAGAGTTGCGACCGCAAAATGTTACCGTTAACAGAAGGGTCTGTTAATCTCAGGCCTCGGGCAGTTCCTGGAGGGTCTGTGTGTTGGATAGGAAGCAATTACAACTCCTGTTGGTCATCTGTCTTGTAGCCGCACTGAAATCTCTGAGGACAAATGTATTTTCTTAATAGATTCTATTGATTAAAAGTCATAAAGATAAACTGTCCTGCACCGCCCTCTTGTTCCATTTGTGAGGTCCGAGTATGTCTGTTTTCCCTTTCCCTGTCAGGAGGTAGCATTATGTATCTGACAGAAATTACAGGACATTCATTCTGTCAATAAAGTTACCTGCAATCCGAATAAATAAGCGCCCCAGTTTGTTAAAGGCGGAGGAGCAGGACTCCTAATGTGAAAGAGCAAGTATTTGAAAAGGAATTAGTACTCCACAGTGGAAGCATTCATTCTCACAGCTGCATTTCTGGACACACAGGTTTGTGTGTGTGTGTGTGTGTGTGAGTGCATGCGTGCAGGCTAGTCTGTGAGTGTGTGTTTTCATTCACCATAGTAGCTGCTATCTATGATTGCAATCACCTCCCCAGAATAAGAATATGATAGCTGAACTGCATCTTCAGGGTGTGAAAAGCTTATTTCATGTCTTAGCACAGTCGTTAGGAATCTGGAGATATCAGAATTATACATACTGGATGTGACATTGATGTTACCCCCCAGTGGCGATGCAGCACCGCGCTTCATCTGACTCCAGTGAAATCTAATCTCAGTAATAATAACCTCCTTGGTGGAGGTAACAATGAACCTGAGGGTTTGAAAATGTCCTGAAATGTACTCAGTGTGTGATAACCTGACCTGTTTGTCTCTATAAAACTCCCTCTGGCTCTGTCACCTTGTTTCCACTTCTTTTAACAGACAACTAATAAACCAAATGCATACTGTTAACCTTGCTGTAAACTCAATGGAATTTGTCTAAACCTCATTTGCTCTGTAGATAAATCTCCTCACTTTCTTCGTCTCGGGGATGTGGAGGTGAACGCCGGACAAAATGCCACATTTCAATGTATCGCTACAGGACGAGAAACATCCAACAACAAACTCTGGCTGCAGGTAAAACTATACACATGCACCACCATTCAAACGGTCTACTGCTATGGGGTGAATAAGAAATGATTGCTACACATTAATACTGTATTGCTGCAATGTGTCTGTTTTTATAGAGGACAACAAGTCAACATGTTTTCATACTTAGGTTTTATGGTAAATAGCCCTGAAGATAGTTTTTAGATCTTTTTGACCCTCTCAAATATGTCTTAGTCAGCACTGAAACATTTCAAATGACAAAATGTATCCCCATGCACTGATTCAAGATATAGTTGAATGGTTAGATAATACACAACAGATTTAATCGTAACTATACGCAACCCAAAATAATAATCATGTAAACAGTTTGATGCTCAACACTGTGTGCATTACAGACGTGTTAAATTGGTAGAGGCAGAAATCATAGCTCAAAAATTAGCAAAATCTACATGGATGGATGCCATTCGGTAGAAATGGAAAACACGTTTTCTTTTGTCATTTGGGTAAACTAACCCTTTAATATGAGACTTTTAATCCTTACTTAATACATTAAAAATGGAAACAAAAAATACATTAGCTTGCACCCAAAATGATGGTTTAGAAATAGACAAACACAAAGAAATGAAACGTGGTATTCAGTGTGCCATCCTCTGGACTGGTTCATCCAATAATAGTGTGTCATACTCACACACACAAGCACACACACAAAGAGCGACCCCCGGGCCATACATCCTAGCAGCTAACATGATTAAGAGTTTAATAGCTGCTGATTTCATTACGGCTCTATTGTAGTCATGACCTTCAAACCTGCTGTCAGTGAGGCAGAGGGGGGCGTGTGTGTTTGTGTGTGTGTGTTTTCGGTGTGTGTGTGCGTGTGTGTGTGTGTGTGTGAGTGTGTGTGTGTGTGGTCCAGTGCTGCCTTGTGACCTAGAGCAAGGCAGCTTAACCCTCTACCAGCCTCTGCAGACCCTGATGTCTGTCTGCGTTTTTCTCTTCTGTGATTCAGAGGAGAAATGGAGAAGATATTCCCGTGGCTCTGACCAAAAACATCAACCACAGACGCTTCGCCGCCACCTTCCACCTTAAAGAAGTCACCAGTCAGGACCAAGACCTGTACCGCTGCGTCACCCAATCAGATCGCGGCTCCGGGGTTTCAAACTTTGCGGGTCTTATCGTCAGAGGTGAGTACTTTTCTTAAATATAATTTCAAGGTAATTTAATTGTTTTGCTATCTCTGCAGTACATTTGTTTTATTTAGTTTTCTCTGAGTTATTATTTGATACCTCAGCTTTAGTAGATACCTAGCTTTCAATAGTGGTTAAGGCTGCTCGGGTGAAACACTATTGTTGTATAAATACCCCTCATGTTACCCCACAAACTTATATAGTAATTCATTGATATGCTCACTTTTGGCCATGGAGGTCAACACCAGGTTACTTATTAGTAAGCTAATAGGTGGAAATGCTAGCATTTAAATGTTTAGGCTATTTTAAAGACCAAACAAACACACAATTATATAAATTCCTTACATTTTAGCTCATGCTTTTGTTCGTTTAACAATGCAAAAAATAATGCATGAGTAAGATAATATCAACAAGCTCTACTACCACTTCACCATTTGGGGAAATCAATTTCCTGAAGCAACCGTTGGAAAATAGCTAAGGCTGCTAAGCTAATATTAAACAATCGCACTTTTTTCAGTAATCTGTTATAAAGTTGATTTGAATCTTTCGATGACCCTTGACCCAGTTGTATATATTGTGTTATGGGTAACTTCATATTGTGTTTAACTTTTGAAAAATGTTGAATGTTGTCTTTCCAGTCAAATGTGCACTCACTGTGTCTGACTGATAAAATGTAAGTCGCTAACACAATAATGAGGAGAGTATATGTAGATGTGTGTATGCCAGCCTTGTGTTTGCATGTGTGTGTGCGCTTGTGTGGGTGTGAAGCAGCTACAATAGTGTGCACATGTGTATGCAGCAAATGTGTGTGTGTGTGTGTGTAAATGGAAGCTGTGTGTGCTCCAGCTGTCATGTGCAGCTGACATGTGGTTAATAAGGTGTCACCAATGTGTGTTTGAGACGGGATGCTTTATTCATTCACATCCAATAGCTTACATATTCAATTCATCTCCCAGAGAGAGAGAGACAGGGGGAGGAGGGCAGAGCGAGGGGTGAGGGCGAAAGAGATTCAGAAAGAATGATAAGGGAGTGACATAGAGGAGGAGGGGGAGAGATACGGAGGAAGAGGAGGGGTGAGCAAAGAGAGAAGTGGAGATGGTGAAGAAAAGTGAAATGTAAATAGTCTGCTCATTATCTCGAGAATATCCATATCAGAATCAGGAATATGTCTGAATATGTAAACAGCCGAGCTGAGTTATGATTATTATTCTGCATAAGGAATGGCAGAGGAGAAAAGAAATGAGAAATCAAAGCAGAAGCCAGCAACATGAATATTAATTTCAGCTGGCGTGGCTCAGATAATGGAGCTCTCACACTGTCCAGTTTAAAGGTTTGAATCCATGTCACATGAGCAAGGGACTATCATCGCTTAACTTAGGGTTACAATCCCCACTGGGAGGGTTTCCTCTTTGGTCAAGAACATATGGCGTTTTTTGAGACGCACTCTTCTGCAGGACCTCGCTGAAGTGGTAGGAATACGTAAGTGGCTAATGTTTATTTATCATGAACATCTTTTTTTGAGTTTGAGAAGAAAGAGGGATGAAGGATCCGCTCAGAAGGAGGCATGTGTCTTAACATGAATAGGACTAATCTACATATATGAAAATAGACTCAGGTTCAGTGTGGCGCACTGAGCGACGTGTGTGTCGTAGCCAGGCTTTGGTTTAAAAAAAACTGCCACTTTCTCAATATGTGGAAAGATGCTTCTGGAGCTCTGAGGGATATTGCCGATTGTGAATATTGATCCAGAGTCTGGTTGTTAGAAAGATATCACAATAAAAGAATAAGCGCTGCATGTATGAATGTGGAGAGGAGAGAAGCCTCATGTTTATTTATTCGAAATATCAGATGGGAGATGAGAGCCAGAGAAAAATCAAAGGAACAGGGAATATGTTCATAACATTTCTTGAAAAGTATGCCTGTTGGAGATTTGAGATTCCCTGCAGGACACTGACGACTGTGAATATGGACAGAGTTAAGCTGCATTATTGATATTTATGCTTTGAATATTTATTTATCCTGGAAATTAAAGGTAGAAAGAAAAATGAGGGGTGATTTATGGAGGGATCTGGTAGGAATCTGCTGAACCGGAAAATGTGAGTTTTGACTCATAAGAAAGTGTCAAAATATGCCTTAAAAATGTTTTGGCAGCAGGACAGTTACTCAGGTTTCATTTTCAAAGCCTTAAAGTGGTCTGCTGGGTGGAGGGAGATTGCCTCAGTGCAGGTACGCACAGGCCTATTGATATTTATAACATGTAGATGACATGAGATGTGCCATTATCGGCTTCCTCTGTGTGTGCTGGAGCTGTCAAGATCAGAGAAAAGAAGCACATTTCATTGAGGCAGAGGTGCATCATGGGAGCATGAAAAGGAGTGACATGGGATTGCCAGATATAATGTATATTATTATACTTGATGATTGATGATTATGGCTCCTCCTTGAGCAGAAAATAAAAAATTCAGTTTTAATTTAACTTTGTCAAGTTTTTTTTCCAATTATTTAATTATTGGCTTAGTATACACATTGGCAGAAAAATGCCCAAGTATAAGGTTAGATCTTCAAATTGCTTTTTTTATCCAAGTTATACAAAGATATTCACTTCATAGAAAGCTCTACTATTTAATTAACAAACACAAAACACAGCCAACTCTATCATTTGACTTTGGCATGTAAATCGTTCTTGAATTAAATCAAAATCTCAAAACTAGCCCTGATATACCCATGTTTCAGTAGCCTAACAATACAGTGACTTTCTTCAGTTCCCTGTTATTTAAGCATAAACTAATCAATGTTTTCTACAAATTCCTTATTTTTAAATGAAAAAAAGATGCTAAACCTCTCAAATTTTAAATAGTATCCAAACACAAAAAGCTATACACCATCTCTGCCTGAACAAAACAATTTCTGATCAAGTCACACATTTACAAATAGTATGAGACATGCAATGCCATCTTTAGAAAATCTGCAGTATTTAGTCATTAGTGTAAGTTTGTTACACAGCCCTCAAAACAAGAGGGATGGACAAGTTAAACTGTCAATGACCAGTTCATAATTATTTGTTGCTGTGGGAGATACTGACTGTGTGTCTGTGTGTTTGTGGTTAATGTGTTTATGTGTGTGTCACTAGATGTTTGATCAGAGTCGAACTCTAATAAAGCCTTGCCCTCTGGTTCTTGCAGTGACATCACGCCAGCTCGTATCACACTCACAAACAAACACACACACACACACACACACACACACACACACACACACACACACACACACACACACACACACACACACACATACACACATACACATCATGCCAGCTTGCATTACACACAATCCATGGCCTAAAAAGCTCGTACAATATCATTGTCACACACAAACACACACATGTAACAGAAATCTGAAGATGCACAACTGTCTTAAACCTCTAATGGTCCACTTTTAAAATGTCCCTTTCTCCTTTATTACCCATCACACAGGCACACACACACACACACACACACACACACACACACACACACACACACACACACACACACACACACACACACACACACACACACACACACACCAACACCCACGCTCACTCTAAGTTATAGTGACAGGTGAAGCTTCAGGCATTATGGAACTATAGAAAACCTACAACCACTGCCGGCTATCGATACTGTGTCTGAAACACACACACACACACACACACACACACACACACACACACACACACACACACACACACACACACACACACACACACACACACACCTCTTGAGGTCAGTTGTCCTGCAGTAAGCCATGGTGATGTCTGCAGCAGTTTATGAAAAGTAAACTTTATTGACAAGTTTGCTGACGATGGACAACAAAAAAAGAGCGTGCCTAGTGGGCGCATGTCACCAACAACAACATTCCTTTCTTTTTTTCTTTCTTTATGTCGTTCTGACTTGTTGTTTGTTTGCTACATCATAAATCTTAAATCAGACAATCTACCAAAGCCTCTGGAGGTTTTTTCAATTCTAATATGAGTGAAGAAAGTGAGTGACGGTGAAAACAAATTAATCAAGCAGACGGGTTAGGTCAGAAAACGACACACACACACACTTGAAGTCTTCCCCATGCTGATTTGTTTTGTTATTATCATTTACATTTGTCCCATAAAAGTGAGGAATGATGAGAGGGTTCACACATGTGATTAATAATAAAAAAGATGCTGACAACAAACCCATCTCAAAACAACAGCATTGATGATTTGTTAGATTTTTTTAGGTCAACTGTACAAATGACAAGTGATGGAACAGAAAAGAGAAAGAAAATGAAACGTTTGAACCCGTTCCAGCTCTTGTTTTCTCCGGAGTCACAAAATGACCCACTTACACCCAATACAGTTTCATTTAATGTGTATTATTTATCTTTTAGATATTCAATAGATTTAAAGTAACACACAAACATGGATTCAAGTAAACACACAGGCTGAGAGCAGACAAGAATATAGTTTTGTAAGCTTGAATACATTTATCTTTGGTTTTGCTTTATTTAGTTAATTATCAAGTTGTTTACTTTGTTTATTTGATGGCGTCGCGAGCTGACATGTTGTTGATGTTGTTGGTTTTCTGAAGTCACTTCAACATTCATTATCTGGATTCAACTCTACGTGTGTGTGTGTGTGTGTGTGTGTGTGTGTGTGTGTGTGTGTGTGTTGAGTATGTGTGTTTGTGTTTGCATGTGCTGTCAAACTACAGTGTTTCATCTGTTGCTAAAAAGACACTTCCCAGCCTGCACCTCTCTGACAGCCATACTCAACACACACACACACACACACACACACACACGCACACACACACACACACACACGCACAAATGCAACACAAAAAGAGAAAAAGAGGAGACAGCAACGCAAAATAAAGATTTTAAAGGAACAACATGCACAGTATCACACATGCACACACATATAATGTAGATAATACTTACTTTGATATGATATGATTGAAGCTGGTTTGCAAATACAAAAAAAATAAATTCTCTCCTATCTTCATACTGATAGCAACATTGCCTTGTGGTGTTTGAGAATGTGGCTGCGAGAGATAAAATCCGTATGATTTACTGTATGTGTGTGTGCGAGAAGAGTGTTTGTGATTAATTCATGTTCTGATCTGTGTGTGTGTATGTGTCAAGTAGATAAATCTTTGATGCTGCGTGTTTTAAGGTTGTGTGTGTTGTGCTTTCGGCGTGTCAATCACAGATGCGTGACAGTTAGCTCTGATCTGACTGACTGGCCCTGAACCATCAAACATCCATCACATTTACGTGATAGTACACACACACACACACACACAGTATTTATAAACTGGGAGCATCATAGGACGTAGTTCATGGCTGAATTGCAAGACATGCGTTGAATGAAAACTACAGATAATGCAATCAAATGATATAATTATAACCCCATCATTACTCATTCAGTTGTCTTTATAGTTTGTGTTACACATAAACAATATTTTAATGGCTCCTTTTGTGAAATACAAGGATTAAAGGATCATTTATTGTCATTCTGCAAAACAGGGTTGTACACCAAATCCCAGTCGTAGTCCATTTTAAGAAAAACATTATAAAACATGTAATGGAATAGCCTCAGGTCCTAGCTTGGTTAGCCTACCTCCCAATGGGGGGTCATTTTGAGTAGCTGATGGTGATTATCCCTTTCTGTTTCCCTTGGTAAACCATACCAATTTAAAAAAGAAGGAGATAAAAAGAAGCAGTCCAATTACAGAAAGAGTTGGTAAGCTTTTTGTAAAATTGACTTGACGTTGGGAAACTGATTCTTTACATTACATTATATGTCATTTGTTAGACGCTTTTATCCAAAGCGACTAACATACATTCAGTACTGTGGACAATCCCCACAGGAGCAATTTGGGGTGAAGTGTCTTGCCCAGGGACACAACGACATGCTGACTGCAGTGGGACTCGAACTTACTACCCCCTGATTCGAAGTCCAGCACACTATCCACTGAGCCACAGCCTCCCTTTAGATTCTTGAATCTAAATGCATTTTAATTGCAGTTAGCAAGTAATTTCTAACCAAAGCCGACTTTAGACGAACACAGCATTGCTTTAATCTAATGCAAATGTAATATGTAGGCCTCATGTCTTGTACTTAGAATTCACAACATAAATCTGATGAGGTTGCACTTTGGATTAACTTAAAGGCAGCAGCAGCAGCAGGTACTGAAATACATTTGAACCACTTCCATGAAGAGGGTTAAAGCCAATTTATATTTTTAGAGGAGATCCTTCTCATAACCGATCACTCAATTACATTTCTGAGCACGATCAGGGGCAGAGGAGGTTAACTTGTTATCATTCCCTGCTTGTGCACTTATGGACTTTACAAAGTAGGCAGCAGAAAACGCTCGCTAATAATATTAACTGATGAAACCGATGAGAAAATGCATTGGAAGATTCACTCCGATAGCTACATCTATCACTCATGCGTAAGAGAACACTCTTCTTCCCCCGTCATGTCATTACTTTAAAACTCAAAGCAGCTTTTCTTTCACCTCTGGCACCAGAAGCAAAATATCACGCTAGCATTGAAACTCTTTCCATCATTTCCTGCCATGTCTGAATTAAGCTAAAGGGACATTTACATTACAGACACATGAAAAATAAAAAAGAATATAACTTTATAAAGGCAAAGCCGGGACATTTGCATATTCCATGTGTGAAAGGGAATCAAAGTATGGACCACTACGGAAAAACCTTCTGAAGCTGCTTCCCAATAAAAGCCTTCCACTCTGTTGTTTTGAAGGTGGAAGGCTTTTGATGTGAAGCAGCTGCGGAGGGCGTGTTTGCATTAATATTAACTTCATTATAACTCCGACAACAGGAGAGTCAATGCATTAAACAACATTTCAATTCAAAGATTCAAAGGTTGTCATATGCACGGCGATGTGCGCACAGCGTAGTTCGCAATCAGAATCTAAAGTCCCAGAGTCCTCCGACAGTGTAATTATATTATATACTTCAGAAATAGTGCAAGTGACAAATATTGCTAGTTGTGTTATATATAAAGTTTGGGTCTTTGCGTGTCTACAAAAGCACTCTCTTCATGTAAAGTAGTATTCAGTTATTGTAAGTTAGAAGGTAGGAACAGGAACATTTAAACAAAACAGCTGAACACAATAGATCTCAACATATTGCTACTCCCTAGCATGATATCTAGCCAATTAGCTCACCATTACTTACACACTGCTTGGTTGTCATAATATTGCAGGTCAGTGCAGTTTCCACTTGTTTGGATGCTCCTTACAATTTGTTCCATTAGTGTAGTTTATATAAAATCTAAACGAAAATCCCTTCAGCTGTTACACCAACTAGGCTTCGTGCCTACATCATGTTGTCTCTACACTCTTGTGTGACCTTCTTGTGAGGCATTTTGAATACTCTTTTTCTGATCTTGTTCTTTGTTTTTCCTCCTCAGAGCCTCCGCACCCCATCGCCCCGCCCCAGCTGCTGGGTGTCGGCCCCACATATCTGCTGATTCAGCTGAATGCTAACTCCATATTTGGAGATGGACCTATTATACTCAAAGAGGTAAGGTTCAGTAAGAGACATTGTGTAGTTGGGAAGCATTAAACAACCACAACAATCACCTTTTATCCTTTCCCCAAAAGCAAACAGACTGACTTCTTTATCACAGTTCAACTTCTCTCTCATTACTTCTTTAAGCAGCATTTTAACTGTTCATTTTGGACTAATGTATGACATTTCAATAACATAATTTGTGATCATGTATACACACAAATGGTCATAAATAATGTCACTAAAATATGATTAGGGTTCATTTCAGGTGTTTTATAGTGAAAACTACTTTAACAAGGTGAAAACTGCCAAGAACCTTTTCTTAATACAACACTATTCCTTTAAGCTAATATAATTTTAGATTCCCTCTCTGACATTTACATTCATACTGAGCATAAAATCTGATTAATACCAAATACTCAAATAACTGTAATGTGTGATTTCCCTCCTTTCAGGTTGAGTACCGCATGACATCAGGCAGCTGGATTGAGACTCACGCCGTCAACTCTCCAAACTACAAGTTATGGCATCTTGACCCCGACACAGAGTACGAGGTCCGAGTGTTACTAACCAGACCAGGAGAGGGTGGGACGGGCAAATCTGGACCCCCACTCATCACCCGGACCAAATGTGCAGGTAGGAAATGCTGTTTTTGTTTAATAAACCAATTTGTGATATATATAATGAAAACAACAACTAGTTCTCCATTATAATCCTTACATATACACATTTTCCTTATACATTTTACTATAGTGAATGCCATGAAGTTGTATTATAAACATGTATATCCAACTAAAATATGAGAAATTGTCTTCTGCAAGAATAAAAGGTAAGTAACTGGAGCGTGCAACACAGCTTTGTCTCCCTGTCTGATTATCTATCGATCCGTCTGTCTACTGTTGTTTTTTTTAGTCCACGTATCTATATTTTAGTTTGTGGAGTGATATTTATACTATGAGCAGGCAGGGAGAGGGGAGGAGAGGTGTAGTGAGGGAGAGAATTGGAGAAAAAAGGAGTGGGAGAGCCTGAGTCAGTCCGTGGTTGCTCACTGATCTGAGAGAAAGAGTGATTACAATACTGGAGGCTCTCTCCACCTTTTCTCACTTCTATCCTGCTTTTTCTTTCCTTCTCTCTCTTCTCACTGCCACTCCTTCATTCTCTCATATCTCCCATCTACCTCTCTTTCTACTTCGTTCCTTTTGGCTGCCCTCCCCCCCTCTTTTTCTCATTGCCTCTCCCCCCCCCCCCGTCTCTTTCCCTCTCTGTGGATCAATAGTCGGAGGGCAGAAACACTGTCTGACATTTGTAGAAATAAACGACTGAAATATAAACACAGCTAGCCTGAGGGGGAGAGACGGAGCGAGGGAGAGAGGGTTGATATGCGAGAGAAAGAGACAGAAAGAAAAGCAGCGAGTTTGAATGAGAAAGAGAATCAAGGAGTGATGGAGAGATGATGAAAAACAATAAGGCCTGGAAAGAAAAGCAGGAGAATAGAGGCGGCAGCGGGGAGAAAGAGCGCGAGAGAATGATGAAACTGGAGAATGAAAATGAAAGAGAGATGAAAACTCATAACCACAGGGCCTGACTGATGTCTGCCAACCTGTGTGTGTGTGTGTGTGTGTGTGTGTGTGTGTGTGTGTGTGTGTGTGTGTGTGTGTGTGTGTGTGTGTGTGTGTGTGTGTGTGTGTGTGTGTGTGTGTGTGTGTGTGTGTGTGTGTGTGTGTGTGTGTGTGTGTGTGTGTGTGTGTGTGTGTGTGTGTGTGTGTGTGTGTGTGTGTGTGTGTGTGTGTGTGTGTGTGTGTGTGTGTGGTTTTTATTGACAGAGAGGAAGTCATAGACTTGTTCAGGCGACTCATGTATTGAACAGTTTCCTGTTTGACAGGAAAAGGAAATGAATCTTCCTCTCCTCACTCACGCAGGAACACATTTGAGTGAAAGACGATAACTCTTTGTAATCGACACAATGTGTTGATATCAGACCAAAAGCAGGGAGATCTGTTTATGAATTTAGAGACTTACATCATATCATCCTGTGTATTTGAATAATGTGCATACTGACAAAGCAAAGAGAGAGATCTTCAATCTTTCATGGTCTTTGATTTCTACTCTAATGAATTTCAGACACTAGCACTGCAGCAATTGTCCCAATGAACAATGTAGTTTAATGTTTTCAAACTATTAATATAAGATATGCAAACACTCTGCTTATAGGCAGAGACTGTTGCAATGAATTCACTAGAAAAAACAGGTGTTTATTATTTCAAACTGAAAAGAAATGTCCACATGTTCCAGAACAAGATAGTTCTTAAAAGAGAAAATGTGTGTATCAGCCCCGTTAGTGTTTCTTTGTTTATCCTGCTAACAAACAAACAAACAAACAAACAAACCAAACCAAAAACATAACTTCCTTGTCAGATTTAAAGATTTTTACCCTTTCTTTTTGGATCAGTGTTAGTAACATAATGCTGCTCGAGGTTGCATTACCAAGTATGGCCACTGGTGTTCCCGCTAATTGCCAACCTCACAGTGACAAACCCAAACAAGAAATAGTCAAGCCCATAATATCCTGTGAAAAAAAAGTTGAGGTTTTTAAACTTTGGCTTTTTTCACAAATAACAAAAACCAGACATAATACTGGTATGTTAAATAGTGGACCTTAGAAGTACTAACACACCTTACAGCGAGGCAAACTGTTTCCCCTTTAAGCTCAGCTAAGCTAACGGGTTGTAGCCTCATATCACATATAACCTGCAGAAAGGAAGTAAGCACATTTCCAAAAATGTCAAACTATTCCTCTGAACAATAAAAATGCAGTCTTATTTTAAGTGAGGTAAATCCCTATCCTGTGTCACACAACTAATATGCATAAATTGAAACACACAAAATCCCTTTGCTAAATCCAACACTATATAAATTGGCCACAATTCTTCTACTCCCTGACAATTTCCTGACGAATCCCTTCCTGTAGTTCTCATTGTTTGCAGTGTGATCAAGGTATCTCAAACCTGATACACATGTATCAGCGCACACACACACAAATGTGGATATGTGTATATGTGTTTGTTGAGATACAGACACACACACGGGGTAGAAATGTTATTTAAATGGTAATGATTCCTTTGCTTTTTCTGTTTGGTTAGGTTTGTCTGATCCCGCCACCTGTAGTTGACTGAATATTCAGTTTGATTTCAAAATGATGAAGACATGCACACTCACACACACTGTGCACAAACACCATGTCAACACACAAAACAGTGTTTAATTAAAAACCAATAACGGTAATAAGATACACAGCAGAAATCACTGCAGAGCAATTGATATAAGAGGGATGATTTCATCTCTTTCTCTCGTTTCATCTCTTCTTCTGCTACCCTTTATTTATTTTTCTGTCTTCTTCTTTCTCTTGTTCCTTCTGTCTCCAATTCCTCTCAATTTGTCTTCTTTTGTGATTCATTGCTCATGTCAGAAGGGTGAAAAATAATCAACTTGAAGAGAAAAGTGAGTGATTGTGTGTGATTGTGTGTGTGCATGTGTGTGTATAGTATGTGTGTGTGTGAGTTGATGAAGTAGCTTTTAATCCAAATCCTACACTTTCTGCTGAAAACCTTTTGGTCATGGCAGGTTACACACACACACACACACACACTAAAACACACACACTCACTTACAGGCATGGTCAAACACAGAAGAGTGACACACTAAGCAGTATCGAGATGGAGAGAAATGTACACACACACACACACACACACACACACACACACACACACATACACATACACATACACACATACACACACACACACACACACACACACACACACACACACACACACACACACACACAGTTCAGAGAGCCACAGTATTTCTCGTATGTTGTACAAACTCAGCATCAGTTGGATTAATGGCAGAATGGAATCACACATTTCCAGACACACAGGCACAGATGTAGCAGGAATCACACACAATATATCAAATGTACTTTTTTCTATATATGGAAACGCACACACATGCACACACACACAGTCAGCACTATGATGCTTTAGGGGTCAGACCCTTGAAATGGCTTCAACAGTACAGTCCACTGTTTGTTCATGTGGTAGATTATGGAACATTTGAAGAGTTAGCTTTCTCCTGGATCATTTTCCAGCCACATGCAGATGGTTAGGTGGAGAAGAGAAGCCTACAATTCTATTAGGTATACATATAAAGATATATTTTGTGTTGGAACTGGAAAGATATAGTTACTGTAAAGGACAAATAGAAAAACATCTCAGAACTCCAAAAAAAATGCAATAACATTGCTGCAATACTTTACCATTTGAAATGAAAGGAGGCGTGGGTCGTGACATAAATTGGGCTGTTTTCGTTCTTAGCTAATTCAAGATACTCTATGCAAATGTCAAGACTCGAAAGAGAACATAGAAAAGAGGACATTTGAGAATGTGAACCAGAATTGTGCCTGAATGTAATCATTGCGTAGGTGTGTAGTGTGATTCTGTGTAGTTTATTTATGGCATCCCGTTGGGTTTGACGTCATCTGAACAGGACATCGCACGCTCACTGCTTGATAGCGCGCGAAGGTCCGTTTACGCCGGTTGTTAAACAACATCGTTATGGGGAAATGCAAGTTTGCGTCCAAATGGTTGGAAGATAAGGAGGAAGGACAATCAATACTGTATATAGTCAATGTGAGGTAAAGTGTGTCGCCAATGTAACCGGTTAAAACTCAAAGTGGCGATGAGGTCTTAAAATGTATGGAAAGGGTCTTAAAAAAGGTCTTAAAAGGTCTTAAATTTGACTTCAGGATTCCTGCATATACTCTGGCTTGTTGATGTGTGACATATCCCACCACTTAATGATATCTAAACCCTTTTTGACACTTTCCTGGTTGCTAATTTCCTAATTATCCTCTGCTTTGGCAAATCAAATTTCACAGAGCTTCAGCACACAGAGTGTAAATTGAATGAATGAATGCTGCGGCGCACATTTTGCACCTTTCATGTGCTTAAACCTGGCCCATAGAGAGACCATGCAGAGAGAAAATGAGAATTAGAGACTGAATTCATAACGGGAGTTTCATTTGTCTTCCTCATGACAGTGGAGGGATTACCGTGAACTAATTGGACAGATTAACTTGGATTTAGCTGCATCTCCTGTCAACCTTTTCTGTATCCCCCTCCCCTTCGCTTTCCTCCTTTCTTCTCTGCTCTTCCTTAAGCTTCTGTCTCCTGCTCTACTGTATGTCTTCTTTACTTTATATTTATTGGCACCTTCTAATGCTTCACATTGAGGGACGGGTTATTTATTGTTCGCCCTCTGCATACTTCTATTTCATTTAGTTTAATTTCCTTTCCTTTTGTTTCCCCTTAATTTTAATTCCAACCTCTGGATTGGGCTGATATGAAGCTTGCCGTCCTCGGTGTTATTGTTGGTGTTTACTGGTATTGTTGTTGTTTTCAAAGCTCCATCTGTGGAGAACAAAGCCTTTTAGTTCCTACATGAATCCCGCCGTTTGTATGTCTACCGGAGGAGGGAGAAGGGGGACAAGGCAGCCTCTGTGGCTTACCGTTGGACCGGGTCCCGCTCCAGTCTGGCCACGTTCCAAACTAGTTATCGTCTCTCCCCGTTCCTCCTCTCTGCTTCTTTCTCTCCCTCTCTCATCTTCCTCTCCCGGTTCTCTCTCTGCTCCTTTTATCTGTCCCTCGCTCCCTGCAGCCCCGGTTTCATTTCTCCTCGCATTGCTTTGTTTTCCCACTCTTCTTTACTCATTTTCTATGCTACTCGTTTTGCCCTCCTCCTGGTCCTTTCTTTCTTTCTCTCTTTCTTTCTGTCCTTCCATCTTTCTTTCTTTCTTATTGTCTTCCCTCCATGTGTTCATATTCTCCATGTGCCTCTCCTACCACCTTGCCTTCTACCCTCTTTCACTATCTTCAGTCAGTAAATAGACAAAGATAAGCAGCAGTGCATTGTGGGCAAGGAAGGGAATGGGGTTTTGAAAAGCAGGTTTGAGAGTGTGTGTGTGTGTGTGTGTGTGTGTGTGTGTGTGTGTGTGTGTGTGTGTGTGTGTGTGTGTGTGTGTGTGTGTGTGTGTGTGTGTGTGTGTGTGTGTGTGTGTGTGTGTGTGTGTGTGTGTGTGTGTGTGTGTGTGTGTGTGTGTGTGTGTGTGGTGTGTGTGTGTGTGTGTGTGTGTGTGTGTGTGTGTGTGTGTGTGTGTGTGTGTGTGTGTGTCAGGCAGCGAGTCATATATTTTGTTTTAATTCCATGTTGAAGAGCATCTCACTGTGAAAGGCTGTTAGCATCAGGAGACCCCAAAATCAATACAATTTATTACACTGCCTTAACTCTGTGTGTGTGTGTGTGTGTTTGTTTCTCCGTGTGTGTATGTGGCTGTGATTGTCCTAATAGCAAGGTTTATGGTGAGGATCAAAGGTATTGATTTAAACAGGAGACGGACAGACAGGAACAGATTGAGCTAAAAGGAGAGACGGAGAGAAAAAACAGGAAGTCTCCTTCTCCCTTTATTTAAATGTCAACCATCCAATAACAGGTTGAAGCCAAAATGAAATGCTCCAACCCTTCGGCTATAAACACACACACACACACACACACACACACACACACACACACACACACACACACACACACACACACACACACACACACACACACACACACACACACACACACACACACACACACACACACACACACACACACACACACAGACGAGCCCTCATATTTGCTCAGCAGACAATTACCTGCCTCGGTGTTTTCGCAACCTTTCTTCCATCTTCCTCATTCTCTCTCATATGTCGCTATGTCTCTTTATTAGCGAGCCATTTACATCTAAATGACTTAGCTAACCTCAACATGTTTGCATTTGGCTTACAACCTGTGTATGTGTGTGTGGGTTTGTGTGTGTGTGTGAGAGAGAGTTGTGTTTGTCCTTGACGATGCATTCTTATTATGAGAAGTTTTATTGAGGTGAGCAAACACACATAAACACACACCTCTACGTGCTCTGCCCAGATTTAATCCTGATTCTGTCACATCCTGAAGCGTGTGTGTAGGTGTGTGTATTTGGGTAATAATCCTGTGTGAGAGTCCATGCCAGTGAGTTTTTCTGTGTGTGTGTGAGTGACAGGCAGATAATGGGTTGTCAGAAGAAGCGACAAGTTTGTGTCCTTGTGTTGTCTCCTCTGAGAGAGGAAGACCCAGAGAAAAACAGAGAGCTAGACAATGAGGGGTTGTGCAGAGACTCGCCTCTCTATTTAAGGTGAGCTGTTTTTATTAAAAAAAACCTGGGAGGACATAGAGAAGCAGCTGGGTTACAGACAGAGAGGAAGATGGAACTTCAACAGGTGATATAATGACCATCAGTGTGAGGGAAGTCAGTTTATCAGGAACAATAAACAAAACTTTTAATTCAATTAGTTCTGTTCGCCCTGTCCAGAGTCAATCTGCGAGATCAGCATTAGAGTTAATGGAGGCATAATTGTTATCCGCTGAACCTGATTAAACTGGTTTTTGTTGTCAAGATAACAAATTAGGCTCTCAGATGTCAAATCATATGATATTAGCTGAAGAATAACAACAAAGGTTCAACTGGACTTATCCTGTCTTTAATACAGTGATGGAAGTAAATCTACTCAACTACCATACATATTTGACATACACCTATTTACTTTTTCTCACTATTTGTATTTCACTTTTTACATACACTCTTAAGATTTTGCATGGTATAGAGTGTTTTGGGTCTGAATACTTTTTCCATCGCTTCTTCTCTTTCAAAGCTTTGTACTTGTATCAGACACAGATTCATTTGGTATCTTTGTAGAAATTACAAGAACACAGCAACCCTCTGAAGTAGATTTTGTAGAGTTGAAGGGTTGGAGAAGCAAACATTGGTAAAAATGTAATTCAAAATGTATTGCCTGAACTATAATGGCTGATGTTAGCAGACAGCAAGTGGATCATTTTTGGTTTTGTCTGTGCGGTCTTGCCTGAGTGTGTGTGTGTGTAGGGGTGTGTGTGTTCTGTGGGTTATTGATCCAGTTAAATGAGCCAGTTAAGGTAATTAAAGCCCTGGGCAGGCCTGAGAGAAGGTACTGTAGATTATATTGACAATAAATAGTTCTGAGTTCACATAAAAGATGGAAACCTAAAGACGTGCCTTGAAGAAGTGATTGCATTTGAGAAATGGTTGAATGGCAGCGAGGAGCAGAAATAGATGATCGTAAAACCCCTCTTGTTTTATCTTGGGGTAAATGTTGACTCGGCACTCTAAAATGCAGCAAAATTAAAGTAAATGTTTGAAGTTCACAAAAGTATTTTTCACATTAACTCTAAGTCATCAAAGAATGGGGATTCATTTCCCATGTTATTCATGATCAGGAGGCTACAGTCTATTGCGGTTCTTATGACAATATGGTTTAATGAGAAAACTCATCATATTTTCCCCCCATGTTCTCCTCTGTTTCTCTGTAGAACCCATGCGGACTCCTAAGAGGCTGAAGATAGCTGAGACTCGGTCCCGTCTGATCGCAGTGGATTGGGAGTCGTTGGGCTACAACATCACTCGCTGTCACACCTTCAACGTCACCATCTGCTACCAATACATGACCGCCAACAACCGCAGCAAAGCCGGCTGCCTGGACATGGACCCTAAAGGTAACACTCACTTTGAACATTAATACAGGATCATTACTGTCAGTTAAACTGCTGTTTTACATTGACACGATAAAAAACATCATATTAACTGTGCAAGAGCTGCATTATGGGTATGTTTATTAAATTAAAATTGTTGTTAACACCACCAGTAAAAATGAAGCTGAATGAGAACACATCATACTGCATTTTAAGAGGATGCTCATCATTATGGAGTAGTTCAGTATAGGAGACTACCTAATGTGTGCAACGTTAGCATTTTACAATCTTTTTCAAATGATTGGTATTCTCATTGGGATTAGCAGTAGTACCGGCCATCTTTCATTTCACAGGGAGTGAGGAATATATAAAATATTGATTAAAATAGCATCAGATTGCATTCGTAAATATATGCATCACAATATATACTGTATATTAGCAGTCCTAATAAGTAGTAACCAAATGTTGGTGGGAATTTTGTACACCTACAATCGTAATAACATGCACTACTATAAGTCTGATCGACTGATTTTAATGCATTTTGAGCTGTACCAATAGAGTAACTAATCGAAAATCGAAAATATTATACATAACAGTTTACAGTAGACTTGAGTTTTGTGTTTTTTCTTCTATTCTTCTCCTCAGCACCGCGCCACCTGGTTGGAAACCTGCCGCCGTACACCAACGTCAGTCTGAAGATGATTCTGACCAATCCCGAGGGGCGGAAAGAGAGCGACGAGACCATCATACAAACTGATGAAGATGGTGAGATACACAAAAGACACTTTATTTTTGTTATTATATTAATGTTTTTTTATTGTGCGTTTGTTGGCTTTCGAAAAAAAGGGCTAGAGCAAATGGTAAATGCTTCTTATGCTGTAGGATTATTAAAAAGCACAGAATATATGATAGGAAGAACCTTTATTGCAGATATCTTTGGGAGTAGCACTGTAAATTAAGGAAGTACACATATAACTTCGAATGGTTCAATAAAGAAATTGCTGTGTGCTTTTCTTTTGTCGATATGTATTTTCTAAGACTGTTTTTATATGAAGAACAACATTTTAATGTCATTTTTATGAGCATTTTATAATTTCCCCTGTGTTTGTGTATGTGTGTTAACAGTCCCAGGCTCAGTTCCCAGTCAGTCTCTCAGAGCCACTCCATTTGAAGACCGAATTCTTCTTTACTGGAAGGAACCGACTGAACCCAACGGAATCATCATACAGTATGAGGTACAACAAGAAGAAGCAGAGGGAACAATAATTGTTGGATAAGCAAATCTATCACTAAACTCAGCCTCAGAGGGATATACAATGTTTATAATCCTTGTGTCTGCTCTCTGCCCATCCACAGATCCACTACAGTGGGGTGCGTTCGTTTGACCCCTCGGTGCCTCTCCAGCGGCCGGGGCTTACAGTGTCTCTGCCCTCCAACGCCACCCATCACCTGTTCTCTCAGCTCCACCCAGGCGTCACCTACCAGCTCCTCATCCGCGCCTCCACCTCCAAAGGGTTCGGCACTGCGACCACACTCAACGTGACTACTAATATTTCAGGTAGGAAATACATTTGAATGACTTTTCGTCACATTCAGATAGTTAGTAAGGTGATTCATGGACACTAATGTTGAGTTATGCTCTGTCTTCAGCCCCAACAATTGATGAGTATGACGGGTCAGAGGCTTTTCTGAATGAAACTGCAACAACCATTACCGTCCTGCTTAAACCTGCCCAGGCCAAGGGAGCTCCTATAAGGTACATGCTAACATATACAAGTACTACACCAGCGCATTTTCTTGCACCGTTTTATTTATATTTCTTCTTGCACTGAATGTTTGTTTATGTCTCATTGATATTGTATGTTGCATTATCTAAGGAGCTTTAGAAGTACATACAAATATACAAATACATGAGGTAGTTTTTCTTGCAAATATGTTTTAGAACTCAATAAGGATCAAGCCTTAACATCTGCATGACAATACAATCATTGATCGTTATGATTTTATGACAACAATGTCATTTTTTGGGGGATTAACATGGAGGTATACTTGAAATTTCAAAAAACATGTTGGTCAACTCAAATGAACTGAAGTACTTTGTCAGTGTATTATGTATTAACATTGTCTTCTTGTCTACAGTGCGTACCAGATTGTGGTTGAAGAAGTGAATCCTCGATCACGCCGTCAAGCTTCTTCTGACTGTTACGAGGTAATTATTAATCTGTTTTACTTACATTTAACAAGCCATGCCTTTGTTTCATACATGTATGTGTTTGCTAACATTCATTTTAAAGACTTTCATCTCCAAAAACGAAATGATTATAGAGTAGAAAGCCACCATTTTCTCTATAGACCTTTTGACATTTAGTTTCCAACTCTTATATAGTAGTCCTTTTATTTGCACAAAATAACTCTGTCCATCTGCCTTAACTTGTGTATGTATGACAGATTTATAGACATATCATTTTAATGTAAATACATCTTGTTTCCCAGGTCCCTGTGTCCTACCACAGTGCGTCTAGCGGTGGATCTCCATATTATTATGCCGCCCAGCTGTCCCCCAGCAACCTGCCGGAGCCGCTGCCCTTCACCGTCGGAGACAACAAGACGTATCAGGCAAGCATTTTTATCTGAGCTACATATTCTGTGCGTAGTGCAGCAAAAATGTCAGGTGAAAAGATAAATCACATAGATACCATCGTAAACTCATAGCTCAAAATGCAGAAGAATATGTATGTGGAATACACAAACAGGAAAAAGTAACAGACATGGGGAAATCATGTTTGAGTTAACTTGGTTTTTATTATATGTTTTTATACTGTATATTCGTAATACATATTTGTGTTTATTCTAATGTTCTTAACCATGTGATATGTATATGCCAGGATTTTTTTGTTTATGCCGGTGTAGTAGTAGTAGTAGTAGTAGTAGTAGTAGTAGTAGTAGTAGTAGTAGTAGTAGTGGTGGTGGTGGTAGTAGTAGTAGTAGTAGTAGTGGTGGTGGTGGTGGTGGTGGTGGTAGTAGTAGTAGTAGTAGTAGTAGTAGTAGTAGTAGTAGTAGTAGTAGTAGTAGTGGTGGTGGTGGTGGTAGTAGTAGTAGTAGTGGTGGTGGTGGTGGTAGTAGTAGTAGTAGTAGTAGTACTAATAGTAGTAGTAGTAGTAGTAGTAGTAGTAGTAGTAATAGCCTTTGCAAAAAGTTCTGGGATTAGGACAAACTATTTATTGGACAACAAAGCAGTTGAAAAAATCTACATATATTTAGTCCCTTCATTTGACCTAAACACCTATACATACTTACACTACTTATTTTGCAATATATATATATATTTGTTACAATTGAAATGCGTTATTACTGGCTGCTACTTCAATTCCTGAGGCTGTAACAACACTGTCATAAAATAACACTTTGCAATTTATTGATTTTGATTTCTGATACGTTTCTGATGATCTTTTTTTATCCCTCAGGGTTTCTGGAATCCTCCATTGGCTCCGAGAAAGAACTACAACATCTACCTTCAAGCTGTTAGCAGCACGGAGAGGGTAAATACATGTTTATTTATATGAAGACTAAACACCCAGTGAACTCACAACTCTCACCTGCGAGCTGCCATGAATAAATATAATTATATGTTCATATTCAAATATAAATTAATTACACTTTAAGTACTTCACAGCTTCTATCTGAAAGCAGTACGGACTTTACTGTTGACATTAATCAAAACAACTGTGTACATTTATTTACTCATATATTTACCATATGTTATCTTTTTCTTCAGGAAACTAAGACACAGTGTCTGAGGCTGGCTACTAAAGGTAAGAAACCTACTGTTACTGATGTACTTAACATACAAAAAGACCACAGATGAGTATTATTTTGACAACCCGATGCAAACAAGGTGGTTTTCTGCTGCTGAGAAAAACATAACGCGGATTATATTAATGGTATTATAGTAACAATATATGTTTTCGTGTCTGGTGATCTGTGTTTATCTGCTGTTGTTAAGTTGTTTACTGTCCATTAATGATTATTGTTAATCTGATAGGTATTATTATGACGGGTGTTATACCTTGATATTTGTGTTAGTGGTATTAGTGGGGACATAATATTGTTTTGCATAGAGAGAGAAAATGCGTTCCTGTTATGTGTTTGTGTGCACACTTAGGCCCTTGTATGCTCACGCAGTCTAAAGTGATGTTTTTTACTAGCAGCCATATGTTGATAGATTATGAGACTGGTTTTAATCCCCCAGCAACATACAAGTTCACATATACACGCAGATACACACATAAGTGCTAACACACTTACCCACACACTGTTTTCAGGAAAGATCTTTAGAAATGCGGCTAATGGATCAGAGTTTAGCTGTAAGAACAAGGATAAACAGAAAAATACATTAACATGTTTTCAATGAAATAGAAAATCTTGGTGGCTGCTAGCCTTGAGTTTCAAAGAACTGTGAGTTCATTTAAGTGTTTATATGGCTAGAGGAAACATAATAGAAAGCAAACAGACGTATGGAAATATTTCTCATTCTTACTACAACTGTAAATACATTCTGGCTATTCTTAGCCTGGACCTTTTAATATGTATGCTAGAGGCTTAGCACAATGCTATGTCAAAAAGGGCTCAAACTAACACTTGTTTTTATTATTAATTATCCTGATGATCACTTTTTTAAGTAACCCGAGTCATTTTGTCTGTAAAAAATAAATAAATAATGTAAAATCTATTAATTGTTCAGCTCAACGGTCATTTAATTAACAAACAGGAGACAGATTGGAATAATTTTATTGTAGGAATTACTTTTTTAATTCCAATACATTTGTTAGTTTCCTATATCGTTAACACAATCTGAGATAACAGGTGAGAAGTTAAAGCCTGTCATAGTATAGAACATTGTAATTATATCAAATCACTTGTTGTACTTACAAGTAATCTTAGCCCTGCTGCTTCATGGTTTGTATGTTGTAGTTATAATCACTTTCTGCACTCAGCCCATAGTCCTTTGTTTGACCTTCTAACAAAGGAGCATAAAACAAGGCAGTAAAAGTGACACAATTTGCAGCACAATCAGCCGTAATTATTGTCGAATGAGTAATTACTGCTGGTTGATTAGTGTATTTTTATAAAGACTCATCAGGGGACAGACACTGTGAACTAGCTTAGGTGATAAATACTGCGGTGTGTGGCATTGCTCCACGCTGTGTCCTTGTCCCTTTAAAATAAAACCATAAATAATTGTAAAATACAATAAGGGCCTGTTGGAAAAGAAGTGGATTTTTAAGCTGATTTCTCTTTAGGTCATGGAGTTTAATGTGATCTAGACATTTTGAACAGTAGGCTCACAGGAAATTGATCCCATGGGATGGCTTATTAAGGTGTGGTTCAGTCCCTCCAGCGCCTGTAAGGTGTCATGTTTTAAAATAAGAGAAAAATGTGGGAAGTTTCTGTGTTTCCAGTGTCCTCACTTTTCTTACTAGGGGTTGTAGTTTCTAGAACAGGTTGGTTGTTTAACCGAAGGCTGCTACAAAGAGACGACGCTCTGTCTCTTTAACCAGAGGAGGATTTAGTGAAGCTGAACTTATTTAAGTTTTTTTTAATAGGCAGAAAGACACACTAATGGACAGAGAGGTCAAAAGACCGTCCCTCTTTTCTCCCTCCGTCCCTCTGCATGTGTGTGTGCGCTCAACTGTGCAACCGGGAGGGAGGATTAAGTGACGGTGGTCCTATTAGGTCATCGGGGGTATTGTGTATTGTCATTGCTGCCTCAGGGTGTCTTTTTGTGTGTGTGTGTGTGTGTGTGTGTGTGTGTGTGTGTTTGTGGCTGTGTGGGCACGTTGTTAGTGTACTGACCTGGATAATTTTTACAGACATTAAGAGCCACCGCCGACATTATGAGGTCAGGTCTCAGGACTCTGAAGCTTTTAAAGATTTGATTAAATGTTTTGTTATGTCTTGTTTCAGATACCCTTTACGCATTGATTGGTCTGACAGTCATTATAATAAAAAAAAAAGGAGGTGAAACCAAAGTGTGGTGGAGTCACCAATGCAGCATGCTTTGGAGTCCTCATAGTTTAAACAATACATTAGTAGACATTTAAGACACATTTGACCTTGTTTTGTTTAACAATAACTAAAGCTTGACACATTCAGTTTTTTTCTAAGATGGTACTAATGTCATTATTAGATAATGATATATATTATTTTTAAAAAGAGTTGTGACCAGGATATATGACACTACTCTATATAAAGTATTATACATAATTGTTCTATATTTCTGTTTCTTATTAAACCACATGCCGTATAACCCAGTATTCTTTACATATCCATAATTTGGCCGATATATCTTGTAGCAACGGTCTGAAGAAAGCGCCCTACAGATGCACTATTTACTGCTTTATAAGATATTTTAGCATTTTATACCAATACAACTTTAAAAAAAACATTGTAGGGTCACAGACAGGGAAGAGAGTTAGTCAGAACTGCATATATTTGGAATTGGCTAGAGATTTAAAAAAAACAGTACAATCTAAACCTTATTATTTCAAAGCATTTGAGCTTTCAAATCCCTGCTCAATTCCATGTAAAGTAACATTGTTACATAATGACAGAGGGATAGATGGAGTCATTTCTAATAAATCAGCGGCAGAATTATTTTATAACAAAATAATATGTCACAAATACTGAAGGAGATAAAGAGCGATTAGGTTTAACTTGTTGATATTTTGCATTAGAAGTGGATTATTGTTTGATAGAAGCATTGCATTAGGTTGGAGTTTTTTTGCATATGTCTTTGTGTTGGATTATTTGGATTATCATAATGCACGATAATGTTCTTACGCTGCAGTACCAACTACTCTGGCGTTATGGGATCAGATCAGTAAGCTGAGGAGCATGAAAACAGATGCTGGCTGTCTTTCTGTTGACTTTCCGTGCGTGATCAACATGGTCAAATCTCACTGCGCCCCGAAAACCTTGTTTGTGAATTATATTCCAAACAGACGAAACGAGGGAGTTCAGACAATTCTCTGAAGTCATCAGGAACAGAAATGAGTCCGAGTAATATACTGTGACATTGGAGCAGAAACATTGGACAGCTGCAGTCAAATTGCATTTCAATACACATTTCTCTATAAGACCATGACTCCAAGGATAACTGAATACGCTGAAAAGATTAATTGAGCCTTTCTTAATTTGTGTATATGTATTCAATGTATATGTGTTTTCAGCAGGGAGTAGGAGAAGTGAGTGTGCACAGAGTTCACTGGTTCAGTACATTAACTATTAGGTTGTACAACTAAAGTATTAAGAAGCTGAAATATCCAGAGTTGTCATTTAACTGACCTAGCTTGAGAAGCTTCTACAGGCCAGGGATAAACATTGTCAGCTTCCACCGATGCTCCGTTGCTTTCTCTTCACATAATTTCATTTTAAGATTGTACAAGAAAATGGTTGGATTAACTTGTTTGGATTAATTGATTTCAAGCCGTGCAAGCGCCATGGCTAGTCTCAGTCGGTCTGCTACTTTTGTCCAGAATATTTGAACTCCTAGATGAATTGGGGAGATTCCTACATTTATATTATCCATGTTTCTAAAAAGGTTAGCCCTTAAGATTATGACGTCCATTTAAAGAGGCCCTATTATACTTCTTGAGTTTTCCCCCCTGTAGTGTGATTTACTGTATCTGCATGTAAATGGTCTGCAAAGGTAAAAATCCCTACATTTCCTCCAGAGGGAGTTTCTCTACCACAGATTGAGAAAAAGAACATTACATGTCCTCTTAAATGTATTCTGTGAAATATCTAATCATCTTATTGATGGATTGGCACAAGATGTTCTACAGATATTCATGTTCCCCGCGAGATGGCATGCAACGACTTTGGTAACTCCCTATTTGTTCATGTATTGACCATCATTAGATCAAAGTTTTCATTTGAACCGGTTCATGTCCAAACATCTGCTAAAACCACGCCTGCGTTATGCTTTGATGTCTACTGTCAAACACATAATGTGTATGAGCAGTTTGGCTATGGATAGAAGCAATCTATTTTTTTCTGTTTTTCCATAGCAATCATATTAAAGGATAATTGACTTTTAATCTTAGTATTTCAATCTGCGAGCCAAATAAGCTCCTCAAACTTAACTTTTGGCTATATTTGGATCATGAATGACAGTTTCCATGGCATTTGTGTTGGCAGTTGTCTTGACTTTGCCTTACAAGGAATATTTGGAGTCTTGATATTTACCTGATCTTTTGCACAGCATTGATTAAACCTCCCTGTTTAAACGGCTCATCGGGATTTGTTTCCTTATCACACTCACCACTTCTATGACGTGAGGGCTTTTTGTAAAGATGTCTTGGGAGAAAAATCAAATTCCTGAGGCTCTTAGTTGGCATGCTTTTCTAGCCTTGGGTGACACAAGGTTGCGTAAATACTTCAGACAGTGCCAAGAATCTATTATTTGTGTAACAGGCTTACAGTCAGTGCAAAAGAGCAACATTTGATACATTTGGAGGGCTACACACAGAAAAAAACTAGGGCTTTTTGAAAGCTTAGCTGACTGGTGGGTTTGGTTTTATCTGGCTTGTTCACTGCCCGATTAATAGAGTGTTTGAATTGTTGGAAACATTACTACATTTGAAATAATTCGTATTCAAATATCTCCCAGCTCATCACCATTTTTTTTTGGCGCATTCGCTTTCTGGATGTGTCTCACGCAGAAGCCTCATTGTTTCATGCTCCATCTTCCTCGAGAAGTATTGGCTTCTTGAATTTGAGGGATTAAGGGCTAGAGTCCTTGAGAAATCCTTGAAAATTATGTTTAAGAAGGTGTGGAAACCCTGAGACCCTTTTAATGTCATTAACAGATTACCTCTGAAGCATACACTCTTTATTGGGGCGGTGCTCTCTTTGCAAATACACCAGTGTTTTACAAATGAGGATTGTAACATGACCTTTTTTCCATTCATTATACTACAAAATAACCAATAATTACAGTAGCACGATGGTCATTTGAGCTAATCACATGTTAGATCCATGGGTTTGATGTTTTTTATTGTAATTATGGTGAAGGTGCTACAGAGGAGCCAGAAGTCATCCCAGACCCCGCGAAACAGACGGACCGAGTGGTGAAGATCGCTGGGATCAGTGCCGGTGTCCTTGTCTTCATACTGCTGGTGCTGGTAGCCATCCTATTGGTCAAGAAGAGGTGAGTGACGGCTGCTAACCCCGCCCCCTAAAACAGCTTTATTGAAAATGCAAATGAAATAACAACTGTGCTACACCAACACTCATGCAAATGCACACAACAGACACAAATGTGCACCTAATGTTGTCGTGTGTTGGTCCAGTATTTGCTGTAGTAACACCATCTCTCATCCATCCACCATAAACGTTGATCTCCCCTCAGAACCAGCGTGATCTCCTCCTGAAGTCTGCTCTCCTTTTCAGGCATTAAATAGCTGAAGGCTTGTTTTCCTGAGATCCAATGCAAGAAGTATGGTGTTTCCAAAATTAGAAACTCCTGCCTCACAGTTGTGTGATTTAGTGCAGGAGAGATCTGAGGCTGTTTTTAGTTGTGTTTTTTTCATGTAGAGTACAGCTGCTGAAGCACACTAGACAAAACAACCGCTCAGAATAGCCGACTCACTGAAAGTGAAAAACACACAGTGAAAGAGATCCTCAAAGAATCAGTACAGATATGTCGGATGGATCAAAGACATATTATCTAATTGTTTAAAAGTGGAGAGTGAAGACAATGTGAGGGTTGGTTGATTACAGTTAAGTATAGATGTGCTGACACAAATATATATATATATATATATATATATATATATATATATATATATACTTATGAAGCACACGCATAGCCCTATACTTTATTCATTTAGGTTAACAAACAAAAGAAAATCTCTTTCTGTCTAAGTAGGTTTACTAGACACTTAAAATGGGTTTGTACATGTGTGATGAAGGCTTCTTTTTACTCTGTTCTTTAAGGAGAAAACAAGAAAAAAGTGAACATAGGGACTGAAATAATGACTTTAGTTTCTCTCATCTTTTAATAGTCGATGTCGGTCTAGGTTTCACTTTAGCGTTTGTCCTGTGAGGCGTTAGTTTGGTGCAGGGCTCCACCATGTGGCGCCTAAACACAACTACAACATGCTAAACAGCAGCAACATCACACACACCTTTATTAGTAGTAAGTAAGCAAGCAGTAGTAAGATCAACCAGTCTTTAGGAAGTTGTGTTTAGGTGACTCTAGGTAGTCTTAAGGTATCGTCTTATTTCTATAAGAAGATGGTTTTAGAGATGTGAGTCTATGAAGCACCAACAGATGTTTACTGCTCAGTTCTTTTGAACCTTATCATGTTGTTAAGGTTTTAGTAAAATGACAGCATCATTATTAATGTTCATCATTCCAGCTTCGACACCATAAGGCACAGTGACTGAATTGAATTGTGTAATATTAACACATGAATGTCTAGGATTTTTTTAAATAGTCATCCTCATGCTTTAAACACAATCCATCTGCCATACTCAAGTCTAGACACTTTTGTTTTGCATATAACCTGCCCTTTATTCATGAAACATTCCCGAGTAACTGCGAGGTTACACAGGGTCGGATCTTGTCTTTTCAGGGTCTGCATGTCCATATGTTGGTACGCACATTTCTAAGTCATGTACACGAGTGCATGTGTGTAATAATTAACTGTTACTCAACACAACGTTCTTCCTGTGACCTTTCAATTAAAATCCGGTGTTCAGGGAACCTGAGTGCCTCATTAAAAAGAGAATAATTAGGAGCTTCATTTGCATATTCATACTGGATATATTCACGTTGAGTGCCTCATATCCCACCTTCACTTATTATTATAAAGAAGTGTCAACATAAATAGCTTGAGTTGCTCGTGGACGCCATGTATGTTGAACACGTAGCAAGACATGTAAGATTAATTATCATCAACGGTCTCTTTCAGGAGATAGACTGATATTGCATCAGAGAGCAGCAAGGAAAAAAATCGCTAAATTACAACCAATCATGATCTCACTGAGCAAATCAAAAACAATTAGAGACATTAAATTACAGCCGGTAATGAACTCGTGTCACCTGGGAACTCTGACCTCCACATTTCTTTTTCTTAATGAATTAATTTCATCCTGCAGTCTTGCTGCAGATTTAATGTCAAAGTGTAATTGGATATGATATTCAAAGATCTTAAAGTGGAGGGTAGAAATATCCTATGTATTGCAGAAGCTGCTACTTTTTCCATTGTTTTAAATAGACTCACCATTATTGGGATACTTCACAGTGTTTGATTCACAGTTTGCAGCCAGTGGCCTGATAACTTTACCACATATTACTGAACATTATCAGTGCCTCTGAGGATTTTATGCCTTTTGAAAATAACAAATGGTTCAAACTGAAAGATTTTTAGAGGCATTTGTTGTTTTATACTCTTGAATTGCATGCACAGCTGTGTCTTGTTTTAAACTCTAACCATCTCAAGCTGCATCTGGGCTAGAGGAGACTTCAAATAAACGTTAGCAATATATCACAAACGTTCACCGACTGCCACAGGATTACAGAAGGAAAACATCCGGTTCAAATGGTATTTCCGAGTGTATTTCTGACAGGTAGAAACGTTACATTGCCAGCATCAACAACTGAAGATGAATGGTATCTTCGGAAATGTTAAGTCACTCATGTTTGTTTTTATACAACTCATGACAGCACTTTCTGGTTGAAAGAACTTCTTTGCATTTCTCTGCATGGTGCATACATTTGCCAATTGATGTGTAACTAAACTGTGACATCTGACTTAGCAGAAATGCTTTTGGGGAAATGATTGGAATATTGTCAAAGTATTTGTGATTTCTTTTGTCACCCTCATGAGTTTGTTGGAGTTAGTTTTCCCTGAAGGTTTCTGGGGAGATCAATCGTCATTGCCATTGAACCTTTAACACTTTGAACAATACTGCATCTTTAAAATGGAGGGACATGATGACATCGCAGTGACATCATACTTGCTTTTACAGGAAGCGAGCTGCGTGGTGTTTCAGAATAAATAGCTTTGTAGCAGTTTTTATTTATTTTTTTATTTTCCTAGGAGTAAGTAAAGGTCATTGGCTGAAATATTTCTAATCAGGACCTTTCGATTACAGAAAACTCTTAAATAATGCATGAACATTAAAAGTATGACACCTCTAGAAAGAAAGAAGAGAAAGACTGCATGGTAAAAGTTAAATACTGATAGTTTGTTGTTCTTTTAGTCATCGTTTTATAAGACTCCTAGCTTGTTTTGTAGCATTTATTTCAAACGTTTTCTTAAAGAAATAAGGCCCGTAGTTTAGTATAACTACCCCTTGCATGACCCTCAAGTTGTAGCGATCAAAAGGTGTTTTCTTCTGTTTCTGTTGTTGATGGATGGGACAGGACAGTATTGTCCTAATTTGCATATTCATGACCCTTGTGTCTCATTCTTTGCTTTCTGATTGGCTCACAACCCCAGGAGGACCTACTATTCATACTCTTATTACCTGTAAGTAAACAAACCAATCAACAATCAGCTTACCCAGCTGCTGTTACCTTATTGGGTGATTTATTATTAGTGGCTAGTTGTTGTTATTTTTAAAGATGCAGTATACTTTTTTCAAGACAAAACACATTTTCAGCTCTGACCAACCAGCCAAAGCCATCCTCATTGACGCCTTGCCAGGGTGGGGGTCACTTCACTTTCATGTCAGTGAGGTCGGGATTTTCCTTATTTTTAATCGATCATATAAATATGAAAACGTCCCTTTAGCACGATAATGTTGATGGTTACCTATCTTAACATAACTATAAATACATAATTGTATTTTAAAGTGACTGAACTGACAGTGAATTGACCTCAGCCCCGGTGTCCTCTACATGCTCCAAAGTTGCTCCGAAGCAGGCTAATGAAGGCCAAAGTGGGCCATAAACCAGAACAAAGCAGGTCAAAGTGGGACGCACAGGCCTAAGCGTGTTATTTGAAAAAAGAATGCTGCACTTGTGACTGGTAGCTCTTTGTCTGCATGTAGTCATGTGATCATCCATCCGCCCATCAAGTCACAGGTACCATGGTAACCGCTGCTGCACACGCTCCTCTGGGTCTCAGTCCGCTTCCTGTGTGGAGCTCATGGCTCTGAGTTTGGTAGATGTTGGTGGGTGTTTTCTCGTGTTGTGGGTACTTACTCTCCTACTCTGTCTCTTATCGTCTCTCTGAACAAAATGGGTTCTTACTGGCCTCGTTGCACCTTCTTTTTTTTTTAACAGCTGGGGACCTTAAAGTAGAAAATGTAGCACTTACAAAAACTGATTAATAAACAATATTGATTTATTCTTTACCAGCTTTCGTCTGTAGTCACAGGCTAAAAACAAAGTAGCATGACAAGTTAGCATTCATCTTCTAGCTTACAGGTACCAAGAGTGAAATAGCACGATCATTTAGCACCTTTAGCGCCCAATTCAATTTTCTGGAACAGTATTTACTGTTTTCTATTATTGTCCTCATACAGTATAGACAATTTCATCTGTTGACGACCATTTTTTGTTATTCATTATTGATAATTCAAAGATTCATGGGGTCAATTTTCACAAATTAATTAAAAAATCAGACCTTAAAAATGAATAAAACAGTCAAAAACGTATAAAAAAAAGCTATTAAACCTTATTTTAGATAAGTTCTGATCACAGTTACTCCCCCTCTGATTCTACTAATCTGTCCTTAATGTACAGCTCAAGTACACACCATTTTATGGTTTAAGATATATGTGTAGCATTTTTCCCATCTTCTGTTTTCTGTTGAAGAACCAATAATACACTCACAGACAGCCACATAAACAGTTACATCAATTACATTTTCCTCAGTGTGTGTGGTGTATAATATGTGTGTGTGGTCTTAGAGGTGGAGTTGGTGTGTTTTGGGGTGAAGAGGTAAAATATATAATAAAACAAAGCATGCTTTCTGTCTGTCAGAGCCGTACATCGTATCAGTTATGCAACAATCACACATTTATTCCTCAATCAATCATCTGAGAGAATATATTTTACAATTTTATTGGAGCAAAAACTGCTGTAAGTGTTAACTCATGTTAAGCAGGTCACTTAAAAAAATCATTATACATGTTTTCTCTTCTGTTCAGATGTTGTTTAACTGATGTACATGTATGGTTCTGGGTACAAAATGTTCCTGCATGCTCTGTCATGCTCGAAGTATTAAGCCCTCTACTATATTTTTCCTGGGATTATATGTGTTGAGCGCACTAAGAGAGAATTGAACCTGAAGATGATATCTTGATGTTTACATGTAAAACTGTTTATTTACTCCTACTGTATTTTACTACTTCTCACATGATGATGTGGTTCTATGGTTGCTTAATGGTTTTCCCTGAGCTTCATAAGTCATTCCCTTTTTCCTATCTTTGCTGTCGGATGAAAACCAAAAACCAAATACTTCTGTGACTTATTTAAATTGTATTTATTTTGTTCTTATTTTATTAAGCAGGCATTAATAGACATTTCTGAAAATGCACCAGGTATACCCAAGATGCTATTTTGTATTTGTAGTCCCTGAACAGATGTTGCAAAGACACCCCAAACAAATATATATTTAAAAATAACAAGACAATACAAATAATTTAAAAGGTGCAACTTAGAGGTTCTCAATACTGTAAATGCTATTAAAACAACAGCTGTTCCTTTTTGCTTTATTGAAACTTTAAAAATCTGATCGTGCATAAAGGTAATTAAATTGTTAAATAAAATACAACTGCAAATAGATTTGAGCGTAAAACTATTTCAAAGGCTTTCATCTGACAGCTCATGTATGGTGACCAGGTTTATAACAGGTTTTCCCTTTGCTGCTAGTCGGCCAGAGGTCATTTCCCTGGACTGTATAGATGCTTTGTTCCTTCTATAGCTGAGCCTGTTACATGCTGCCATTGCAAACAAGCCTTTCCTCTACTGTACCTTCTACTGTACCTCCCTTGCCTGTTCTCTCCTCTTCTCTCTACCTCTCACCTCTCTTTTCTCTTTCTTCTTGGATGTCTGCATCTTGAATCAGCAGCCTGCAGCCCCCAGCCATGCTTTTACCCCCCAAAAAGATACCCCCTAACTAAATAAATAAATAAAACTATACTTTAAAATGTGATACTATTCCCATACAAGGCGGCGGTCTGCAGGCTAGCTGATGTTTGTGTGTTTTCCTATAAGATGCCTGACGGTGTCTGTCTCTGCCCTTGACAGGAAACTGGCTAAAAAACGTAAAGACGCCATCGGTACGACGCGGCAGGAGATGACTCACATGGTCAACGCCATGGATCGCAGCTATGCTGACCAGAGCACTCTGCACGGAGAGGATCCCATGGCTGTGACGTTCATGGACTCACACAACTACAACAACAGATGTAAGTTCATACAACAAGACTTTTATTATCGTAAATAACAATTAACAGTAGTATTAACCTTGGGCTCTCTTCAAAACACAACTCTGTTTATAAATGCACTTAGTATAAATCAAATCTTACACTAACACATGTATGTATTTTCATCTTTCTTCTCTTCTATTTTCACTGATGAGATTTGAATTTTGCAATTGCAGGATTTGTATTACTAATAGACAGGTTACAGTTCTCTAGCTCAGTTTTGAAATATTGTTTTTCAAATGAAACGTGAAATTATTTGTATGTTCTTTTCTGAGATCAACGGACGAACTGCTGATGAGTCATTTATTTTTCAAGTACAATCATTAATTGCTTTACAAAACCATGTTGAGGAAACAATTTGGGGTAGTGTTTATCTTAGATAGATTTCCACTAATCATGACTGGAATTTGAATTTTTCTGACCCTCCCTGCTCACGTTGAGTAACGCTGAAATTTAGAACGTGTCCTCACCGTGTTTCCTCCCACAGTGCCCAACGACCCTCTGGTTCCCACTGCTGTGCTAGGTGAGGTTTCAGCATGGTTGGATATGTAATCATTCACCACCAGCTCCCTTTAGTGATCACCCATCTCCATCTCAAAGCCCCTGTGCGTGTAGCCCCGTGTTGTCCGTCATTACCCAGTTAAAATGTCATACATGGTCATATTTTTTATCTTACATCCTGAGTTTATGTTCTTTGACCTCAGTCAAGTTTTGTACGTTTTTGTTGGTGAATAGCTTGGCTTGATGGACGTTTAACTACCATAATGCTGCGTCTAATCTATATTTTAGAAGTGCTAAGATCTCTAGGATTAACACAGATGGAGATCAATACATTCTACAGGCAGTGGCTGAAATTAACAAAATGTAGGAGAATAAGAACAATTTTAAAGCAAAAACAGATTTGTTTTACATGCCATCTAAGGGGATGTAATGGTTTAGTAATATTTGATGATGGCAAAAAACTGTATGTTGACATTGTTTTTTGTTCTGCCACCTGGTGCCAACTCCCTGTGTAAAACATAGCCGGTACTAAAAGCTCCAGCAGCCAAGCCCTTCATCTGTTGTTCTTGGTTTCCCTCTGGTTCAATCACTCCCGATCCCAGCCATGGTTTCTGTTTCCTACTGAGAGTTATTGATATTCACAGTAATTACCGTCATTCTCCCTTCGAGACCTCATTATTTCCACAGTTTTGAGTTGTTTTAAAGCATGCCATTTCCTGTCCCGGAAAACGACAGAAACTGATGCTTGAGAGAAAGAAGATCATTTGTCACAATGCCATCGCAAAACGGCTGCAGATTAAATCCGTGACATGAAGTGACAGTGAATAAGTTAGTGCCTACAGGCCTCTGTGTGTGACAGAAATGTGTTCTATGCAAGTCTGCTTGAGTATCTACCATCTGTGGTATTCCCCAGGCTTCATTTGTTACTGATGCATCAGTCTGTATTGTAAAAGCGGTATTTTTGTCCCAAGTTCGATGTTCCTCCAGCTCCAGTGTCGCACTGCAACAGGTTTAATTTTTTGTTTAGTCTAGTGTTGACACTGTAGTACGATGCAGAGTTCTTACATACCCTTAAGGGCTCCACAGTACACAACGCCACCAAATTTGTGTTAATTAACTGATCCATTGCATCTAATTTGGAGTGAAGGCTGCAGTTACAATCTGTCTTGGCCAATCACATCACAGAGTGGGAAGACGGAGCACGAAGATAGGGATAGGAGGCAGTGTCGGGTTAAGTTTACTGTTAATTGGCCTGACGAGAGCGCAGAAAACCTTTAACAATCAGTAATGAGCTAACATGTCCTCGGAGCAGAGAGAAGCATCAGTGGGATGAAATAAACAGTGTCAGTTAATAAACAGCAGTGAAGATGAAATCAGTCGGTTTTTCTGCACCCCCGAGCTACTCCATTAAACAACCTGTCAGTCTGCGCATTAATCCTGCCAACTCACATTATCCGCCGCAGCACAGAAACGCTCACCTGGAAGTTTGCAACAATTTGACCTCATAATTGCATTCACTTGAAATACCTTTACATGCATCAAAAGGTTAATTATATCATGCCATACTCACAAATAAGTATTAAACCTGCAGACTTTCTGCACGTCTTAGAGGATCATTGTTCATCCGTGGTTTTAAATGTGTTGTTTGATTTATATACATTACAGCTCCATATCCTAAACATATAATATTGTGGTGAACTTTGTACTATTACAATGAGTATGGAAGGTGTGCAAAGCTTGCGATCATATAGTGAGGTATATATTTGAAGCAGTTACTAAATAAAGTCACATATATGTAAATAGCAGCCACTGTTTGGCATTACAGTTGAAGTTCTGGCTCATTTGAGGTTTAAGTGTCTGCCGTTTAGTGTCTTTTATGATAAGACGTTTAAGATGTTTGTTTAATTGCCATGCTCCATTATTTTGTGTAATCGTTTTACTATTGTTTTACTACCCATTACATATTTAGATTCCTCCTAACAACTCTTCCTATCGTTCTGTCTGACTATAACCATTTACCTCCTCTCTTTTTCTGCTGCTTTGACATGTAGTTCCAATCACAGGTGAGTTATCGAGAGAGAAAACACATTAACAAATGGTTTGTTTGGTATTCCTCATGTTAAAAGGTGAATGTCAGCAACTGGTTTGTGAGGGACGCAAAGTTATTGTCATGTTAGAGAAGAAAATAGAGAGAAGAGGAGGCCTTTTTTTTCTGTTCTTATCAGTGAATGTACATAATGTTATCCAATCTTCAGATAGAGCAATTCATTATGGGCGCTTCCTCCTTGGTTGGACCTTAACAGACCCCGGTGTCCCTACTACATCCCCATCAGGCCCTTTCCAGTAAATAAATCCCCAACTCATGATTCAGCGCCCCTTTGGTTCATTAAGTAAGCCAGTTGCAATGGCTTCTCGATCCACCAGGTGGAGCAGTGATGGAAGCTGGCGCAGTTTAACTCATAACAAATATGTAGTATAGCTTGAGGGTGTGTGCTTCCCGCACCCTCACCGAACAGCTTGTTGTTTCTATGCATAAAACATGTTATTCTCTCTGTAAAAGTTGATGTGCGGACTCAAAACTCATTTGACTGCATGATTCAGACCTGAAATGAAACAATTGGGTCTGTTTTACATGTTTTTTCTACCCTGGACAGTGTAACATAGTGAAGGCATCTCAAAATTTGGATAATTTGCATTTGAATTGACAGATTTTGCTGTTTTCTTGCAGATGAGAACCACAGTGCCTCTGCAGCGGAGAACAGCCGGCTGCTGGACGTTCCTCGGTATCACTGTGAAGGAACCGAGTCCCCCTATCAGACGGGACAGCTGCACCCCGCCATCAGAGTGGCCGACCTGCTGCAGCACATCAACCTGATGAAGACCTCCGACAGCTACGGCTTCAAGGAGGAGTATGAAGTAAGACTATAACGAACAGTACTTTTTATAGTTGCAAAAACAGTCATTTTAGATGCCTGGTTGGTATTACTATTGATACAAATGTTGGTCCAAAAGTATAACCTAGACACGGATATTATTGATCTAAAATCTTAACAGTGCAGTACATTTTAAATGTACAGAACAAAAAAAGCTTATTATGAAAATCAATGCTTTATTTGATGTTTTGGCTTTACATTAAAAAGATAAATGACTATTAGGGTTGAATTGCCTTTTAATTTGAGAGTATATTCCGCTTTATCGACAAAACATTCAAAGAGCTACAAACCTGTTTTTATGTCCTCTATTTATGTATCTAATAAGAATTGTATTACCACCACTCGTATATCCCTACAATCAAGCCGTTGTAGTACTTTCTTCTGCTCAGAGTCAGGCGGTAGGAATGTTTAGGATCCATGACGTGTAATATCTTTTGAATTGTTTTGCGTGTTGTTGGTGATACAGAGCTTCTTCGAAGGCCAATCGGCCACTTGGGACGTGGCCAAGAAGGATCAGAACCGCACCAAGAACCGCTATGGGAACATTATAGCATGTAAGAAAAAAACCGTTATTAATGTATGTTCACAACAGATGTTACAATGTGCTTTACAGCAGCAAGAAAGGGGGAAAAGGGGGTGAGAAACACAGAACAAATCACAAAATACATGTTCGTTTTGCCCTTAAATGCCCTAAAACAAATATTCTCTCCCTTTTTGCTTTCCTCTTGCTTCTCTCTTTCTTTGTCTGTGTTTCTCTTATTGTTTCCTGTCTGTTTAGATGACCATTCAAGGGTTATTCTCCAGCCCATAGAAGACGACCCCTCCTCCGACTACATCAACGCCAACTACATCGATGTAAGTGGAAACGCATCGAATGCTACTATTGGCTCCCAACGAAACCAACGAAACCACACTCCCTCGCTCGTATGTCAGGCCTCTATACCTTTATTGCGTCTACTAGTCATCCATCGTGCCATCTTACGCATCCAGCCACCCCGAAAACACGTCATGCATACAGTACATTCGTCCTGTCTCTATCCATGTATTCATGTCTGCATCCATTCTGAATTTATGATAGTATCCTGTTACAGTCTTTTTAAATTGCCATGTAGTCATAATTTGAACGTAGTTGGTCTCAGGTTTTACAGAAATGGAAAAACCATATAACGAGTGCTATACAAAGAGAAATATTCCTTTATAATCCGACCCTCATGGTCAAAAAATGCAATAGCACTTAGAATGGTTCTGCTTATTGATAGCTAATATACTTGCAGAATTTTTTCTAACTAAATGTTAATAGCTTTAGATCAGAAAGACTCCATTTGTTACATAAAGCCCTTTTAAGAAATAGCATTTTTAAACAGATTTTATGAATGATATACAATGTGTTTTTTTAATTAGCTTTTGAAGGGTTAGAAGGCATTGTTTTTACTTTTGGTTAGAGCTAGGCTAGCTGTTTCCACCATTACAAGTATTTCTACTAATCTAAGCTAACCGGCTTCTACTGCTAGCTTCCTATTTATTGTACAGACATGAGAGTGGTATCCATCTTCTCATCTAACTCTCAACAAGACAGTGAACAATAACTTCTCCTGTAAGACGTAGCATTCAGCTTTCGGTCCATAAATCTTTAAAGTTGTTCTTAATTGTATCTCTCGTCCTGTCTTTCTGTTCATCAATCATTCCATAACTAAATACACATCTCCTCATCCATTCATCTTTTGTTTTTATCTCCACCTCTTCACTTTTACAACAATCATCTGCACTTTATGTTTTGCTAATACTGCTTATAGCACGCTCTTCTATGTTATCATAAACCTCCATTAAAATCATGCATGCCACCATCCACAGGAATCTAGAGTTAGGATGAATAGAGTGGACACTTCCTGATGTATCTATCTCATCTCTGTATATGTAACTATGGTTAGATGTCATGCATTTTCAAATGTTTTTGTAAACTAACTTTCTTTGGGATGAAAGCTCCTTGTGCGTTTTAGAGTGAGGAGATCACATGACATCAGGAAGTGCCCTTTCTATTCAGTCTAATTCTGGGTTTAAGATAACATTTTTATTTCTGCATGTTCTATTCAAACTACCATTTTGATCAATGCAACTTTTCTTTTTCTGATTGACACTCACTGACATTGTTGTGCTTTCTTTCTTTCTTTCTTTCCTTCCTTCCTTCACTCGTTCTTTCTGCCTGTGGCTTGGGCTGTAGATTTGGCTGTACAGGGATGTAAGTATCACTGTGGACTCTTTCATTCTCGCGCCTCAACCTTCACATGTTTACGCCCTTTCTAAACACTCGTCATCACGTGCATCGAGTTACGTTGTCCGTATATTTTGAGTTGCTGGGGCCTCGACACTCCATCCTGCCTCCTCCCACCAGTCCACCTTACATCCCACTATGTACTATTAGCTTAAAGTGGACCTATCATGCTATATTTGAATAATATAGTGTAGGACCATACCTATATAAGGCATATTTATACTTTTTTTTTTTTCAAAATACCAAACAGATCATGCATTTTAGCCATGCCTCATTTTGCTCAATTTGAAAATGTTTAGCTCTGTTTTTGCAAGGGCAGATTCAGTGAGAACAGCACCACCTACAGGCCTGGCATATGTACTACAGCGTCTCCAGCGCTTTCGAACGGCAATGGCCGTGGCTGTCTCCTCCTGATTGGTGGAGTTGGCCCAATAGCCGTAGCGCCACCGTCCTGACGTCAGGACAGTGTTCAAATCTGGATCAGTTTTTATCAGATCCGTTGCAGCCCCTTTTTTAGAGATTTGGGTATGGAGGAAAATAGAGAGGGTTGTGTTTTCTGACACTTGGTGAGTTCCCTGGAACACCGGGGACACATATTCATGTATAAAAGACGTACTAAAGTGCATTTTGCATGATAGGTCCCCTTTAAGTGTTGTAATTATTTGTGTCGTATTGCCATCAGGAAATAAGCCAATGTCATACATTTGTGTGCCTGACTGTTTTTTTGTTTCTTTCTTTCTTTCTTTCCACTATATTTTAAATACATTTGCATGGGATTGTAATGGAGAATTGCCTGAAAATCCCATTGTGGGATTCTCCTGTCAACATAATACAGTAAAGAATGAGAGCAATGTCTTATACATCAATATCAATCATTTTAGACAGTTAAACAGTGAGTTAAGCGTTGTACTTGTTGTTATAAAAGTGACAGTTACAATTCAGACTCATCTGATGTTGCAGCTTTGTTTTTATAATAGGGAAAAGTCAGTAGCAGTATTAGGACTAAAGGTATTTCACTTTGATGAGATTACCAACTTCTCTAATTCTCTTGTGCTGCTCAACTTGTTTCATAAATGACAATCCCATTCAGTATATCATCAAATAACTTGTATTCACCCTACTATAAACTGCTCAATAATATTCCTACAGTTATAATTAGTGATATCATCCATGAACTTTTTCTGGATATTGAGTTGTTGTGTTGTATTTTCAGGGCTACCAGAGACCAAGTCACTACATTGCAACTCAGGGTAAGAAACTGCCTCATGCATTCTTCCTTTGTTTTTGACAATAAGACACTTCATACATTCCTACATAGTTATCATACTAAACACTGAGTGTGTGTCTTTGCATGTGTGTGTGTGTAGGTCCTGTTCACGAGACGGTGTATGACTTCTGGAGGATGGTGTGGCAGGAACAGTCAGCCTGCATCGTCATGGTTACCAATCTGGTGGAGGTTGGAAGGGTGAGCTGCTCTTTTCCTCTGTTGCACTTTGCACAGATATTTTTCCTTGTTGTTAAATATGTGTAACGTGCATTTGACTTTATATGGATTAATCAGGACCCTTTGACATTGGGATAGCAAGATAAAAGATAGAAAGTCTCTAATCATGGATCAGAACCGTGTATTTTGCAGTAGCTTATGTGTGCCAAAAGGATATTCTGCAAGTATGTTATTGTTTGATAGTGTTCATTTCCTTTGAGTCTTTACTGATGGAAGAAATGTGGATCAGCTGTCGTAGACATTTTCTCGCTGCTGTTTTACTATTTTTGGGGTGAATTAGTACACGTTGTTTATGTTTTATTATGTAAGATGCTATATCTGTCACCCAGGTGTTTTACTGGTTTTGTATTATAATCATGATACTGTTTTTGAAATGATCTTTAATGTTCATTTTGACCAGGTTAAGTGCTATAAGTATTGGCCCGATGATGCTGAGGTGTACGGAGACTTCAAGGTGACCTTTGTGGAGGTTGAACCTCTTGCTGAATATGTGGTTCGCACATTTACACTGGAGAGGGTGAGTGAAGTATTTTTAAATAACAGTTTGGATAATGCCTCTATGTCGTTTGAGTTATATTCAATGAGGACACATAGAAAGATGAATGAAATGTAACCTAAAGATGTGTTTTGTCTCTGCTCAGCGTGGTTTCAATGAGGTGCGGGAAGTCAAGCAGTTCCACTTCACAGGCTGGCCGGATCACGGAGTTCCATATCACGCCACGGGACTACTTTCCTTCATCCGCAGAGTTAAAATCTCCAATCCGCCCGCTGCTGGGCCCATTGTGGTCCACTGCAGGTAAATAAATACATCCAGACCTTTGTTTATATGAGCTAACACACTTTTTATTGTGCAACATCTGATCTTAAATATACACAAATTAATCTGGCAAGAAATGACAGACATAATTATTGACTTCTTTCTCTCTGTGTTTCTCTCTGCAGTGCCGGAGCAGGGCGTACAGGCTGTTTCATCGTCATTGACATCATGCTGGACATGGCGGAGAGAGAAGGAGTGGTGGACATCTACAACTGTGTGAAGGCTCTCCGCTCTCGGAGGATCAACATGGTACAGACTGAGGTGACTGCATTACCCATCCTCCATCTGCATCCACATCTTAGAAAATACTCAATGGACCCCCACTGTAAGACCCAGCCATCAGCATGGTGCAGGCTGAGGTGACATGTAATTAAACATGTAGTCTCGTTGAATAAACATAACATGTATTCTATTCCATGTAATGAATATGGTAGGAATATTATCGTCACCTGGACTAAGGTAAACTCAATATAAAGGATTTGAAGATATGGTACTCTGGCACCATCCTCTGGTGTAATGAAGAATTACATTGTGCTAGACAGTATGAATATAAATAATGGCATAGCTATCAAAAGATTCAAATCCTAACCCTGCGTAGGGATCACAATCTACATATACTTTATTAAATCATTAAGATAATTTCTTATATCTTGAGGGCACCTTTTTAAAATGTATGAAATATAGGTTTGTAGCAGATTCGGTCATCCATTGTAAGAACGTCATCCTTTCACTAAAGCAGCCTTCAATTCAATCCGTCTGATCACTGAATTGAAGCTGCAGTCACCCGCTTGAAAGAACCAAAAACACAATTCCATGTGTGGATGAACTCACCAAAATTCAACCTTCTTCGTCTCATCTCATTCACGGCTCCATCTCCCTCACTCACTCACTGTCAGCATGCTCACTTTCATGTGCCATCACAGCTGCTTGTGTTCTCCATGCGACACCTTGTGTGTGTTTTTATTGTTTTCCAATGTTTATAATCTATTAGTGATGCTTACAGTATGTACAGTATATATTAACATGCATGTCTTGAATTCTATGTCTCCAGGAGCAGTACATATTCATCCATGATGCCATTCTGGAGGCTTGTCTGTGTGGAGAAACAGCCATACCGGTCTGTGAGTTCAAAGCTGCTTTCTACGAGCTGATCCGCATCGACTCGCAGACCAACTCGTCACATCTGAAGGATGAGTTCCAGGTAAACCCAAATACAATCTTTATCCTTATAAACTAATAAAGTGACACTGTAGTTTCTTTCCCAACAAAAACAGGGGCAAAATGTCAGTAGAAGTGTCTTAATGCAGTATAATCCACTTCTTTGCTGTTCACTCACATGCTCAGTATTTAGCAAACCATAAAAGCTTCCACAAAGGATCTAGCAGTTATTTTCCCTTGATCATGCAGCGTCTAAGCAGAATATATTAAGCTACATCTTGATGAAATGATAGGCTTCCTAATCAACTTTGTTCTTAAATGTTCAAAATGTAATGTTATCTGTGAACCCCAATTGTTTGTATAAAAAGCCTTTTGGTTGAACTTCAAACTTCAATGTATTGTATACAAATGTTCTGTTTATATTAAGTGATCCTCAGCTAAATGCAATGTGTGTATCAATGAGACATAACGTGTTGAACACATTTCCTCAGAAAACGTTTGCAGAGATCGTTTTTAATTATTTAAAGTATATCTATGTATATTTAAGAATATAACTCATACATGGTCTTTGCCTTTACTGTTTAGTTTGACATTTCTGTCATTTTGGTATTTCTATCTTAATGGAACCATTGTGTAAAATACTAACTTTGCACAGGAAGAATTGACAGCACATAATACTCTGATATGCCCTGACTTACACATTATATATTTATCTCTTTTGTCCAGACGTTAAACTCGGTGACTCCTCAGCCTCAGCCTGAAGACTGCAGCATCGCACTGTTGCCTAGAAACCAAGAAAAGAACCGCTTCATGGACGGTCTTCCTCCTGACAGATGCCTCCCCTTCCTCATCACAATAGACGGAGAAAGCAGCAACTACATCAACGCTGCTCTGATGGATGTAAGTGTGTATAAGGAATTCACATGCACATACAGTCAGGTTGTGTTATTTTCAACACATCAGGATGGAGTAGTTTGGGACATTAAGGTGTGATGCTTTTAACACCATTTAAATGTTTAGAATGTGGAAAAGTAAAAATGCTTGATGTCCCAAACTGCAATCATGAAACTGTTGAAAATGTAACTTGTAAGAGCCTATACACACATTGTAATAAAGAGGAACATTTTAATATTAATGCACATGGTTATACAGATCACACACGCTCACACACACACACACACACACACACACACACACACACACACACACACACACACACACACACACACACACACACACACACACACACACACACACACACACACACACACACACTCCCCTCCCTGTTGGTGTGTGATGCTGTGTTTGTGGTAATAGCAGCAGAAGGCTAGAGACAAATCCAGGTTCTGAAAAGACCGCTAGCTTCTCTGTCCACCAGCCAATCTTTAACCGCCTCCTGTTGCAGGACGTTGTCAACATGTTGTACCATGACTTGAATAACAAAGTCATTAAGTAGGTTGACATTTTAGGTAAGATGGCAATATCTGGTCTCATTAGAATTAAATGTTAGCAGGTCTGTTAGATTATGCAGGAAATATAGCAAGGGGTGGGAATCAGTATGTGAGTTTATAATAATGTTTGAAACACAAAATGCATGATGTGGAGACAAACTTGGCTTCTCTCCAACAAAGCTGTTGGAGGACAAAAATACTGTAATTTCTGTAAAACTAAAGTTTATATTGAAAGTTTAGTCACTTACCTTTGGCCTCTCTCTAACCAAGCTCACAGAGGAGTTCCAGGTAATGGGATTTCACTTCAAATTTCCAATACTGGATTTGTTTCATGGCTTCAGTGTCGTTCTGCCACCAGGTTCATGTTTAGCAAAGCCATTTACACCCGCTGTAAATCCTAAACCTGACCCCCCCCACGCCCCTCTACCCTCACATTAGATCCTGCTCATGATTACAAGTCGTCATTCACACCATGTCACACATGTGGCTGCACATTCATTAACAATCAGTTGGGCTTAGTTTACCTTCAGTTCAGTTCATATTCTTGATATGAACTTTTACTGAACATGAAGTAAACTGACCCTTTTAGATTGGGGCTGGGCAGTACATTGACATTTAAGATATTGTGATTTGACATCTTATTTTTCGGATGTCATAGTATTCTAATATGAATAAATGTTATCTTTTCCTTTTGAAAAAGAGGCTGAAATAGTGTTTTTTTTTCTTTGCCTTCACCCATGTAGTTATTGGACATTACCAATGATTCATTATCAAAGATGTGATACTTTGTAAAAACACGAATAGTTAATCCTACAATATTGTCGCAACAGTGAGGAAATTGATGAAAAATATCATGATACTTGAATTTCTATATATCGCCCAGCCCTGTATTAGATATACAGTATATGTGGATGTACCATGCGTGAAGTGTATTTGTATATTTAATGCATGCTCCTCACCCTCGTGTCTGATTGGCCCACTGCATGATCATGTGACCAAACATCACCTGTGTTGCTTGCTGCCCCACAAATCGTCCCACTGTGTTTGTGTTTTGATGTCTGTGTGTATGAGAGAGACAGAAAGATGTGATAAAACAAGAGATGTGAAGGATGTAGGGCGCTTCATACAGCTGGGTTTAAAAGTGTTTCTGTTGTTTGTTCCCTGCAGAGCTACAGACAGCCTGCTGCGTTCATCGTTACCCAGCATCCTTTGCCGAACTCTGTCAAAGACTTTTGGCGTCTGGTTTACGACTATGGATGTACCAGTTTGGTGATGCTGAATGAGATTGACCTGGCTCAGGTAATTCACTCTTCATTTGCCTCAGTAACATATCTCAAAAAGTGTATATTGTCAAAAGTATGTTGCTGTTTATCTTCGTTACCGAGACATCCTGGATTTATAAATCCATTCTTTTAACACACTTCTCCCGAATACTAACCAAGATACCGTCTACATTATCTACAGTGAATTGTGTTTTTATGTTTAAAAGCTTGCCAATCCTAAGTAAAATATCTATCATACCACACTAGAATGATTTATGCACTCGGCTGTATCTAATAACAAAAATAAACCCTTATAATTCTCAAGAGGGTTATCCCGTGAATTTGTATTAAAGGCTTATATTGGCTTAGAATTAGTCTAGCCTCAACATCAACATCACACCAAAGACTGAACACAGTACTTTCCACATTCGTAAGAAAAGTGTCTGTTGCTCACCAAGGCCGAAATAACATGGTTTTGATATTGAATTTTGCACATTTATTGCTGTTTCTCTGTCTGTTACACACAATTAGAACTGCCTTATTATTCATGTCGTTAACGCTGTGACTGTCTGTGCTCAGGGTTGTCCTCAGTACTGGCCAGAGGAGGGCATGCTGCGCTACGGCCCGGTCCAGGTGGAGTGTATGTCCTGCTCCATGGACTGTGACGTTATCAGTAGACTGTTCAGAGTCTGCAACCTCACCAGGGTCAGTACATTTATTCTGTGTTTCCATACGTTTATGTCATTCCTTTAAAGTCTAGTCCTTCAAAAAACACTGTTTGCGTACGAACAAACAGAAGCAGTGTTACTTCATATCTACAGTGTCCTGGATAACAGAATACACTTGTCTAAATATGTGTGTGTTGTGTGATCCCTCAGCCCCAGGAAGGCTACCTGATGGTGCGTCAGTTCCAGTACCTGGGGTGGGCGGGACACAGAGAAGTGCCCGCCTCCAAACGCTCCTTCCTCAAACTGATCCTGCAGGTGGACCAGTGGCAGCGTGAGGGGGAGGAGGGGGAGGGGAGGACCATCGTGCACTGCCTGTGAGTTCTCACCAAAAACACACTCTCATACACTTAACACTGCATTTGTAAAGCAAAAGGGTGTTTGTGAAAAGCAATCAGCAGCCCTGTAAGGAATAATAGAGCATGATGTTTATCCAGTAAAAGTAATTTTGTCAAAGTCTAGATATGTATGATCAGAAATAGGTTGCCTAAAAGGATTACTACATCTAGTAGTTGGCTAATAAGAACTAGTTTTTGTCAGTTATCAGCATCATTTGGTGATTATTAAATAGAAAATATCAATGACTCATGAAACTGTCTGATGAAACACCATATTTACTGACAGAAGGAAGATTGGTTTTGTTCCGTTTGCCAAAATGAAGCAAACCTACATGAAATAATAAACTGTGCATTTTGTGACGCATAATGTATATTTGTGTGTGTATTTACAGAAATGGAGGTGGGCGTAGTGGAGTTTTCTGTGCCAGCAGCATTGTGTGTGAGATGGCTAAGAGACAGAGTGTGGTGGATGTGTTCCACGCCGTGAAGACCTTGAGGAACAGCAAACCCAACATGGTGGATACTCCGGTGAGTCAGAGAGAAGGACGCACAGGCTGCGGTCAGAAAGTCAAAAATATCTCATGTCTTTTCCTCCCCACTCTTTCCCTGATCAAAGACGTCATGAGTTCAAGGAAAGATGAGAAGGAGAATTCATAATGACTTAATGAAAAATACGACCACATTACAAGAGAGATTTCTATAAAAAGCACCTTTATTTATAACAGTAGTACCTTTCCTTAGCTTTAAGCAAATGACAAGCTTTTATCATGGCTGCCACTTAACCCTTATGTTGTGTTCGGGTCTCCCGTGACCCGTTTCAAGTTAAAATGATATAATAACTACGCTCTAGTTTTTTTTTTCTGAACAAGGCTTCATGATATCCTCAACAACAGCTATATAAACACTACAAAACTGATTTTGACCATTTTAGCCAAGTCTGAAGGTCTCTTAAAAAAAAAAAAGTGTATAATTTGGTGTTCGGGTCTGGGGAGACCCAGCAGAATTGCTGTGGGTGACTCGAGGTCAAATTTGGCCCAATCAAGATTCCTCTTTGACTTTAGACACACCCCCTTCATCCACTGTAACAATAATTTAAAACTTTTTTTGGGGAGATTGTATTCTAATATTAGTCTATTATAGTCAGATAACGTAATGATCCACTGTCTTCACTATAGCAAATATAATGAGTGAATTGAATCACATGTTTTACTTAAATATGTGGTGTAAGGTTTTTTGGGGCCATACAATAACATTACAACAGGATTGTACGGTTATGAATGCATAATAAGTTAGTTATGATGTATTTAAAACAATATTGGATGGTAGTCATTATTTTTTGGACTGAGATAAATCATGGGTCAAAATGTACCCGCGAACACCATGAACGGTAACAGCTTTCGAACACAACACAAGGGTTAAATATTCCCACATCATTTCACCAAGTTAGGAACCTTCATTTGCAAAAAAAAGTCTAAGCCTGCCAAAGAGAAAAGTTTGGTCTGGTTTTATTAAAATCTAAAGCATTAGACTTTGTCAGAGATTGGCCCTTTATATGAACATGTGATATTAAGTCCAGTTTCTGTGTCTGTCTACAGGAGCAGTACCGCTTCTGCTACGACCTGTCACTGGAGTTCATCGAGTCCTCCTAAACAGAGGAGCGAAGAGGAGGAGGTGAAGAAGAGCATCTCTTCGCTTCCCGTGTGTTTGATCCTTTGCTTTTGCTTGGTCCCGACCCCACCCCCCCCCCCCCCCCCCCCCCCCTCTGTGGGGGCCGTTCTGTAGCACCGTCCCTACAGATGGAACAAGCGAGACCCATTCCTCTTGTTAAGTATCCAACAAAGGGAAGACTTTTACCAGAAGGAGATGCTGGGAGTGCAACAGAGCGGGGGGGGGGCGGGGGTGTTACTCCTTTTACTTCTTCATGCTTATTGTACAGCTTTTTGAGTGCCAGCGGGCCCCTGTATGTTTCGGGCCCCATTTAAATGTTTAACCTCTCACCACAGCCCCACTCTCATGGACTTGATGCCTCATGCTGTTCAGCTGCAGAGCTCCATGTGCACTGCAGATGTCTCCCTCGCCTCCTGTAAGCTGCTACCACAGCTTTTAAAAAACAGCACGTTTTCAGCGGCCCCTCATTCCTGCTCTCATGCTCATTTCAGAGTAACAGTGCGTCTCATCATGGTGATGTTTAATCTGCAGCCGGTACTCTTTTATAAGAAAAAGAAATGTAAAGGTACAGCCTGGCCACACTCTTCTGTTTTCTACTCCATAAATCAGCAGCATCTTCATTTTATTTGACTGAGACAGAACATTATTACGTATTAAAGTACTTAAAAGCCACTTAAAACCCATTTTCCATTGCTTACGAACAGTAGATTGTCAGAAAACATAGACCCTAAAGTCAATGAAAGTGTGCTAATTAAATGAAGTAGCATCTTAGGAACAAGACTGACAATGAAACACAATCGGAAAAGTTTACCTGCGGAGTATTAGGCTTTTAATTTCTTTTTACAATATCATGAAGTGGCAACTTGAAAATGTGACATGTAGGATTTTTGCTAAAGTGTATACGTAAAAAAAAAGTGTGAAATGTATCATTGTTTATGTTTTTCTGCAGTCACTGCAGAACTGAGTTGTTGCATCATTGTTGATCTACTGGATAGTAGATTTGAAGTCTTTTTTGTACCCTAAATTGTACGATTTTTTTCAACCATATAACATTAGCGTACTCATGTTTGTTTCAGGGCTGGGCCCAATGCACTTTCAATTCAGCAAAGTCACAAATGGGACATTTAATTTCAAAAACGAAAGGAGAAAAGCGGCTTAGACACAGAGAATAAACGCTCTTTCATGAAGCGTTGAATTACAGTTTCCATTTCTGGTTTGAATGGAATTGGAAGTGAACTGACCCCAGGCTCCATTTGTTTCGTGCACTGGCGGCCAACACTTTTTATTATTCTTTTGTAGCTGATGTTTATTCATAAAGCCAAAGACTTTGTGTAAATATGTCTATATGGATAAAGCACATTGTTTGTATTTATTGTTTACTTGCATTGCTTGTAAGAACAATCATTCTTCATCCTATGTTTACTCTACCACCAGCGCTTCTTGAACTGTGGCTCGGGACGCAAAATGAGTGGGTTTCCTTCGGAGGGTTAACGTATGAGTAGGATTTAAATGAGCCCATAATGGGTCCTGATTCCTGAGGTAAAAAATACTAAATCTGCTCAATTTGAGTCCATGAAGAAACGTTTAAGAACCCCTGATCAAAGCTGTATATTAAAGCAATAGACGTAGTTTTTCAGTATTTAGGTGGAATTCAGTATTGTCTTGTTTTCACGAAATGAAACTCTGTGATGTTACTGTGGTTTATTTGTGTAAAAGCCCATTGCTCTGTTTGTGGTCAGTAGAACATCAGTGCATTGATATGCACAGAGTATTTTGGATAATAGCTTGTATCCCTCTTAGCGTCTTAGCGGGGATGAGCTGTTTATCTTCATCCTCATATCCTGCTCACCAGTATCCCTGAATGCACACGGCTCAGTGATGCAAACAGGCTCAGTGAGTGAAACATGCAGGACTGTGGAACAAAAACATTTATTGTGCCTAATCATTTGAATTTCCTTGTTGAAATTAGCATTTGAACAACATCTTAGATTGCAACCAGGCTCCGTTGAATGCATTCTCAATGTTTTGAATACCTTTTGGATCATGATTCAGTGTTTTATTCATCAGAATGCTTCATGAATTATTGAGTCTTTACAGTCTTTACTGAGTACCAGTTGTGTTTCTGTTGTGCACAAACTGAAAAAAAACAACTTTATTGTACATAAAACGTCAGAGGTCCCACTTGGTTGGAGCAAGAGTAGCCCAGGTCTACTGTTGCGGATGTTATTGTAAATAGGCTATCATGAGGACTCTAAAAGGCTCTATTGTCGGATGAACAGTAGAGGTGATGGATCAGAACATTGGTTCTGTTGTACATACAAAGTCAGAGATTGTACACCTGTAGGACTCTACTTCAAATTTTGACAGATATTATTTAGAAAGCATTATAGCGTCCACTGAATACAGAACTTTATTCTGCTAGTGGAACATCAATTTTTTGAGGGTTTTTTTCCCTGCAGATTTCTGGTCTGACCCAAAGAGGAGAGAGAGGCCAAAACACAACGTAAATACAGTGAGATTACAAAACGGATGGCCCTCTCTACAGCATGCAGAGACAGAAAAATAAATACAAGTATGTCAATAGAAGTAAACAAATGTAAACCAACCTTCTTGACTACACACTTAAGGGAAAAACTAAGGAGCAAATCCTGTTAAGATGCCTGTAATTCTTCCTTAATAAATCTGAAGTAACGGCCCTGAAGAGTGAAGCAGGTGTCCCAATGAGAGGCCATTCTGAGTAATTGATATTCACCATTCATAATTATTCTTGTCTGTAATGTTTGGCTTCTTTGCTGTAATAAAGACCACTTCTTTAATTAAAATGTGTGCAGAGTGTTCTGTTGTAAGCTTACAATTATAATGTTGTTTTCTATATTGTGCTGACTGTGCCATGTTTACGTGCTTTAATGTTCAAAAAGTGCTTTATTTTTCTCATACTGCCTGTGCTGTCGCACCTCTTTTCACCCTCTGCTCTGATTGGTTAGCTAGCTGACTCTGTTGTGATTGGTCAATGGCTTAGAGACGTCCCGCCCCTTGGCCTATCATGTACAATGTATTGGAGCGCTAGCCAATAGAAGAGAGTGTTACAAACTGATGTCATTATGTAACGGAAGTAAACAAAGGAGTTTTGAGGCTTGAGAGAACTTTGGGATTTTAGCCTTTGCAGACCATTTACATGCACAAAAACCTATAACACACTACAGGAAAGGGAAACCCCCAAACAGCATAAGCTCCCACACACCTGAAGCCCATCCCCAGGTGTTTCCACTTGTGCTGATTAGTCCTCTACTCAAGGCTGTGCACAAACTGGGCTCTATGACTTTATTCAGTACACTTAACACTTATTAGCTTGAGTTGGAGGATGAAGTTGCCAGCACCAACTGAAGTCGAATTAACCAAGCAAATTGCAACCAGCTGTGTGGAACTCGAAAAAGGTAAGAACAAGTCAGAATTTGTGACTTTTGGCCTTTTTTACTTGTAGGAAAAGCACAGGTGTTACTGATTAATACTCCACCATGGCTAGCACAATGTGACATTGAGCACATTACCAAAAACTGAAATAAAGCAGCTAAATGGAATTCAGACATATGTTTAGATCTTAGCATTAACACATGTGTCTTTTATACTGGGATGTTTCTAGGAGTCTTTTGTGAAAAAGTCTGATTTAAAATAGCTTAAGCTACATCTCTTTGTGACATTAATTTCCTCTGGTCTGCTTCTTGTTATGCTAATATTGGTTAGCATTTAAAATAGCTTAAGCTACATCTCTTTGTGACATTAATTTCCTCTGGTCTGCTTCTTGTTATGCTAATATTGGTTAGCATTAGTAACGGCTAACGTTTCACTTAAGCAACACCAGTTTCCTGAAATTTAAACAAAACTAACAGCATATGTACATCGTTAATGTTATGAGCAACACCTGTGCTTTTCCTGGGGCACACGGCAATATATTTGCCATGATTAAGGAACGTTTTGGGCAGGACTTATTCATTATCACAACTAGAAACACCTGGTCCCAATGGCACTCAGGCAAATTGTATTTTTATTTGAGTGCACGGCCTGTCTACTGGAACAAAACTCACCACCTCCTTAAAATCAACTCAATTATACCTTTTGGACATTTCAGAAATTTTAATCCACACAACCTCCACTTTGACATTAATATTTTAATTAATCAGTCAAACTACTTACCCTTACTGTAAAACGCTAGTGCTTTTGACATGCCTGTAACACAGTCTCACGGCATTTCGTGTTATAGTCACGAAATTAATCTATTGATTCGTGTTCACCAACAAGATTTTCGCATTTTTTTCGTGTCACACAGAACGATTTTAAAAGCAATGTAAATAATAACAAATTTGAAGGAAAAAGAGATTAAAAAAATACAGATTTCAGTATTCTGACAGAACAATTTTAGAAGCAATGTATTTCTATTGGTAATATATGTTTCGTGCCTGCACCAAATAATAACTAATTAGAAGGACATTTATTTATTTTTAAATATACAGATTTCAGTATTCTGAGGCTCTGAGCCCCATTTCTTTTCCTCGCGGACGGCAAAGAAACTCCGACATTATACAATTTAAAAATAAAATGGTTAGGCTTAGGGTAAGATATTGAGTAAGAAAATGTTGTTTATGAACCACACAGTTTCTGGTCTTCCAACACCCGACCGGACAAAAATACGTGGTGCAGGCACGAAATATACTACCAATAGAAATACATTGCTTTTAAAATCGTTCTGTGTGACACGAAAAAAATAGATTACATTTAATTTCGTGACTATTACACAAAATTCCGTGAGACTGGGTGTGTATTTTATTGTACTACTTATTTATCCTACTTCACATATCAAATAGTTGTTCCTAGTAATTTGAAAATGTCTACTTTGGCTGACTAAAATGTGCCTCTGAATGTCTGCTGTGTCAGAGATCCTTCATTTGCAGCAGTTCATGTTTTTACTTCATTACGGCTCTTTCATTTATTAATTAGTCACTTAATTAATCACAGTTGTAACTGGGGGACCAATATTGTTATGAGATACTTCACTTTGATTGCACATCATCAAGTGCTTTTCTGTTTATTGTTATAAAGAGAGTTAGGATAAATGACACTTTATTGGAGTTTTGTTTATTCCCCATAAATCACTTTGCTTTGAGTTAAAATCCCACATGGCTTGTTGACAGCTGCAAGCCTCTCCACACCCCTGGTACTTACAGGACAAAAATGAAGGCGCTCAATCACAACCATGCCGTTTTCTTCAAAAAGTTTAATTGCATAATTATTTACAACAGATGGTTGATAGCAGTACTTAGAAGAGGCAAAATATACTGAGCCACATTGATAAAGCAGGAAAATGATAAAATGATATAAATAGTTGAAACCATTTTGAAACCTTGCATTTAGAAAAAAAAAAAAAGTTTTACAATTTATAGGTAAACAAATCTAGAAATGAAATATTCAGCTTAAATTAATGTTACAAACACAAACTGATCTGTAGAGTGCTGTAATACTGAACAGCAATGAAACACTAAATAATACATTCATTTTCACTATCCTGCATGCTATCTGTAGATCTTTATAAAATAATGTTGACAAAGGAACGGTAAACAACAAAACCATGGTCAAGAGCGGAAAATAGTTCCATGTAAATTAGGCATATATTATATATTTATATATGTATATTTCTGTACAAATACTGAATATTTGGCATTATATTTATCCTCATTATTGATATATCTAACAATTCAAAATAGTTTTAAGCTTACCACAAACCTTTTTTTTTAAATGTTCTCATGTCACATTGCAAAACCCATAATAGGCCTTCTTGTTATTTCTACCCACAGCCACGACACAATACATTTCTCCACCAAAGGCAAACTAAGTTGTGACTTCTCTCTCTCCTCATAAACCTTTGAAACATAAAGAACGGCACAGATATCGACTAATTTCTCCTCCCATTCATACAGTAGAACACAGTTCCTAAAAATAAGCAAATGTTGGTAACTCAGTATATGCGGACTGAGGTCGCAAGTATACAATACAAATGAATAGTAAAATCAAGCTTAATAACTTACAGACATCATGTATGAGAAAATGTTACAACGCCATTAAAAATTCTCAGTTAATTGACATAAGAAAATATTCGTCTTTCAAAGGAATAATTTGACATTTTGGGAAGTAGGTTTCTCTAAAAATAAATCTCTTGTTCGAACGTTTTACTGACTAGCTGGTAACCTCACCTAATTTATATTGTGTTGTTCTTTATTCCATAACCATGTGAAAATCTATCACTTTTTATTCAATTATTTATTACTTTTAGTCTTGTGCATATTTCTTACTTGCTTACTTGAAAGTTACATCCAGGGGATGGTTAGCTTAGCTTAGCTTAGCCTACCTTAGCTTGGTTTGGCTTAGCTTAGCCTCTTTTTAGCTTAGTTTAGCTTAGCTTCCCGAAAAGACTGAAAATAGGGGAAACAGTTTGGTAACAAAATGTGCCTACCAGCATCCCTTAAACTCCCGAATTAACATGTTGAATCGTGTTTGATAGTCCCATACAAAAGTCTGTGTGTAACAACAACAAGTTCGTTTTTTTTACTTTATTTCATTATGTGGGAAAACCCTTGCAAAACCACAGAATAAATATATTACTCCTTAGTATTGTAAGAAATAAACAAACATGATCAAATGAGAAAATTAGTGAGCTTTAGAGGTGCTATTTTGTTACTTCTGGACGTAGCCCAGCCATCGCCCCGTTTCCAGTCTTTATGCCAAGCTTTGCTAATCAGCTGCTGCTTGTAACTTCATTTTTAACGTAACAATATGGGGATCGATCGACTTCCCTGATTCTCGCCAAGACAACAAATAGGCATATTTCCCAAAATGTCAAACAGTTTCTTTTAGCAGCGATAACCACCAGCAGTACCTAACAGCCCTCAGGTTTAGCTTTACAAAGAGTCTAAAGATTGGATGAAAAGCCAAACTAAATATGTAAATTAGGCTTATTGCTTGAGGAGTAGAAACACTCTCATACAGCCCAGTATTAACGCAAGCGTGACATCAAATAATGTTCCATAGTTACTCTCTTGACTGCTGTTTGGATTGAGACAACAGACAAAACACTGATCTAAGATCATCACAAGTTACATGATTTATGAGAAGAGAGAGCAAGCATTAAAAAAGACATCTTTGCAGTGCAACTGTATCAGAAACAAGGAGAAAAGCTTCCAGTGAAAATTGAACGGAGTCTGTATCAAGAAGCAAACAAGGAAAAGGGGTCTATCTTGAGGATATAATATGACACTGCTGTTGTAGTGTGTGTGTGTGTGTGTATTTGATGCTTTTGGTGTGTGCTGATTGTCAGAATAAACAAAAAGAAAGTAAATCACAAGGAGAGAAGTTAGTTGATTCAGCACCTATACAGACTTCTCTGAGGTTTATCATCAGGACAACTATTAAGATGTTAAATATGATGCTGCGTACCGTGCTGTACAAAGCATAAACAGATGTGAACAAGGAAGAATGACCTTGCAGTGAAACTACTGGGAGTATTACTGAGAGTTAGCTGACTCTTTCTTTAAACTAGATGCTTCATTCTCTTTGAATAAGCATACAAATAAATAGGTGACCATGGTAAGATTGAGCCCTGGGTGACAATGACAGTTTTTGCTCCTGTAGTGTAAAGCATGATGGACAGCGTGCTTTCAGTGCTCTGTAAATAAAAGGTGATCTGCATGAGCTCTGCCGCCCCACAGAAGTACCGCTGCATAGTACACAGGCATGACAAAGTGTTCCTGTGGAGATTACAACTACTCCTACTTTACCATGTTCGCTAACACACTTAATAACCGTGAGGTAAATAGCTGTAGGTGAGCCCGCCTGTCTTCGTATGAAAACACTATTGCACTTTTTGGCTGGTCAAGTTTGTCAGTCCTTAGTTTCTGTAGATGCCAAAAAAGGCCAAACATCGAGAGATTGCAATATCACAGCTAGGTGGAAAATGAGGACATTTCAAGGAGATACATTGCTAAACTAGATGTGACGTGCACTCTGAGATGTTAAAATCACCATTTCTGCTCCAGATTTTCTACAATTCACTTGTTTTTAATGAAGCAGAACATCTGTGACTGAAAAGTTAGCAAATCCTCCTTTGATTTCCTCTACACTGTATTGTGCTGTAGTTTATTACAGTAGGATGTTTGGATTAGTCAAATATCAATGTAAATCAGTTTTCCTGCAGCCTGACCCAGCACAGTTTCCAGCCCTTTGTAATGGTGTCACGAACAAACCTGCACTCTGAGAGGTGTTTGAAATCCTTTCACATTCCTCAACCCTAAAACACTCCCTCACAGAGGCCTATGAGGATCAAACTGTAAGGCACCTGAGGATTTGTCATGTACATAATTGCCAAACTCCTAAGCCCCTCATAGCACGGTGGGTACAAATATGACACGGACCTGAAAAAGCAAAATATATTAAGTGCTTCATCAGAGATGCAATGCTCATGACGAGTAATCCCAAAATATACAACTATGATCATAGAATACCCTGCTTGATACCGCAAAATGTGTATTTCACGTCACACATACTCTAGTTGTGTTCATCCCTCGCAGCAGCTGGTGTCCCTGTGACGTTAGAGGACATCTTTGTGTCTGTTACTGATAGATGATTGGTGCAAAAACCAAAGTGACATCATTTTTTACACGAGTCTGCATCCTGTCAATCATTGTCACTCTACTGTTCCCCTTTGTATGTGCTAAACCAACATCATACAGTATGACAAACACTTCACAGATTTGACTCATGCTTACTGGTTGAAAAGTGAAATCAATTCAAACAACCTGGCAACACAACATAAGAAACTACAAAAAGCTCTGTTTGATGAGTGCCAGATCATGAAGCACTGACGTGATGGGATCACAGTTTGCAGTCTGTGGGAAGTAGACTTGATTTGCATGACGTTCGGTCAGGTGGAAGAGCAGTCAGATTGTTGAAGTAGCCCGTCAGCAAATATCAGAGAAGCTACTGTCTGTCCCTATGGGGGCGGGACCAGTGAAATAAACGAGGTGTTTAATATTTTAAACTAAATTCTCCTTCATGAGTTATTATGCTGATATTAATAGACTTACAAGGGAAGTGGAAGATAGCGTGAGGTTTTTATTGTCCTACAAAACATGAATTAAACTGGGAATAATCTGTTAACTCTAATACTTCTGGTGACATTCACCACAGGGAATACACTTGTTGCACTACTACAGTATATATAGTGTTTACTAAAATATGCCTTAAATCAACCATGTGCTGCTGGATTAGATTTACTTCTATACAAAAATATGTTAGTTACTCCTTTTCAGGTTTTCACATTAAGTGTCCACTTTAAAGTAATAAACCTCTTTTTTTTGTTCAAGGTATGGTGAGAAGATTGTTCCCCTAAAAGTGACCAGTCAACCAAGCAAGCAAAAAGAAGGTAAGTCTGTCAATTATATAAATATATTGGAAACATACAGAATGTGATCTGCTAGGGAATAATTGAGGAAAAGAAGATGCACCATTGTTATGCCCTTATTTCCATACATTTTAAAAAGACTGAATAAAAAACATTTAGCACTACAATTTGTAGAAGATGAACTGCCTGTTCTTCAGACTGAATATGATTTAGAACAAGGCTTATTAAAATGAAATGACTTAAATAATTTAGCTTCCTGACTACAGAGGGTTATTAAACGGAATCAGCCACTATCTTCTTCTCTGAAATACAATATAATGGAGTTTTGTTTGAGGCAAAGCCCCTTCATGGAAAAATATATTTGTTTTTAAGTTAAGTACAATCCATTGAGAATAACCTGTTATAATAATCTGTAATTGTATAATATATTAGATTTTTAAGCAAAGTATAATAATATTCAATAAATAGTTATTTAGTCTACATCGGGGCTCAGTATATACACAGTAAGCTAAATAAACTAGTTCACTCGGCGAGAATTTGGTTTAGTGAAGGTGATTTACAGCTGGAACAAGAGATCCAGTCTAAATATATTCAATGGTGCATATAAATATAAACTCCACAGAAAATAAGCATTCATTTTACAGTCTACATACATGTGTAACTATTTCATGAATTCTAGTTTGCATTTCTTTTAATCAATTTCTTGTATTTTATTTGTATTGGAACTTGTATGAATCGATCAGATTCTATTTTATTGACATGCTGTAAAACTAAAAATCTGTTTTTGTTTATGTATGAACGCCTTTGCCTTAGTAATGGCGAAAACATCTGTACTTCCTGTGAGAATCAGGGAGATGAGCTGAAGATTGGTGACACGGCATGTTTAAGCTTACAGCCGAAATGAATTAGAACAACTTAAATGTATTTATTATAAGATTTTGGAGTAAACTCTCTCCCGTTTAAATAGAATTGGATTTTCAGCAGCTGCTCGTCTCAAAGGAAGGGATTTTTTTGCATTTTTTTTGGGCTCTACATTCATGAGGTTAAGGCCGTCTGGTAAGGTTCGGGTTTCAGTTTTAGGGTGTACACGCGTCACAAAGCAAGAAGTACAATCTGAATCTCAAAGTAAAAATAAACCCCATCATAATCCTGACACTACACAAGCATCTACAGCGGACAGACTGCCCTCCACGACTCAGTGCTATTCTAATTACAATAAAATGGGAAACATTAAACACTGCAGCATAGTTCTAGTGGCCCTGTATCGACATTTGTTTTAATTAGCTGGGGTTAGCTCTGCAAATGAGGATGAATGTGCATGAGCTGCAAATTGTTGGACATTGTTGCTGTGGTATAAAATATGGACAGGTACAATGCAGTCTGTTCAGCCAGCTTTAGCAGAATGCCCTTGGCTCAGGGTGGGCATATTTTATTTTAAGGTGGAATGTCAAAGCTTGTAGTCTCTAGCATCTGGTAAATAAATAACACCAACCTCTTTGCATGTTTAGAAAGGAAGTGAAACCATAAAACCTTCTCCTCCTTCACATCACTGAGGGCAAGAGCATTGCAAAGATGATCTTTTTCTAAAGTCACAATCCACCAAAAGTCATCAGAGACGACGGGCACCATATTAATAAATCTCTGTTTAAAAAGTCCTTGAGTGTGTGTGTGTGCGTGCACATAGGACTGGGAAAAGGACAACCATTTTAGAGTAAAAAGCAGCACCATTTACTATAGTAACTGAATATTATTAAAGTGTCATTTGCACCGGTCTTTCCTAAACTACATGAGCAGATCAGAAAAGTGTCTTTGAAAAGCCCCACTTGGAACAAAGGTTAGATGCAGTGAAATATGAGATGTGGTTTCTGTTAGGTGAGAAAGAGTAGACAAACGCACTGTCAAATCAACCCACAACTGTTCCAACTATAAGTACTAAATGTATACTGTAGATTGTGATGTTGTTCATATGATAGATACTGTAAGTATAGTTAAAAGTGTTAGAATCACAATATTGTAATTACGAGAGGCCTGAACGGCATCGGAAAGAAAAGAAACACAAGGTGCAGTATATATGATCTATAGAGTAGTATGAAATTCTGTAGTAAAGTTTCCATATCTGTCCTTGCAATTCAACTGCAACAATATCACATGAGCTTCATAAACTACATTTCCCTTGGAAATACAAACATGAATATTATAAGGTGCAAAATGCATTGTTTGATACAGTCACCTTCTCCAAGCTGCGCATAAACTGTCTTTTGTTAATAATTCATATTTGTTCTGCAATGGAAATGTATCCAGCAGCTTTTAACGTGTAAAGTCCTAAGAGGGAATGGTTTTATGAATGGAAACTCTAAAATGATGGTCTAGGATTTCTTTTTGCCCTATTTTGAAATCTCATTCAGCAACAGTGGTCGGCAGCTGCAGCCTGCCTGCCTAACGATGGATGTTATTGTTGTGCAGCACCTCCGAGAGGCTGTTGAATATTTTAACACTTTTCTATTTTGACTTTTTAACCACTTTTTACAGCTAGAAATGTATCCAACAAGCTGCCAGGTTTTAGCCAACTCCAAAGCAGAGGCTGTGTGGAGTTTGAACCTCATAATAAATATACTTATTTGCTCTCTTTTCAGGAGTTTGGCAATAATCTACATTTTATAAGTCTTTTTTGCCTTGCTAAGATGCATCACTGCTGGAAACATCACTCTCCAGACCACTGTTGCTGGTGAGAAACTTTAGAAAAGTTGCACTTTGTGTCTCACTTTGAATGTGGAAGATGTAGCCTTACCCCTTTCTCACAGTGGGGCAATGGCAACTATGGAGAGGACTGGGGTTTTAACAATATTGGCAATGACAACATTAACCAACAACTTGAATATATGAGGTGGAAAATAAATACCAGGTGAAATGTATATTTTGGGGGTATAGTAGCTCATTCTAATGGTGCAGAACCGTGTAGGTTTAAAGCTACACTAGGCAACTTCAACTGGTAGTGGCTCATGTTGACCAATCTGATATGGGATCCGTTTTTACTGAAAAATACTAAAGGTTCAAGGGGCAACATGTCTTTATAGTGGTTTGTCCAGTTCTCCTAGTATTGAGATTTGTTTTAAATGTTGTATTAATACTTTTTCAAGCAAGATGGGGCGTTCTTTTCCTATGGCAGTGCCACATTGTGACTTAAGCTGATACAAAATTATACATTTACAACTGAACTCTTGCCTAGTGTAGCTTCAGTAGTGACAACCAAGAGAATGGCGACGGGTGAAGAGAGAGTGGACGAACAGTGACGGATGGTGACAGCAGGCTGGATGTGACTCCACGAGCTGGTGTTGGGTGGAAGTGGACAACAGGGGCTAAAGGTGAATCTGTGGACCTCAAAGCCGTGTCTGGGCCTCTGGGATGTAGATCTCGATGCTGTCTGCCCTCTCTGTGGCTGAGTTCTGTCTGAAAGAAGCTGCTCGTTTGGCGGCCATGAGGCGTCTGCGCGCTTCCTGTCGCTGGCGGTCCTGAAGGTCCAGAGAGCGTTCCCGCATGATGCCACCTCGGCCCTTTGATGGTTGCCGCTTTAGAAGAGGTGGCGGCCATTTCAGCTCCTTAGGGCACAGAATGACAGGATTAAACAAGGCAAACAACTGTGGCTTATTATTATAGCATGCTATCCAACGGCAAATATTTCACAGGGTGGAAATGCAAACCAAAGACTCAATCAGTGATCTGCAGCTCAACAATATTCATTCAAAATATGTTGAAAAGTTTTATTTAAAAGCACTTCTCAATCTTATCAGTCATCATAGATAACTGTGAAGTGATTTGTCTGCATAAAACACTTCCTTTACAACACATATTTGTGTTCATTCTAGTGAGGACTACTTTATATAGTTTGGTCCTTTTTTAATTTTCTCATCAGGGAAAAATAATAGCTCTGCAGAAGAACACAAGGATAAAAGCAATGAGACACTGGCAGAGAAGAGAGGCTTACTGTATTAAGGAAATACTGCAGAAAATGGTAAATGTTGAATCACTGCAGATAAATGAAATGCTATTAGGAGTTGTGTTCACGATGGAGTGCACATATTTGAATACATACTGCTATAAGCTTTTATATACTTTAATTATCTTGGGTACATGTGTTTGTTTGGGACAGACCAAGGCCACTATGAACGCCATTTGTCCTAGAGACCATGTGAGACATGTATGTGACGGAAAAGACATCCTATTGCTCTTAAAACACATGTTCTCTATTCTTCTCTATTCGCATGTGTCTCTCCTTGAATCCCTGGTGCGAGGGACTCAAAGAAAAGACGCAAGTGAGGGAAACATGGATGCAATTTTAAGAGCTTGGGATGCAGCTCATGAAACTGTGTTCTCAGACAAAAGAAACTACAGAAACGTTAAATTGTTATGCAGCCAGAACATCACCCTTTGCAACATTTTCCAATTTGAACAAACTAATAAACCAAAACTTTTTGAATGTAATGCAAGCTTTTCTAACTGCCTGGTGTAAGACTGTGAAGGAGAGAAGCCCGATACAGAGCATCTGTGTCTCTGTTTGGGCTCAGCTTCATGGGGCTTGCAATGTGCCAACAACTGCTGGAGGTAAATAACTCCCGCACAACTGTAGCATGGAGATAATCATCCGAGTGCCCTGGAGGAGCAAGTCTATCTCTGGTGGTTTAACTGGGTGGTTTGATCATCCAAATGTTTTTTATTTTGCAAAAGGACATGCATTCTAAACATGTTTAATGCTTTGCCTACCTCAAGGCTTAACCTGTGATTTGATTAATAGCAAAACAAGTAAGATGGCACAAAAGCCACTGCTGTGTGACTGTCATTTCACAGTTAAAGGAAAAGTGTGATGTGTGTTCAGTGATAGTACAAAGTGTACTATGGGAAACATGCGCCATTGAGTGCCACTGTTCACTAAGTTATCTAACATACCGCAGACTAAAAACATGGTGTTCCGTTACAATAATATTGATGTGGGGATAAAACAGATTTTTTAATATAAAATATTTGCGATGATGCTACTAGCTGTTTTAGGCTGAACTGATGTTGCCTCCTAACATTGTCCCTGCAGTGATATGATGAGAATGATTAACCCCCCGCTGGTCACAAACCTAAAAAAAAGAAGGCAATTGTTGTCACTGTAGTTTTCTCAAAAGCTGAGTGAGTTCATCTGCAGCCCATTAGGACTAATTATCATGAGTTTGAATCCCAGTTGTACAGTACCTGCTTCTCTGGGCTCTCCACCAGCTGCCAGCCGTTGCTCTTGATCAGCTGCAGCTCATCAAACTTGGCAGTGACGTCATCGATGGAGAGCTGCAGGAGGTCCCAGAACCCAGCCAGGTCCTGAGAGGTGGGTCTGGGCATGGCACTGGGGTCCTGAAGAAACAGTAGTACGAAATGTTGTGAGTTTTATTTAATTTTTTTAACTCAAATGAAATGATATCCTGTCTTTGTTATGTGCAGGAGTGCAATCGAAAATATAGAACCTTAAACTGTTACTACATTTCATGAACCAGCATTATACTGTACCACCTGTATGAAAGCTTGAAATAAATATTTTACTAAATCTACCAAGTCTATATTCAAAAGTACAACTTACTTTAAGACATTCACCATCCCCACCACTGTGTGGCAGCACAACACCAACATTTGTTTGTAACCTGGACTGACTCCCTTAACTGCCTTTTTTTATAACAGCAGATATGGTCCATTGAGTTCTGAAGCAACAGTGATTTTTATTTACTCTTAAAATGTCATTTCTATGGTTTAATGCTGAGAGCAAAGGGGGAAGTGAACATGTTTTTTCACCAACAACAATTTAGCAAAAAGAACTGAGCACAGGTGAAGAATTGTAACTGTTGTAGAATTAGAAAAAAACATTAATACTGTTATTACATTCTACTGTAGTTTGCAGATTAATCTATATTATGTACAATTGAAATGACAACATTCTTGCTGCATTTCTGTGGTGCGTTGGTGTGCTTGATACCTACTGTACCCAGTGGGCTGTAGACCACAACTCACACTCATCTCATCAGGCAGCCACAGACTGACTCATTACCACAGACGGCAAACAGAATCTATGTGATCCCAGACCAAGAAAGGGTCTGTCAAGTCAAACTTCAAAGCACGTTTGGAGCGTTTTATCGACACATCATGCAGTCCCCCCTCTATCCAGAAGAAAAACAGAGTTATTCAGACACGTCTGAAAGCTCAGGGCAATCTAAGGCTTGTCACTACCGATGTTGGACTTAATTCATCATGCCACTATCTATGGGGAGAGATTGCGGCCCAAAACCATCCAAAGAGAACAACACACCAAAGGCACACACTTGTCTGCACAAAAAACCCCCAACAGAGAGCAGATTTTTACCTACCTCAACTAGGGTCTGCATTTCATTCACAAAGAAATGTGCTATGCTTTTGTAAGGTGTGATTAAGTGCCTGCCTGTCTCTCTCACAGACTCTCTCTACTGTATCTGCAGAAACATTCCCCCTCACGATACTATCAGTCTCTGATATATGCCCACTCTGTGGATAGTTAATATTAGAAAAGGTATGAGTTTCCAGTCGACGTGACATGAGGACTAAACAGTGAGACAGTATGGCAGTCCATTATTCAAATTGTGGAGTCGCATTCAAACGGCTGCCTCCGTGCCTAATGGATGGCCTCGACACAGGTGCTGCTTCCTATTGGAATTCCCCTTTAGTTTACTGTGGGGTCAATAGCAGCAGAAGGACTGCTTCACTATTGATCTCTTTGGTCTATTTTTGGAAGGCGAACAAATGCATCTTCAGGCTGAGCACCTTCTCACAGCTTTGAGAAAGAGGAACGTTTTCTGTGTGACACATTAAGAGCATGTAGGTGGATACAGTGTTCTTGATCACAAACATATACTCACCAGATTCTGCTGACATAGCCAGTAAAACTGCTGAAACTTTTGAGACATTAGTAGCTGAGCACTTCCCACCGCACTCCGGATTTTTCCTAGGACTTGCAGAAATAGTAAGAGAGAGACAGAGAAAAAAAGAGATTCTGGTTTAATACTAACAGCTTGGCAAAGGCAAACATGTCTTTCAGTCATTCACAAGGATCCAATCTGTTCAAAACACGCCTATCACGATACATTGTCAACATGCTCTTTTTTGCAAATATAATGAAAGCATTGACCTCAGACAACAGAAAAGCAGCCCCTGCTTTACCAAGAATAGAGTCGGGACACTCACTCTCCTCCGTCAGGTCATGCTCCTCTGCTTCCCTCTCCATCTCTTTGCACCATCCCTCCAGCCGCTTGGTTTCATTGTGAAGGAGCTGCATGAACCAGCTGCCGTCCCTGCGGAGGGGGGACACCCGGCCCGTCTCGGTGCTCTCCAGACTGGGTTGGACCAGCCAGGGTTCAGGCTGCGGGCTGGAGTGCCCGCTGGAGGGCCGGTAGTCCTCCCTGTAGCTGAACAGGCCCTGTGTGCGCACCGTGCGGATAGCCCCGTACTGCGTGGGCGTGCTGGGCTCAGAGTGGCGACCGAAGCCTCCACCGAACTGCAGGCCCTTGTCCTCCATGGAGGGAAAGCCCTCCAACTCCATGTCAGCTTGTACTGCAGTGGTCACACTGTTGGAGCGCTTGAACCTCCCTTGCCTAAGAAAGTTAAAGCGACAATGCAACTTCATTACGCTTAGACTATAGACATTGTGTTTCTTTACTCTGAGATGCATACCGTTTGTGATCCTCCACCTGGATCCCTATCGAATGGAACTGAGGAAGGCCTTTACTTTCAGTCTCGGAGTCTGTCGCAGTTTCCACCTGGTAAATACAGATGATGGAAAACAATCCAACCATCATTATTATTATTATTATTATTATTATTATTATTATTATTATTATTATTAACTGAAATAAACAGACACCACAAAGCACACATGGCTATCATTTACTTTATGTATGCTAGCTTTTTGTATTATTAGAGAAGATCCAAGTCTCCATCTGTAATAAAATATTTTTTAGAGAGATCATCCTTTTATTCTTAATCACTGCTCTCTCCGTATAAGTCCATTTCACGTAATACAGACACTTGTAAAGGTCAGGAAGCCTTTACAACCTTGTATAGTGCTTCACACAAATTGGTACATTTGGGAATTTGTATAACCCTCTCAAAATGACAAGATTCACCAATTTGCAAATGTGCACTGTAGTTTTTTGCCAGTTCAAGATTTCATAGTCTCCTGGGATATTTGAATATAGATCAAATCTTCCATAAAGAAACCTAGTCTTCTTACCATGACATTGGACAATGGTGCAAGACCTGCAATGTTATTGAGTGTGTTCTTTGGCTATCATAAAGTGTATTTGAATGATTTAAAAGTGATTTTACTGAGAACTCTGAGAGATAGTTTGACTGGATTTTAAAGGACAGCTCTCATGCATATTATTATCTACTGAATATTAAACTGAAGAAAGGGGAATTATCCTTTCAGCCAGGGCTAGATAGAAGAAGACAGATGAGATTGGTGTTATTAGCAGAGAGATATTCACATATCAGTGAAATGATGGCCATTGTCAGATCTGTTCTTACCTGTATCCCGATAGATGAGCGTGGGGTTTTGAGGTACTCCTCAGCCTTGGACACCAGCACTGCTTTATCGCATGTCTGGACGGAAGTGTGGCTGCCCAAAGATGCATGCCTCTTGCCTGCTGCTGACTCCATGGCCATGGTGACTGCCTTGGTGCTGTCCAGGCTGTCCACGGAGCCCATGGTGCTGTAGATGGGACGTCCGAGGCTGTCCGTGGTCCACAGACCGCCCTGTGGATGCCTGCCCTCCTGGTAGGCATCTTGGGTGGACTCTGTACTGCTCTGGGCTGTCACAGAGATAAGAGGCTTGGTGGTGGTGCGCGGGGGCACAGGAGGTGGAGTCTTCTTGTAACTGGGAGGATATGATACCACTGCATAGCACAAGCAGGATGAGAGGACGAGGACAAGGCAAGACAAGGGTAGAGGATAAAATAAAATGTGGCAGGAAGCTGACAAAGGCCAAGTGCTGCTGTTCACCTGTATCACACAGCCTGTGATAGAAGAGTGTCAGGGCATTATGGGAGAGTAGCAGTTTAGCACTTAAAGCAGGGGAAATGTCGGTAAGGTGGAAAGCAACAGCAGCTTTGTAATATGTCTGTGTTTATTAGAGAAGTGCAATGAAGGATTATGGGAAAGATTTGCTCTTGTAAGTGCAAATGAGAATGTGATGGTAATCCATCCAGATGGACCTCACAGCAGAGCTGGAAACGTACCATCTTCACTTGCTGGATATGTTTTACAAAGCTATGATAAAACACTCACTTAAGAGAACAGTTCAGTAAAAAGCTATATTGTTTTGATGTGAGCTGCAAATGGCCGTAGTGATGTCTGACTTATTTCGAATATATCTAAAGAAGGAAGACATTTCTATGGCCGGCCACTATCTTCAACACTTGGCCAAATAAACAATGAATCCAGTCTACATTGATAATAAATCCCATTCACAAGGTTGTTTAGAATGGTAACCTTGAATCGGATTTAATCACAAATAAACCCTTCTTTACATGTATGAGAATTATAAAGACAGTCGTATTAAAGCTCCTGAGCATTATTCAACCCTACAGTGATTATCTTCAATTCACTTAGTCATTACCTTGTGATGTCATCTATTCATTTCCTCATTTATTGCTATTCAATGGTAATATTCATCATACAATATACCTGATGCAGCAAGGTTGTTGTTGCTCTGCCTACTCTGACATGCTGCATAGTGACAGGTGCAGACAGAGCCCCACACACCCAAACACATTCACATATAAACCGCTTTGGATTACAGGTAATTAAGTGCAAGGAGAAATAAAAAAACAGTGGGAACTCGGTTAAGCTAAATCTAGTCACAGACTTGACTTCCTTCCAACTTAAAGGAGCTGCTGTTCTGCAAGACACTGTGGGTGTTATACCAAAATAAAAAGAGCGTTGTGACTCATTCAGTATGCAACTCAATACGTCCTATTTTTACCCATTTGAATTACTTTCAAAGAATATAGGGTACAGATACCTTAGAATAAGATAGGAATTATAAATTTGACCCATAATAATAATAAACCTCAGCATTTATCCAGTGTCTGTTTTTCTTATGTTCTTCTAATTTGCCAATACAACATATTCAATTCAGTACAATATTTTAACTGTTGTCATTATCATCATTTGTAGGACAACCCTTAAGATGGTGTGTGTGAGTCCAAATGAATTGATTTGAAGATGAACTCTTAATTTATCTGTTATTTAGATATAGTCAGTTTTTTTTATTCCAATATTTGTTATGGTTGAGTTTATCCCCTTTGCAGTTCAAATGAAAGTGATGAATTACAATTGTTGTTTAGATATTAAACACTGTAGATTTTACCTACCATAACTACGAAACCTATTTTCCACAATTTTTACGTTTTTCCAATTGAAAGCATGCCTGTACATAAGATAATATTTAGTTTAGAACTAATGAGGATGATGTGCACTACGTCAGTGACAAACAAACAGACAAATAATTCAACAGCCACACAGTCCTTTGCAGAAGTAATGAATGTGACTGTACTCCCTCAGTAGGGAAATGATTAAACTCTAAATTAGCCCATCATCAGCGCTACACACTTCCCCAGCAGTTCATTTACTTGAATGAACCTAAATGGATTGACATTTGCAAACGCGTTAATGTGCTGGGCAAAATTACACAATTATTTGCTACGGGTAACATTGTTTAGAGAAGACATTTCATTAGCTGACTCCTACTGGGCTGTCATATCACACCACAATGAGCTTCTGAGAAAATTGCCCTGCTCAATCTAAAAAAAGAAAGTCAAAATGCCTTGCAATAACATTGACTGGGCACCAGGTGTCCTCCTATAAACTGTCATATACAAAAGATGTCTACCAAGTAATTCAAGTGAAATTACCCCTTATATAGCTACAATCATGCTTGAACATTAATAAAGCAGTAATAATAGTGACTAATAGTTATTGTATCTAAAAATAAATCTATCTGCTAATTTTGTGTTTTCCCCAAAGAGTAAAAACATTAGCAGTTTACATTAACACTAGTAGAATAACAGCGAATGAGGTTTGCATGTCTCGGTGACTCAATCCAGGCTACGTACTGTACTGAAGGTGGTGTAGCTCATTCAAAGTCAGGAAGGAAACAACCCAAGCCTTAAAATATGGAAATAAAAAGTATCTGCTGCTTAACATGTTCGAGATCTTTTGTCCTGACTTTGAAGAAATCACAAAGTGTTTCAGATTAACAAGAGGAAGGAAATCCTTAAATAATACAACCATGCAGTCACAACTCCTGTCTTGTATGCTATCTACATGATAGACCCATAAGGTAAAGGCTTAGTCATTTTCAGAATTAAGTTGGGGCACCTAAAGACAAAAGAAAAACAACAACTGAAAAACAAATACATGTGTGGGGCTACAGTACAGCAGGTTTTCTTTTAAAACACTACAGATGTAGTTAAATGTTTGATAATATAGTCCAGGGAAGCATCATTTCCTTTGTGTAGTCAGTTGTGCCCTGCTGTGTTTGAATGTGATTGTTTGGTTTAGCACTGCTGCACTGGGCAGTTCAGTAAACAGGCCCACACACTGGAGGTTCAGCCAAGACTAAATGGACCTGAATGTCATGTTATGAAATAGTGTTGCTGCTCTGCTTAAAAGCTTTTGTAGTATTGCAAGTAAACAGTGGGGGCCCTTGTATTTTCTGCCTTCATAACATGCATTTAGACACATAATTGGCCCCCTTCAGCTTAGAAGAAGAACATGCTTCTGCATCGAAACACATATTGACCAACAATTAATACACTCATCTCCTTGCTCTCGTCACTGACCATCACATTTTTCTGATAGCGTTTCTAACTTCATGAACACAGTGAATCGACAGCATGCATCACACAAGGCTTATCAAATCATGTGTTTGGGGAGCAGCAGACTATCGTCCACACGGTTCCGTTGCGTTGAAGCTTGCCGGTGGCCGTGTCTGGCGTGCAACCAACAACCAATCACATTCATCTCCCGCCCCAGACACACAAGCACGCGGTTTGATTGGCTAGCGCTTGTACTGGTATATGATTTGATTGTCTGGCGCTTCCATCAACGCTTGAAAAGTTGAACTTTTCTCTACTTTCGAAGCGAGCAACGGAGGCAAAGCGACGGAACCACAATGCAGTTCGGCAAAGCTTGACGTCACGCCATTCAAAGTGAATGGGAAGCATCTCCGTTGAAGCAACGCACGCTGCCGTGTGGACGGGCCGTTAATAAGTCTAATTAATCAACTGACTGATCTTCAGGAAATTAATTGATGACTACTTTGATAATATATGAATTGTTTAAATTGTAACTAAAGCACCAGCCCCAACGTCTTACATTGGATCAAAATGGTCTCTTGTGTAGCCTAGGCTATCAATTTGTTTTCGACTGTGCGTTGGACAAAGCAAGTTATTTGAAGGAGATCTGGGATCTTCCCACAGGCAATTCAAAATATATATATTTATACATTATGCATTTTTTATTTTGTAGTTTCAGAAAAAAATATAAATATAACTAAATGAATGGATTCCTCGAAAGACATCTCGGCACATTAATCTACGATGCATTTATGACTAACAATAGATACAAACAAAACGAAGATATTTCACCAGATTAATCCCCTTATTCTCTGTTAGCACCATTAGTTAGCATCTGCAAAGCGAGCTAAATACACACTTCCTGTTGACGTTGTTTACGTTGCGTATTATATAGCGTTCGACCAACGTCAAATATGTCAAACCGACAGCTAAATTACGCACACAGGTGAGTTAGCGACGTTACGTGTGTTGCTTAGGCTACAAAGAGGTTTTAGCCATAAATTAGCCTGCTTTAAAGCCTTTTTTTGCAATATTGGAGAAAATTGTGATTCAAGTAAACCTGGAAAGGAACGAGAAATATTGCTGACATGGTTTTAAACTTTGCATGGACGTTTGGATTTGTTTTAAGATTACTACAGTAGCTTGACTTTTTTTGTAGCCATTTTTAACGTCAGCTAACTGAAAATCAAGTGGACGTTAAGTGACGTAAACGGCCGTCCTCCGCAAGCTTTTTACTTTCAAGCTTACAGATGGTGAGTTTAATTTTCACAACTAAGTAGATTCACTCAAGTACTGTACCGAAGTTCAATTTTGAGGGACTTGTACTTTACTTGAGTATTTCAATTGTTTGCTTCGGTGTCCTTCTACTCCACTACTATAAGAGGTAAATAGTGTACTTTTACTCCACTACATTAATTTAATGAATGTACTTTACAGATTTGGATTGATGATGTGAAATATAATCAACACTCAAATAAGACTTTAGTCACACCCGGAGTACAATTCACAAGCTACCCTGCAGAATGCAAATTAATTAGAGTGATGTATTACAATACAAACTTGAAACAAAGCTTATTAGTTAATAGGCCTTGCAGGTTAACGTAACAGTTGTGTTTCTTCACCATTCATAAGAAAGAAGGTTAACTTATCTCACTCTTTCTTGTTCTCTCATTTGCAGGAGTGAAGGAGCCCCGCTAACAAATCCCATGGATATATTACTGCAACTGGCAAAGTAACGTGCTAGCATGGAAGAAAACAGAAGAGATGGAGTGGTACCTGGAGGTGGCTGAGCGCGGTCCACACTACAGGAAGAAGGGAGACGAAACTGAATCCCTACGAGGAGCAGACAACACCAGTTAGCAACAGCAATGCAGGTATAAAACACTATAATGCACACCAACAGTAAATCCTCTATCTATACCTACCAAAACTCACTCCAAAAAGGTCTAAAGCTCATTGAAAAATATTTACACAATGTTTTATTTGTACCTATCCAGTTGTTAATTCAGTCAGTAACAGGCAGGGAGAGAGAGAGAAACACAGACATGCTTCATTCAAAGTGTTTTGGGTCACATCAATGTTTTCTTTCCTAAATGTTAAATGTGCAGAGCTGAAAGCACTTAGAGAAAGCCCGATTGGCATAAAATGATTTCATTTCAGTTAGTTACCTTTACAGTCCTACTGATTCAGCACCTCAAGGGGAAAAGGAAACTTGCTGATTTCTGGGTAAAACTCATTATCCAGCATTTGCTGTGTTTCTGTCTCAAATGCAGACATTCTTATGGCACTGACGAAACTCGCAACTTTATGGTGTGGGCAATGCTTATTGGCAAACATTCTCCAAGGCCTAGGTGTCATGGACATTGGAATATGTATTTGTCCAGACTTTGTTTGTGTGTACTTTTGCTTTTGTTTTAGCTCTTAATGTTGTCAAGAAACATATTTTTGCATTACAATTAATTAAGTAGGTGGCACAATATGATACAAAATTAACTGAATTTGAAGAAAAATGGAAATCAGCTTTATTTTCTTAAGCAAACATAAAGACTAGAGCCTTTAAAGAGTCAATGTTGGCCAAGGTTGTTAGGAACTTTGCCAATGGCATTGCACTAATGTGTTGACTATGTATTATTGTCTAAAGATCAGTCCTTACTTATCAGGCATGAAATAACATGCATCATCTGATTCTGAAAACAGACAGTGACACCGTATCATATTATACAAATGAGACATGTAGCAGACATTCAAACAAAAATATGAAAAACAAGTAACATTTTTTAAATTAAGGTTTGAATCAATTAATAATTAACATTTTCCCAATTCACCATTACCATTTTTAAATGGCAAGATAATTAATATTTTCCAATCATGGATATTGTTGAAAGAAATAACAAATATTCAAGTATTAAGTATTATATTTTCAGTACAGTGTCTAGCACTTCGGGATTTGAAATCAAATATGAAGTGCTTTATAAATGGAACCCATTATTATTATTAGTGTGTCTCCTGAGAGAGCCACAGAACATTGCATTTTTTTGGGATTTTAAGGCCAAAAAAAGTAATGAACAAACAAAGACTAAGCAGAAGAGACACAGACTATCATAATTTGAATTACCTACTTCACAACTGTAGGAAAATGCCAAGAACATGAATAGTAAAATGTTTGTCTTTGTCATGTGGCTTGTTTGTATATCTATAACAGAAATTATATTTAGACAGTAGGGAAATGAAAGACAACATGTGCTGAGAGACCCAGACAAGGAACATGTTTTAAACTGAAAAGCAGGACAGTCTAACAGTCTTTTTTTTCTTTTTATCAATTTCCTGACTGCCTCTGGTGATGCAACAATATCATATATTGAAAAGCATTGCATGCTTTCTTTCAGCATGTGTGGAGTTCCACTTTTCACATTCCCATTTTTCAGATCTCACACTGAATCTCCCATGTTACTGCATTTAAATGCCATTGCATTTGATGGCATGAGCTTAAGCCATACTTTACATGAAGTGAAAGTACACGGCTGCACTTTAAATATAATTAGAATAACGGCTTAATACTGGAAAATTCAATTATTACCACTTATTGTGTTCACACTTAGCCATGTAAACACAATACATTCTGCTGAGATTCCAGATTGATAATGTAGGCACTTTAAAAACAATGGTACTTACATGGACTTTACGTAAAGTGTGACGTAATATCATTTGATAATAGTTTTGTTGCAGAGAATATGAAACAGACCTTCTCTCTCGTGCTTTTTCAACCAGGCCCCCGCACAACTTTTCTCCTTTTGTGGTCAAGCCTTAAATTTCATGAAAATCGTTGCAAAAGTTCTGACTGCGTCTCCTCCCCGTCCGACTCCCTCCATTTGTGCAAGAGGCCGTTCTTGCCATAGTTGTGGATTCAGACTGGCAAAGAGGCTGGTGGGGTGCTGTTCTTACTCAGGGCAGGGTGGGTCGTGGCTTAATGACGTGCAATGACTGACGAGCTGCATACATGAGCATGGGGGCTGAAGATGTAACAAAGTGACGTGAAGTCTCTCAGATCTTTTCATAACACTATGTTTTGTTTGACTCCGGGTTGTATTTATCATGGGAACTGAGTAACTATAGTACTTCACTCCAGAGTCTAAAGCCTAGAAAATAACTGCCTGTAACTTTATCTAGTAACAATAATTAGTATCTCAGTAATTAACAATTAGTTCAACTGGCTGTCAGGATAATGAGCACTGAGTGCATACTGCATACGGACAAACAAGTTGAAAGCATTGCTTCTATTTTACCTAATTGCATAAATGTAGCACGCTTATTCAAGATGTTTTCATAAGGCCATTACTGTAAAGCTAATATTGCGATGTCTATTCAGTGATAGACTCAGGATTAAGTGCTTATTAAATCTTCTACCGAAATAGTCAAAAATGTTCTTTTCTTTTGAAAATGTTTCCTGCTCACCTAATTGCCATTTCTTTAGTTTGCTTAAAAGATTGCTACAGGCAAAATAAATGACTGCGTTAAGCTAAAATAACACTGTGCTTTGCATTAAAGAGAGCATTGAGTAAGGGGAACATCCTTTCTGAAGATATTTGCTCAGGACTAGGTTTTTGCTTAGGTATGGCATGGGCGGTTATCAAAGTTGGATGAGTGGATGGATCTATAAATGGATGGATGGATGATTTGACATTGGACAACTAGCAGGACCTAAGGGTGTGTATTGGCCAGTGATTCCAGCTGATTCGGCTGGATTTATACCATTTTTAAAAAGTAGGTTTGTGAAGCCCTTTTTTTTTTTCCAAGAGCCCTACAATAAAACAAGCATGTTTTCAAAGCCACATACATATATACATACAGTGGTGATGCCCCCATGGATGCAAGGTGGATTAACCTTTTATGTATGATATTTCACAACAAACCAATACAAATCAATGGCTCGTATCATTTTAACAAACTGTCTTTTCATTGCCTTTGCCCCAGTAATGAGTTAGAAGATAATGCTCCAAATAAATACACAAAAAGTTTACCTACTCCAGAATTTACAGATATTTAAAGATATTCAAAATATAAGTAACTTAAACCAAAATACCGGCTAGCAGCGCCTAGAAGATGTAAAAATCCCTTATTTTACCCTATAATCACAAATGTTTGACAAAACAAACATTAACCATATTGCTATTTTTCAATCCCGAGCTATAGCTATGTTTACTAAGATATGTTTGTCTGGAATGAAGCCCTAAAGTTAAACTAGGGGTCCCTGGGATTTGTCCTTCTGGGTTTGAATCTCCATACATTTAATATATATTGCTTTGAACCAAAATGTTGGACAGACAAACGGACCATTGGATATCACCATGCATGGCCTCTGCTGCTAGTGGGGCTATTAAAGTGGTTTTGCTTAAGTAAAGCAATGGCAGCTGAATATATGTTATTACATAATACACATTTCATTATAAACAAACATTTCAATTACTTCAGTTTTTCAGAATCTGCTATCTGTAACCATCACACATCAACCTTTTTAAAATGGTAAAGTGAGTATTTCTTGTTTCTATCCTTCCCTTTTAAACTAATGTTAGATGAATACGCTGAATTTAAACCGCCAATATCTTGAATACAGATCTGAAAAGGTTTTAAGTGAACCTTAACTGCGGCTGCCCAAAATTAGAGTTTAAAAAAAACCTTATGGACGGTAGAATCTAAAAGCATTATTGATTTGTGCTGGTTTGTAGAACAAAGCTGTTATGTTGGTCATAACCTGCCTTGCTGCATGCCTGACATCTAAAACAAGGACACAATACTGTGTTCTCATTTAATTATTTGCTGTAGACTTAAAGAAAATGTATACAATGGTTAAAGCAAGAGGGTGAAACACTTCCTACACCGATGAATCTGAACAGAATATTAATACAAATCATAACAAATTAAATAAATAAATAGATCAGTTCCATGGTTTTTGTAAAAGGCTTCAAGCACATCTCAGTTAAAGTATTTTCCAGTTGTGCAGAAGAAGATCTGAAATGTAGCAGTTACTATTGTGTCTCTCTGCTCAATGCAGAATATATTCTACAAGAAATGCCAGTGTGCTAACACAAGGCCGACATGTAGGACTGTAGTCAAGTGCTTATTTAAGGTTGTTCCTTTGGCCTGTTGAACTCCAGCACTAGAATATAATCTTCACAATTCCACTGGATTCAATGTGGAAACAGATGAAAACACTTAAATGTATTATACATAGTAAGTGAGTATGACAGCATTTTCAACTTATGATATATCTTATTTTAGTGTAAAAATGATTCAGACAAAATGTATGAAAAACTGTATTAACAACACATAAAAAAAATAGATAGAATAAAGCGGTTCCCTACCAGACCTACCGTACTCTCTACGCCCCCCAGCTAAGCTACGGATGCCTGAAATGGGGGAAAAAAGGAAAAATATAACAAACAAACCAAAAAATGATAGCTTAGTAGGAAAGCAATGCATATTGAAAGGGTCAATGTAAAAGACGCTGTGCCTCGCCCATGCTGTGTATTTGTGGTGTGGTAAAGTGTGTAGACACAAACAATACTTTTTATGCTATGAGTGAGTTCCATCTTTGTCACCATTGTAAAGCTATGACCCCCATTTTGCAATTTAAATTACCATGAACATCGTAAGCATTTTTAATCCATTGTTTTTTTATCAATTTATGAAAAATACATAAGGCCAATCAAAGTTGTAAATGAAAATTCACAATAAACACCACAATAAGCAAAGAAAGAAAAAAAAAGTATCACATACTGGTTTCATTCTTTTAACAAAATAAGCATAAGCTAACAAATGCAAGCTAAAATATGTTTTTCAAAAGGTGCTTTGTGACTTTGACAAAGTCTGATTCGCTAAACAAAGCAGTCTGAGATCCCTGAAAACATGGTTGATGCAAAACAGAGTAGCTTGAATAAATGCAGGAGGAGAACATAGGGGTAGAAAAGGATTTATATTCAAGCAGTGTTACAAGTTCAGATCAGATTCCATCCAAAAACCTTTGTCCTAATAGCTGGATGTGGCACAGTTGTTGCATCAAATATCTTGATGGCAACACAATGTAAACAAAAACTCATGGGGTAATTGACTACACACTGTAACATGTAACAGGTAGACAATTCAGCATTTCTTACAAATAGTTATATATTTCATTACACAAAAATATGGTTGCATGGTTAAAAATAATACCCTTAAGTTTTTGTTAAATGTACAACTTTCATTTATTTATATATATATTTTTATTTTATAATACTTAGATCAATATCTCTTTTGCTACATTTCAACTTTTTTAAGGGAAGGGTAACTTCTTTGGGCTAAATGATGAAATGGTGATGACACACTAGATTGAATGCTTTTATAGCTTAGGTGAGTTCCTTGGGATCAATACATCACCATGTTTGCAGATCAATTGGATATACATTTAGAAGAATGGTAAGCATTTGTACAGCATTTCCAATTGTATTAGTCAAAGCTTTTCCAATGTTGCTGTAGTCATTAAATAAATTGAATATGTGTGATGCACTCATGATTGATAATTTCTTTTGTATATGATGCCACAAAGCACACGGATGCTTCTACTAAGCAGTCATCTCAAGAATCTCACCAACAAACTCTTTGATTTTAGTATACAATACAATGGGAGACATGTGAATGAAACCACTCTCTGCCAGGAAACACCTAAATAACCTGTAGTGACGCACATGGCTCATGCAAAAATAACTACATTATCTTGAGAGCCATCAATATTTTCTGAAAACATAATTCCATTCCTGGCATTGATGGCTTGCATGAAGGCTTCACATAAACGCCTAATATCTATAACTGCAAAAGTTTAAAACCAAAAAGAACAAAGGACTTGCATAGAATGAATGGATGTAGATTGGAGACATCATGATTGGTCAGTCTTCAGCACCTTTTAAAATTAGTTTGCATTCCCCAAACAATGGGAAAATGTGATTTTAAAGAAAGGAATTTCACTGCAATTCCCTCTTAATCATTCAAAAAGCTAACATATGAATACAAGCCTTTCCAAACATGTTTTTAAAAATATATATCCTTAATATGTATCGTATATTAAAATGGTTATAGGCTAAATGTTGTCAGTTATATGCCTTTCACTGAAATCATATATGATTTGGGCGATCCTAGCCTTTGGCCGGTCTGTGATCAAATCACAGAATTGGATTTGTTTTGGTTATTAACGACAGTAAATAGGCTGTACGCTTTTAGAAGTAATTATTCTGTATTGCAAATAGTGAAGAATGGCAACAATAGATTTGAAGTTATTCCATACCTATTATTTGTTGTTGTACCAAAACTTCAAATTCCCAGCTAAGGAGTTTTTGCAAAAAATTATCAGCAAAACCTACTATTATACAGTTTTACTCTGTAACACATATTAGATTATCAAGGCAAATTAATCATTTAAATAGCATTTAAGCTCAGGTTTAATGAGGATCTGTAACAGGTGTGTGGGGGCGGAGCTACTGAAATAAGTTGAAAGGAAATGTCTTCCCTTTTTTTTCTCCTTCGTGGCTTAAACTATAATTAGATGTTCCCTTTTAGTACAACCTTTGTATAAAGATCGTCTTTTAAAAATGCCACTTGTTCTCCTTGTATTGTACTTGATCATGCAAAGGGGGAAGAAGATCCACTCTTCATAAAGTGAGATATGATGCCTTTCCTTTATTAAAAGTCCATTTGAAAGGTTCACATTTCAGTCAGGGGTCTGATACATACGGGCTTCCCACGGTCCTTTGCTGCACTGATCGTCCTGATCACTGCTGTCAAGCTTGGAGATGTTTTGTTCATTCCACGAGCCTCAGTATTACAGTAACTTTGGTACGCCATGTTGGGACAATGGGCCAGATGAGTGGTTGAAGGGAATGGCAGTGGCTAATGAAGACACACAAAATGAGCAATCGGGCAAATATAGCAGATGATTGAGGGCTCCTACCCATTAAGGTTTGACAGGAGCCCAGCTAAGCCATCACTAGTGAGGCGGTTTTAGTACATTCACTGGTACTATACTGCACCTCTGGGGACATGTCGGAAAGGTGGAGGCCCTCAGCGGCTCTGATTGTCTTCTTATAGGGAACAATGTTTCTCTGTTATTTTTCAGCAGTGATGAACTACAAGCATGACAAAAGTCCACCGTTACCAGAGAAATGTGGCATTTAAAAAAGTTGAATATTAAAGAATATTGTCAAAATCTACTAAACTGTTTTATCAAATTCAGTACTTGTTAGACCTTTGACTAAAATAACAAAGAATGGATAGGTAAGATACTTAACCAAACAGATAAAAACATCCAGTCACCACTGCATGAAAAACAACAGCAGAAACAGTGGTATGAACTATGAACCCCCAACTCCCTTATGACGTGCACAAACAGCTGGATAATGGACACGATGCATCAATGAAGTCAGACCTTGAAAAGTGCTGTGTTTGGTTTAGAACCACAGTTACAACTATAACCCCTCTCAGAGCTGTCAGGAATGAGTATGTTTATAACTGCAAACAGTACGAGTATTGAATATAAGTTTCTTTATATACAAAATGGTACATTTATATACATACATGTATACAGTGTTCAAATGAATGTGGTTTGTGCGAGAATGAATTGAAGCCAATACATTCATACTTCTCTATCATAAATCTCCTTTACTGTTTCTTCTCCACATGCTGTTGGACTTAAAAGTCAGTCAAAAATTATAATCGTAAATAATATTAGCCAGGGACAAAGTCCACTAAGCATTGAGACAGTGTCATCCATACAGTACTCCAAAGGAATAGGCTTTCACAGATTTCATTATAGTTTGTTGTCATAACTATCTACTTTTTATCAAGTTATTACAGTTACTTCTTTACGCTTTGTTCACCGTAGAGAAATCTTTTGTGAGTTAGTCATTTTCTAAATGCCCATTTCCAAAGGAACTGGCTACAAAATGGATGAAGGCCATGGGAAAGGAATGCTTTTATTGGAATAACTAGAAATTAAATGATATATCAATATATTCTTAAATAGTGTATTCATCTTTGATGCATTCATTACAAAACTAGGGTTTATAAAGGTATTCACAGTATTTTTTCAGTATACTCAGGTGCTTAAGAGAATGTTTCTACAGGAAGAGAAACTGGAATGAACATGAACTATTCACTTGCAGAAACAGACCAACTTATGCCTCACCTCACAATGGCTGATTATTGACTTTATCATTAAGTTACCCTTATATTTCCAATCATATTTAATTGAACTATCTTTTTATCTCAAGGTTGGGTATCTATGACGGCGGAGGAAAGATGATGCTGCACTTGTTGGCACTTGAGGATCTAAACATCAGCCACATGCTCTCTCACATTCTTATGTCACTTCATTCTGGTGTAAAACATATTCATTCTCTTTTATTCCATGGCTAACCAAGACACTTATTAAAAGATTGTTTGAACAACATTGTAACATGTTCAAGAGATGACAGACTGTGTCTGCATAGAGTAAAGGGACATCCAACAACTCCTCTGCCCTGTCTTTCTTGGTAAATGTTTTTACCTTGGCTTCTTCATCTCATTTTACAGTATGCTTAGAATGGGAATGATTAGAATGACATAGACAGATATGACATGGGCCCACTGGTGTACTTCCTGCTCCACAGTTCTAGACTGGCGCTTCTGTGACCACCTGTGTGGCCAAATGTGTCTGGCTGCTTTTGGATCTTATGCTTTTTGGTGATCTCCCATGGGAAATCCTCAATTGGAATTGGGCTGGCCGGGCTGCCTGAACCCTCTGGCGTGCTCTCAGGGGTTCCCTCTATAATCTCAATTCGGGGTGGATCCATCAAGTCCATAATGCTGAAGGGTGCTGGCTCTGGTTGGCACATCACCGACTTGTCCTCTTTATTCTGTCGAATGGACCAACTTGAACCTGCTTGAATTCCTACAGACACTCTGTCGTCCGTTTGGGTGGTGCTGTCACTGCACGGCTCCCGGCACAAAGTCCACATGTTGTAGCACTGAGTAAAGTTGAAGAAGTTACTGTTGAAAGTCTTCAATTCCCCACAAACATCTCTACGCAGCTCTGCGAGTTCATAGCGCATTGCTGATATTTCATCCTTCCACTGCAAATTGAAGGCAGCAACCATGTTAGCAGACTCTTTAAAGGCCTGTAGGGCCTGAGGGAGCGGCGGCTCGGAGGATACGGGAGAGACAGAAGGGATCCTGTATGACGGCGGGGATGTCGGTGGGACAGAGATGGCTGTAACAGTCGAGCTAGTACTGTGATGGCTGCGAGCAGCAGCAGTCTCTCTCTCAAGCCTCTCCAGCTCCACATAGGCAGAGGAGCTAGCACCGTCATCATCCTCTATCATGTCTTCATTTAGTAAAGAGGTCCCATCCAAAACATCATATCCCTCTGTAAGAAAAATTTGAATATGCAAACAGAAGGACATTCAAAGTGAAAGGAACAGCTGGAGTGTGATTTGATTTGGATTCATAGACATATATCTATGGAAAACATACAGTATGTGAGTGGCAGGTAATCACAAAGACATACAAGGTCGGACCCAATTATTTTCTGTTTGGTACTAAAGATTTAAGTGTCTTGGATTAGCTCCAACCACTGACTGGTGTGCTGTTTAGATGCTGCTTTGTCCAAGACGTAACTAAGTAGTGTCATATTAAAGAAGACATTATCTGTCCATGTTTGATCAATGAGTTTGTTTGCATGGACAGTGAGACAGTATCACGTTCATGATCAGGTTTTTGAAGTGTCCCATGTATGTGTTTGACCGTGTAAACGCCATATCCTGTTTTTAGAAACCTGCATCAGCCCTAATCTCGTTTTGTGAAACCTGAATATGCTAGCTTGAATATTCCAAAAGAGTTATAGCTTTTAAAACACTAAAAATGGTGCCAGCCTGAAAGGGCCACACAATCAATCAAACATTAATCTTATTCAGGATCCATCACATATCCAATCTATTGCTTCCTAAACTGGTAGTTGGCCACCAGCCGGCTGTTTTGGCTTCACTTTTGGGGAGCCATCCTGCCTCTGCAGTTTGGGAGGATCCTCTCCCTGGTGCTAGCTGGGCCCCTCAGGTACCTTTCCTTGGTAGGCTTAGAAAGGCCCCTTCTAAGTGGCTTGCAGCTGAGCTCTTCATCCACTGCTATTGTACCTTGCTATATGCGATAGTGACGGTGACATGCTAACTCCGGTCAAGTGGAAGACTGTGGGTGTTTCTCAATCGCGAGTACGCTTGCTTGGTAGCACATGTCTGCCGAGCATCTTGCTTCAGAAGCGAGTCAAGAATACTTCCTGGCATTCGGAAAACGAAGAGTGGAACACGCTAGCAAGTGTGCAGGTGTGCGTCATATGAGAGGCCCCGCCTTACATCTTCCGCCACAGATTTGGGGAAATTGGTCCGTGCGCAAAGCATTGTGGGGATTTTAAGACCGCGGAGTCTACTCATGTGCAGCCTCGATATTTCTCCAAACGGAGTACGCCGGGCTCGGTAGATTTCCAAGTATGCTGGAGATTGGAACAGTACTTCGGCGGCACTCAATGACGTAGTATGCTTGAAATAGTGGCTCTGAAGCAGCTTTACTTGCGATTGAGAAACACCCAGTGTTGTAAGAGTATTGTAGCTCTTTTTCAAGAATAGCTCAATGCGTAGCAAATATTTGGTCGAGTGAGAGGAGAAATCATAGTAAAGCTGTCGGTAAATGTCCAGTGGGACGGTTTGCATCCACAAATAGACTGCCACAATGTTTAACCGGGATATTAATATATATTGTGTATATGGGGATATGAGCGCATGTGAAAATCAAACCTGGAATATAATCATAACCATTGGAAGCATTAACAAGTGATACTCATGTCCATGTAAACACACTCACTCTTTGTAAGAATTATAATTATTTTCTGTTTTTTTAAGTTGCTTGTAATCAGTACATCAGGTTAGCTCCACGTAATAGGGCTTCTTTCTGCCAGAGCCAGTACAGAATATACAGCAACTTTTTCAAATGGGTTCTTTAGTTCCTTAACTTAGACAAAAATGATGGTCATTTAACTCACATACTGTAGGCTTTTCACAATGTTTTTACACTGCCTTCTCAGTCATCTCAAGGCTTCTTTCCATCTTTTCACTGCACAGCACAGCAAAGACTGGAATTAAACATGAAATACAGAAATCATTATCAAATCATTAATCCATTTTCTGAGAACCCTTTTGTCAATTCATGTCAAAATGTTTATTTTTGTGCCGTTTTGTGCAAAAGAAAAGATGTAAAGGGAGTAGAAGAATCACAACCCACTGGGTCAAGAAGCAGATATGAACCCTATTGAACATATCAGGTCCAAGATGGTTGATTAGAAAATGTGAAGTAAGTAACCCGGTGAGGGGAGGGGTCACTCCCCCCTTCAGGGCTGCACCAGGGAGAGGCTGCAATCCCACAGTCAAAGAGAGCTGACAGACTCAATGCTAAAGCTTAGACTGCCACATGGGGCTTTTTTTTTTTTTTTAAAGAAGTCAGAATTTCATGGAAATAAAAAGTTGACACATTTACAGCAGGCACATGCTGATCTCACAAGTAATTGGAGACAGTGGCAATACGATTACATTCAGTGCTATTTTATGTTTGCCATATAAAAACGTTCTGAAAATTCAGGAGGTACATACATTTACACTTACAATGTGGTGTAAGCACACTTAAAATAGAGACATGGTAAACAACTCACAAAATCCAGCGTCAAATCAATCACTAATACATATTTAGAGCTATCAATGTTTTAAGAGGAAATCGGAAGCGTCTGAGGTTTTATGAGTTGTTTAGATCCGTGTTTGATACTTTGGATAATATGAGATATTTCTACCAACTATATATTTATGAACTCTATGTTTCTATAATTTAATGAGAAGGCAGTGCAAAAACACACATATACATAGATATATGTATGCGTGTCAACATTAAAATACCTGCAACACTCATCACTGATGCCTCCAGTTGTTCATTCCACCTGGTTATCCTTCAAGAGATGGATGGTCAAATGGAGAGGGGTTTGCTGCTCGTCTGCCCTATGGAGCATCATGGGGGCCCTTACCCACTTAGGGGCCCACTAGCCTCACACGGGGGTTCGGTTCATAAGCCACTTACAATTGAATTTTAAACTAGCACTAACATTAAAAACATGATTCCAGGAATCAATGTTTGTCTTAGCCAATGTAGCCTGTTATGTTACTTTATTCATTACCACTATGTCCCCAGAAGAGTGCAAAGAGTACACCAAAGGAGAAACATAATTGACTGTATAGCTTTTACTGGGAGGTGACAGTACTGTATATAATTAATCACTATTCAGGGAACACTTCCTCTGGGTCGCTATACATTTATCTGACATATTATAATTGATGCATTATGCCAATCTTCAAAATACATCTTCACAACATATTGTACAGTCAACTGATTGTTTTAGTCCACATGGAGCTAACAGAATTGGAGCAGAGAGTTAAATGAATAGAGTTCAGCAAATAAGACAGTGGGATTGGAGAACACTCCTTTTATCTTCAGTACTTCTGTCACATCGAAGAAATCGTTGATGGAAACCCAATTGAAGATGAAAGGATTCCAAAAACAAAAGTCCAGATTGCACAAGAAAACAAACCCACAATATGAGTAAAAGTTCAAATGTCTCCAATGTTAATTTGACAGGAAATTGTACAAAAACAATAAAATCCAGGTTATAATATTTAAAAATGCAGGTAATTGAAGAAAAATGTTTCAATAGGGTTCATAGCTTTACTCTTGCAGGTAAACACCAAATGCACTTAGTGAGGGAGTTTCTGCAAAGACTCTGTTTGCACAAAGAACCTGTTGGGCTAATTTTATATTGCTCGCACTGTGTCGCACAAAACCTTGAATCCTTGCAATGTTGTATTAAAAACAGCATTTAGGACCAATAAATATGCAGGTCCATAAACACCATGTGCTCATTTCAGAACATGTTGAGTATTGGTCCATTTTCATATTGAAGTTAAAGCAAAAACATAACTATGACCATTCAAATGAAGTTTTCTAAGATGGAAACTTGCAATGTAACGAACTTACAATTTATGAGTTATTTAGACTAAGATTGCTGCTTAGAGGCTTGAGTTTCATGCAACACCATACAACAATACTGCAAATAATCAAAGGTTGTACACCTCAAACTCGAATATGCCATCAGTATACGGTTCCTTTGTGCAACCAGCATGTCTGTTTTGTTTGTGTCTGTGTGCACACGTGTTCTAATCTAGAGGTTATTGACTTACCTTTAAATGGTTAAAAGATTGTTTTTTAAATTTGAGTACTGTATGTCAATGACCAGGTCAGTTACAAAGCATGTGTAAGTGCAACAGAGCAGGGGGAGGACAGGCGGAGAGCTTGTCCAGTGTATACTCTCAACACCAATATGTCAACAACCCACCGCTCCCCTACCCCTGGCCTGTTTCGGTTTTTATCCCTCCCTAAGTAATTAACACTTTTCGCACAACACATATATAACACCACAGTTTAACATGCTTAGGGTAGGATCTGTTCCTCTTAGGCATGCCATGTAATGTGGCTGTGCTGTAGTATTGTGTACTGTGAGCGTGTGTTGCTCAGTGTTTTTATGCGACCCTCCCACCCTTTTTCTGAGTCTACAGCTTGGCAAAACCACAAGTGACTAACCAGAAGCTTGGTTAATGATGCGTGAATCGTGCAAAGTAACACACAAGCAAATCCATCTGAACAATCGGGAGTATGCAGAGGCAAAAACAAACACAAGCACACCATAGCTTCCAAAGAAAATAACTGGGATCATTCATCTGGCATCTCTGAAGCTCAAGGGTTCCCCACTGTACATATGTAGGTATGTCAAGTTTGCGCATGTATAGGAATATGAGGATGTGTAGTCTAAGCCCTCTCTCATTTAGGGGGGGGATTGTTTTACCTGTTGTGGATCTGAGAGTTGAAGTGACAGTGGAGGATGTCATTGAAGGCAAGCAGTCGTCATCTTGGGAATAACCAGCCTGAATTGCACGGAGGTAACTGTGGCTTCGAGTGCGGAACGAACCAGGCAGGTCCAAGGCTTCCATGGCCTGGGATTCTACTTCACTAAAAACGGACTCGCAAACTGACTCAAACTGGCCATTGATCTCAGTCTCACTCACCTGAGAGACAAAAACAGGAATAGCAGTCCTTAATTTTTCCTCGTCCTTTCTCTTTCTCACTTTGATTCTTCCCCTTTGCACAGCAAATATGAAGGAGTGTTAGCGTATGGAAATGCCACTGTCATTCCGACCTTAAACTGAATAAATGTCAAGATCAAATGGAAAAAAGGCAGATGACAACAGAAAACAATCAGAAACATTTTCAGTTTGTGTTGTAAAACATTGCATTCACCACATATCCCATGACTAAGATTGACTGTATACTGTGTTACTTAATGATAAATAGAAGAAACACTAGCTCTAGCAAGTCTCTTACAAATCTCCACATTTCTTAAAACTGACACAAGATAAAATTCATGTATTCTTCTTAAGAACATGCAACACAATTTCTGTCTCTGTCTACATAATCATGTATTTTCAGTTTAATAAATACTTAGGAGCTAGGTGTCCCTAGAATTTAAGAACTATTATTTTGTTTAGCACCAACAGGAGTAAGCTCATTGTACAACCATTATTTTGGACAAAACCTCTCCTCCTCTTGTTACCCCTTCTCCTTATCGAAGTTGTCTTGCTGTGTCACAAATCGTCATTGCAACCACCTCTTTTGCGACCATGGAGGTCCGAAGTAGACATGCACAATTGTTCCAACTGTTTAAATTTATAGCAGGGAATGAAAAGGTAATAGCTGAAAAGGTTGCTGCGTTGTGGTTAAACAGGAAGTTACTGTGTCTCTAATCCTAGTATCCAATTCCTAACATTAGTAGTAGAAAAATAAGCTCCGTTAATCAAAACAAACTGCTGCTTTTGGCACCGCAGCAGTAGAGTGATGAATTGTTTATAAGTGCTCTCTTCCAGATCTTCATGGGCCAAATCAGGATAAAGGCTATTGGATGTGAAACTAATATCTTTTTTTCTCAATTATGTACAATTTCACGGTTCTTTAACACGAAACACTTAAAGAAACTAACCGTTAACAACAGAATAATGTGTCTGAAGCTTATCCAGAGGTAGACTATCCGTTAAATTATCAATTTCAAGTCCACAACAGCACATTAATGATGCCATCAGACTTCAGTTGAGACAGACATAGCTTGTCTACTAATCAGCTGTGGACCTCCAATATGGACACCTGTATCTGTCTGGATGTGTAAGTCCTCTACGCAAAGCTACTACATACAATACAACATAAAAAAAAGCTCTCATTAGTGTCTCCAGGTGTTGCCTCTGTGCGATGTATGTGTTTAAGACTCACCTGGCTGACGCAGCTAGCCTGACTGAGGGTGCTGACGGCGCGCATGTAGCTCTGGTTGCGAGAGCGGTAGGGTGGGGGGTGAAAGGAGGCAGGGTCCAGCGTGACACTAGGGTGGGGTCGCATTTCTCTTGTTTGCAAGTGGTAGCCCTGGCTGAACAAGGACAGGGGGTAGGGATGTGGATACGAGTGTACAGTTCAATATCCAGACATGGAACATCGCTGGATAATTATATAATTCACAAATCTATTGGCTAGAATGTATCTAATCTACTCTGAGTCTTCTGTGTGGTAGTAGTTCATGTTTGAGCTTTTTTGATCCAAAATGAATCAGCCATCAAATGACTCATATCTAGTACTATTTTTAGTGACTTTTCAGCTGTAGTTTAGCTCCAAGTGTCCTATGAAAAACAGACTTCTATCACTATACTGTAGGTGAAATGTGTATGGCTTTTCTCTGGTTCTCAAAAGAAACAAATTAGGACTTGGAGCCGCAATAATACCAGTTTGTCAGAAGCCAAAAAACAAGGAGGCTGATTTGTTTGTGAACCAAAGCTGAAGTGGGCTTTTGGCCCCCTGCGATGATCCTAACAGAAATAGCACTGAGTGGCACTAGGGAGGAGAGGTGCATGACGCCTCCCCAGGTTCACCAAATTGTGCTTTATCTGAAAGCCACACTGCCTGAATAAAAACACCGAGAACAAAAAGCCAAAAGTTAGTCAAAGCAAACTGAGCAACAGTAAGCATAGTGGGAATGTGAAGGTGAAACAATAGCATACTCTACTGTAGGTCACAAGTTTATTCTTTTCCTGGATTTCCATCTTCAAAAGATGCATGTCACCAAAGAGGAAATGCATGTCTGGAAATAATCAAAGAGCAACTAAACACCACCTGAACATCTTTGCTGACCTGCAGTGGAGTAGGAAGATGTACCACTACAAATAGACCCTACTATTTCAAGGAATCAGAAATATACCCAACTCTTTGCTTTACTACCAACCGAACACATCTCTCCTACCCTCATACAGGGTGTCTTACCATTTCAATCAGTAACTTTAATTGATATCCTTCTGTGTGACTATGATTTCCCCCCACCTACTAAGCCCAGGTACATTTCATCCTGCTCTCTTGAGTCTGACGTTGTGTAAACTTGACTGTTTTGCTACAGGTTTGTACACAACAATATGATCAAATGAGGAACATTGCTTTTGTAAGATGTTGGACAAATATTGAAACTAGCAGATGAAAAAGGTCACGCAAACAAAACCCATTTGGCACTGCAGCATTCAGCCGAGTACTACTTTACCCGATCTCATGAAACATTTGCCAATCGAATACTTTGCCAACAATGCTCAAGAGCAACTTGGTGAAGTGGTTATAAAACAAGTAAGTACAGCCCAGCTCTAAATAGCCAGTGATCTAAGCTGGCTGGCATAAAATGATGTAAGAAATGATAACCAAAGCTCTACTTCCTTGTTGCCAAGCAACTTCACTCCGAATCATGAAATAATGTAAAACCTCTTCAAATCTCAGCTGAGCTGCATCAGCAAACGGCAGCTTTACATGGAAAGCATCTAGACATAGTGAGTCATTGTTAGAGGGGTCAGATTTAGTGAAACAAGTAGGCTGGGGCTGACGGTAAAAATTTGAAGTAGGTTTATAAAGAAAATCTTTAAGTCTAGACATTTTACAAACTTTTTAAAAATGATTTAGAAACCCAAATGCTCTCGCTTTGAACACATCTACTAAACACTGAATATGTTTTTACCACTGAGGTTTTGTTTCAGGAACATCATGTAGTTAGAAGTTGAAGTGCATATAAGTTGTACATGCTCGATTTCTCTCTCAAATTCATATTGCCAAAGCATGAATTATTCCATGTGGTGCGAGAGCTGTAGAAGTGTGTGAAATAGTTGCAGTACGCAGGGTTTTCCTCCGATTTTTTGGGGGATTAGGGGTACTGTTGGGGTGGGGCTTTGGGGTCCTCCCTTGAGAACATTTGTTACCTTTGTCCAGATGCTCTCTACTTTGTTTTTAGCGCACCGTAGCAGTAAAATGGCAGAGAAAACCCAGGTACTGACAAACTATAATTCCTCACTTTGATTAAGTGTGCTGATCAAAGGCTTGGAAGATATTTTTGTAGCATTGGTAAAGCTTGACAAAACCAGCACCTGCACCAACACGTAATTTCTGCGACCATAATTGTTTGTGTGCATTTATAAATGTGTAACACCGTGAAGCTTAACCTTATCCATTTCTACTGACCTCAGTCTATGAACCCTTTTGCAGCTAACTGTGTCAGTCACTGTAGACAACCTTCCAATATCTGACTCCTACTGTACAACTCATTCAAGACGCACTGAAAACCAATCTGATCACCTTCCATGCAATCATTAATAGCATCATAAAAAGCTGTTCATTGTACTCATAAAGCAACCATCAATATCTGAGCCATTTCCATTGATAACAATATATTTTCAAAGAAAATAAGGAGAAAGGATCCTTCTAACATGGGTTTAAAAATAAAAGAGTTACAATACATTGAAATCTACACAGCTGTAGTGTGGACATATTGGGCTATGCAGCCAGGCCTACCTTTGGGAGTCTAGATGGGGTCTCTGCATGGCTGATTTGAGGACGAGAGCATCTGGCCGAATGGCTTTCTGTGGGGAGGTCTTAGGGCTGGCGTCAGAATCCCCACTTTCATCTTCCACCTCTCCCATAGCTTTGACATAACTACTGCTGCGCATCCGCCGACACGGGATCTCATCATCCCCTGGGTATCCAGCCCATTCATCCTGGGGCACCTGTGGGAGATAAAACACCTTTTATTGAATACTACATATTCATAATCCTATGAAATATTTACTTGTTTACCCTACATCAGAGATATATTATTTGCAAGTACAATAGGGCCCAATTAGCCAAATGGGTGTGAGAAATGTATCAGACAAGTAGTCAGATAAGCTCTGGCTGTTTTTTTTCCCTAACAATAAATTAAGCTGATTTACAACCCTGGTTTCAAGCTGCACTTCATTTGATCCCCCTCGGAGCCTGGGCTCTCAAATTAAACCAAATGCTTAACCTTAGTCCACCCACGAGAATCTCAACGTTAAGTTCCTGTCTGCATGATAAGGCACTTCTTATCATTCTTATAAAAACAGAATGACAAACTAAGTTAAATGACTTAAGGAGTAGCTGTCAACATGGGCCACTACTAGAGGTGTGAATCTTTTGGTATCTCACGATTTGATTAAAAAAGACTCGTGCTTATTTTAGGATCTATTCTGGCATGAAACTGAAGTGTGTGTGTGTAACCTATAATGAGGAGTTGTTGTGTTTGGAAAAAAGTCAAGTGATTTCAATAATCAAAAGTTCTACAAAAAATAAAGTTGCCTCTACACAAATAAAATCGATGTGTATCAGAATTTAACAAATAAATTGATCACAAAATAACACTGTGAAGCCTCTTAAGGGCCTCTTTCATTATTATGTGCAATATTGTAATGTGACAGTGATTCAAGCTAGCTTCTTAATTAGCTTTTTCTCAACACCTCTGCCAGCTGGGTCTTTCTTATCCTCGGAGAGTCGTGGGTTTCACACTTCCGACAGCATCAGCTGCAGTTTTTTTTTCTGGACTAAACACAGAACTGGGTAACTACAGTGTTATTAGCATGATGTTGGCTGGAAGTGTGTGGGTGTTGGTGAAGGCTTTGTCCCTTCTGTATGCCTTCAAATAGTGGGTGGGAATAACAAGGAACACTGCCTCCTGGGGGGGAATTGGTCATGGCCTGTGGGTTTAAAAATGCTGTGCTCTGGGTCATTAGCAGGACCTTAGCAGCAAGGCTTATGTAGTATATGTATGTAGTAATATAGTAGGTGTGTAGTATGTTTTTATATGGGTTTCCCTCAGATGTTCAGATGTATTTGCTTAGTCCAAACATCTTGATGATTGTCAAAGTATAGCATATCAACTTCTATCAAGAAATTATTATTAATATTAGGTTTGTCAGTTTCCATTTGGACCAGGTCAGCAGTATGTCAGCACATCATTTTAACAACTAGACAACTTTGATATTATTCACAACTTAACCTTCCATTCATTAATGTTAATAAAGTCAATGTTTGTGGTTCGGAAGAAAATGAATATAGAGAATTCATCAGCATGTTTCGATGGAGCTCAAATACTACTTTACATCTGCACGATCATCAAACCAGTTGAATGGAAAGGGTGAAAGAACCTTTTAGAATAGCACTCGTCTTTCAAATCAAAACATGAGCATACTTAATTCAAGGATTTGTAGAAACAGATTAATAGCATTTCCTTCACACTCTTGGCGCTGATGCAGTTTGTGTGTTTTTATGCTTGCACAGCTAAGACTGCCAATCATTGCCCTGAAGCTTGGGCTGTAACTTTTAAAACGGCACCATGTCATGAATGCCACAGCATTTCTGATAATACAGAATAAATTGCTCTTAAAGGTCACCTATCATGCTATTTTTAGGCAATACTGTAGCATAGGTCTCAGATATATAAAAATATATGAAAAACATGTCTATGAAGTGTTTTGCTCAAAATACCAAACAGATCACCCATTCTAGCCATGCCTCATATCCCTCTATTTCACTTCCTGTTTCAAAAGTGCTGATTTTATGTATAAAGCTTTAAAAAAAAAAAATTGATAAAAAAAAAAGGAGGGGGCTGAGCTCATGCGGGACCCGGCAGCTACTGTCTAAACTAAATACTGCGGTGATGAAACGCCATATCATGGATTATCAAGGATTCTTTCTGAAACAGTATGGAGCTCAAAGGCTTTCTCTCTTGCCGGTTATACCACAAGGTGAGTTCCTTTTTATATCCTGCTTCTTCACACACATGCTCTCCAGTACAGGTTAGCTCTGAGTGTTAGCGATGCTAATGTAAACACCGACCATATTACATCCAAAACAGTCAGGCATTGTTTCTGATAGCAACGTTTCTGATAGTACCGTGGGTGTAAAGCCAGCCTACATTTCCGATATTACGTCATATCGGACGCAAATCTGGATCAGCTCCGTTGTAGCCCCGTTTTTAGAGATTTGGGTACGGAGGAAAAGAGAGGGTTTTATTTTCTGACGCTGCGTGAGTTCCCCGACACACCGGGGACACATCTTGATGTACTGTATAAAAGACATCAAAAAGTGCATTTTGCATGATAGGTCCCCTTTAAATTAGCTTTGACTGACAGCAAAAGGGGCACAGCTTTAAAAAAAATGATATGCAGTACCACGATCTAATCAGAAACTACAGAAATCATCAGCTTTCAAATGTTTGTATAATCACAGCCATAACATAATCTAGTATGAATATTGATGTGTGTAAACTGTGACTATTCTTAAAATGACAGCCTCAGGATTACATAGTGATTAAGTGATTGCGTGCTAATTACTGTACACTGCGGTGGTCTACACATAAGTTCATGTAATGAAAACCAGGCTGTATTAATCAGATTTTGATGTGATAGAAATATAGGTAGAATATGACTACCTGCAAAAGAATAGAAAATGAATGGTTTTGTTTTTTAAATTGGAGTGATTGATTGCAGGCTTAAACATATAAAAGTATGTTTTTTTTAAGATAATGATTCAAGAAGTTATTTGTAAAATCAGGATGGAACATTGTGATGCACAATATCTGCATTGAGTCTCATTTAGAGACATCATTTCAAATCGAGATCGTTTCCATTTCCGGTTTGTGATTGATCTGTAAGATTAACAAAACACTACTTTGGTTTGAATTTGACTGTTGAATGAGACTGAACTGTGATTAATATATGTCAAATTATTCATAGGATTTAAATCAATGATCCCAGACACGATGAGGTTTTGTGTTCCTGAAGATGGTGATTTACAATGGCAATGTGTCACCCTCTACATGCTGGGGTACAGTATTGATCAGTGGAGCAGTGAGTATAACACAGTGTTGGTGTGTGGGGCAGCTGCTGCAGTCGTCCCAGTGGACCGGCAGCCTCAGCTCTTGAAACAACAGCCCCAGGCACAGGGCTGCCCCGAACGCTCTGCCACTTACTCACTTTACCCAATCATCTGCTCTTGCTGTTTCTCTGCCACAGTGGATGAATTAATCTCACACAAAGCAGAGAGGCTGATACCCCCTTTGTTCACCTAGAGGTAGAGAAATGCTTTCTCCATCACACCGGGTATAGGATGTGTATTTTGTCAAATGTGTAACCTTTTTTTATTTGTTATCTTTAAGACTTTTGTATGCATGCTTTAGGTAACATTAAGCTGTCTTTGGCTCTTTTCTGCTGTAACAATGTAAATGTCCCCTCTGGGGGACTAATAAAGGTATTCTGATTCTCACTATCGGTTCTGGTATTTCTTTTAACACCCAAAATTCTCTCTGATTTGACGGCTCGCTTCAGTGGGGCAGACGGGTGGAAGACTTGACAGCATAAGGCACTTAAAGTGATGAACATGTTTCCGCTCTATGGGAGGTGGCAAATGGGAAAATATAGAGGGATTTAGAAATGCTAATAATAGCACCTGTGTCTTTACAGCATCATTAATCTCGTATATTTTACTCTGATGTGTTTACCGAATGTTTTTGTAGTCAAGATGGAAAGGGTTCTGAAGCATTTAGACCATATGCTACTATCTCTCCTTTATATCCAAAAAAAATGAACTTCTTTTCGCAGCTTTACCCATTGACATTTTGCTATCCTACAACAGCAGAGTAGGGACATGAGGTTTGCTAATATTGTGATATTAGGCAGCATCTTTGTGTCATGTGCTTAAAAAAAAGGTAGAAGGAATTAGCTGACCTGTCTTCCTTTAAAAACCTATCAGTAAAACTATCACGCAAACTAATCTGCTATGCATACATTTATTCTGTCCCACATGAGTGGAATAAAATGCAGCAATTGTCTGGAACCTTAATGAATCAGGTTTAAAGACGGCAATAAAGCAAAAATAATAATGTACCTGCTTTTGCACGACCATTGATCGTCTGGGGCTGTAGTTAACAAGCTTCTCCCAATCTCATTAGCATTACCTAATGTTAGTGCTCATTTGATGCTTCACCTGAAGTAACATGTTCAGCTGTGCCTCTGAGGCAGCTATACAGGCAAGCTGTTTTGCACCATCATTAGTTACTTCTTTACACTGAGGATACTTTGTACAAAAATAACCTTGGGATGAAGCACATCCTTGCTGTAGAAGGTAATTTGGTACGGCCATGTACTGTAGCAGACAGTATTGTGTGTCTCTCACAGAATAAAATGACATTTACAAACTAAGAGAACAATTTCTACTTTCTAAGTGAATGTGTACCGTAATTTCTTCCCAGAGTTTGCTGATTAGTTGTTGGAATGATAAGATGTGTGATTTGTGACCCTACATTAAGTCTACTTAATTCTGAAGGAGATTTTAAAAGCTTAGTCGCCTGCTTGCTGTAACTGCAATGAGCAAGTACAGGATGTTAAACACTCCACTTGACTGATTATTACCCACTTCAGTTCTAGAAATGTCACCTGTGTCCTGTATTTATAGGGAAATGCTCTGCTGGTCTATTCTGGCAAACAGTAACACACTCTCTGAACGCACGGGGCCTCACAAGACATCATTTGTCGCAATGGCCACTGTACATTATATGGAGGACAGCAGCTTAACCTTTAGGGATATACAGCAGATTCTTGAATAGAGACATCAAGAGGAGACAAGGTTCCTCCCCAGATAATCTTTTTTAATTATCTGCCATTGCCTGGGAGATTTCATTATTGCACTAAAGCACTGCACTGGCTACATTTCAGACGAGGAAGGGCAAGAACATATGATTGATCTAAGCTAGGTGATTTATGGAATGCAGGAGACTTGCACAGAGCGCCTTAACTGCATGTTTTGGACTCTTTCTCACCTTGAAAACATCCTATGAGATCTTGGGACCAGGCCAAACAGTTACTTATTTACACTTTGTTTGCCAAGCTTAACCCAGTTAAAATAACGTTTTTTCTCTCAGACAGGTGAGCTGCTCCATTTGGTGATAGAACGAATTATATAACTAGCAAAAGTAAATCCTAAAAATGTAAAGGTTACAATATACAAATGCAAATTAATAGAAAATGAATGGTTTGTTTTTTAAATTGGCTCTTTGGACTTGAAGTGATTAAACAGGCTTAAACATATAAAAATATGTTTTTTTTAAGATAATGATTCATGAAGTTTTTTTGTAAAATCAGGATGGAACATTGCGATGCACAATATCCACATTGAGTCTCATTTAGAGCTCACAAGACATCATTAAAACTCATTTCCGGTTTGTGATTGATCTGTAAGATTTTCACAATAATTTCACCATGTGCAATGGTTACTCTGTTTGACATAAGCTTTACAGTACTCTCATGTCATCACAGCAGTTGTCGGCTATAACAGCTAGCCTGCAGTCCTGACACTTGCTGAAACAAGGTGATGTCAACAACTTGCCCAACGCAGACATCTCCTCCTCATCACAAGTGAGCGCAGACCTAAAGACCCCGACACCTAACAGATAGAAATCAGATGAGCAAACAGAGCGTTGCCCACATGCCTTAGTACAGCTCTCTCCTCACGTATTCCTCTGAATAAGGCTCTCAGTGTGGACACACTCTGTGCAGATTGTGCCCAAGTGGCAGCTGCAGGGTCTCAGCCTGCTGACACATGAGCTTGTCAAAAGCCAAGGAGAGAGCCTCTGTATTGACAGGCTTTCTGTCCCCATTGCACATAAACAACTTCACTTTGTGTCTGTGTGTGATTGTGCACTTCACATAGCATCAAAGTGCATGCACTGGGCAAAGATCCAACCTCTTCTGCAATCCTTTTTTGTAAGCATGGACAGAGATGTCTCTTTGTATGAAAGCTGCAGCATTCACTGCAATTATTCAAACTAAATGATCACGACAGTGCATGGATACTAGAGCTGCAAAACTAATCCAAAATCCCAATTGGGGCTGGCCAAATATTCAAATCGCAGGAGGTTGAACATTTGTTCCAGGCCAAATATGTTTGAATATTATTTTGAATTAAGGATTGTGGTGCTGCATTGATGTCCTGGCCTACAAATCACATTCAATGGACATAATAAAATATCTCTGTTCGTAAACCTTTAAAAAAAATCAAACCATGATCTTCATAAATATCAAAATCTTTCCATGATAATGAGTCATCCTGAATGATATTGCAATAGCAAAATCAGTCAATATAATTGCAATTAGTTATTTTTTTCAATAATCTGTATGGGTACAGTGTAACTCAGTTTTCAATTTCCTGTAGTTGGGTGTATATGCAAGTATAACGAATAACTTTTAGGCATTATTGGTGATGTGCGAGGACAAGAACAATCCTGACACAATTTGAAAAAGGGCTGGAGCAGAATAAACACAATGTAATATTAAGACATACATACTAACCCCTAACCCATTCACAGGGGGAGTTGGGCCAAGCTTGAATATCAGCCAATCACTTCAGCTCTGCTCATCTTGATTCAAGTAGAGTACACATTTTTCCAAAGCAGAGCTAACCCCTAAATATGTTTTTACGACTGAATCAAGTGCTGCATATTAAAAGTTAAAAGAGATTGAATCAAAGAGCCATAACCTCAAATACTTGGCTTTTGGCCTAGTTTTAGAAGTCAGTGCCTGTGGGATAGCAAATAAGAGGCTTGGGAAATCTGTGAACAACACAATTTACTCCTATATTAGTGTGCAACCTTCTACATCAACTCTGCCTTAACAGTATATTATTTTAGTTTAGACCTCAAACCTGTGTGTTTTCTTCACTGTAGTCTATCTCCGGTAGTCCTTTATTCTCAGAGTCTTACACCATGACATTGATTCTCTCAATTGATTTCTACATCTTAATAGACAATAGCTCCCTGAGGGGACTACACAAAAGGGAATCCTGGTTAAATATATTGGCTCACACTGGACACTGTAATTGCCCCCAGGAGAGTATTAGAATCAGAAGTGGAATCCAAAAGGCTTCCCTGGCTGGATTTCTGATCAATACATCAATCATTGCATTTACCTCAGACAGTTCTCTATAGGGATCTGTGGATATCGATCTCAATTATTGTTTGTTCTATTTTCAGATAGTTGATGTTCGTTGTATTGTCTGCCCTTGAACCCATGAAATTCCGCCTTGAAATATGTCTTAGGCCAGTTTAACTTTTGCAACACCTCTACTGAACGTATGTCAAGGTTGCATTGAAAATTGATTATATGTATACTAACTGGAATTGAGAAGAAAGTTTGAAAGTGAATTTTTCATTTCCTAAATTGCTATAAATTAAACCAATTATTGTATAAACTATTAAGCATAGTGATATCCCCATAGATAGTATAATAGACATGTCTACAGACAGCAACAGATCCTCTCTCTTAACTCATAGCTAACTGTTCATTCTATTGCAGAAAATCTCTACTTATTGTGAAACAAATCACCAGTTTGGTATATGGGGAAACACACCAGCAAAAACACATTCCTTTTATCAGAACCTCCTGAAACAAAAATGAAGTGTAGCACCCCATACCTGCAGGTAGTGACATGTCCGCGATGACTTGAGGTCCGAGTGCTTATCGAGATTTAGCGATGACTTCCTGTACGCCTCCTTGGCCTGGCTGACTGTCAGTGTCGACCAGGAGCTCCTCTTCATGAATTTGCCCTCGGGCGCCATGGCCATGCTCTCGCAGGCCATGCACTTGACATCATTGTTACTCTTAGAGGTCTTGAGTGACAGGTCTCCAAAGTGGTGGCTGTGCGTGGATTCTGGGTAGTAGTGGCTGACGGGTTCGCCGTGGTGCCGCGACATGACACTGGGTGTGCGGTAAGTGCTGTCACTATCGAGGTTGTCATCTGAGCTCCACCAGCCGCCAGAACGGTTCTTTCGTTCTTTGCTCTTGCTCCTCTTGCTACCGTGTTTGGTGGAGTGGTGGCCATGATGGTGATAACTTCCTCCTCCACCTCCCATGATATCACCCTTTGTGCCATTCATCTTAGACGATCCCTCCAGGGAGTGGGACTTGGTGAATAGCTTCTGGACAGAATGAACAAGGTGTCTGATGCGGCCAGGACTCTCGCTGCGCTCTGTGGTGGTGTGGGTGCGCTGGTACTGTAAGGTGTGGAAGCCATCGCGGTGTAACGGCATTTGTTTCTCAAACTGGTCGACTAGGTTAGCAGGAAGGCGGTTGCTCTTGGTGCCGGAGAGATGGGAGGAGGCGGCGGCGGCGGCTGCAGCAGCAGCGACGGCTGGAGATGTGGCTGAGGCTGTGATGGCAGCGCAGTCGTCCCGTGTGGCTGAGTCGTAATACTGAGAGCTGTAGTGCATTCTGGGGAAGGTGCTGCTGGAGATGTGGTCAGATGCTGCAGCAGGAGGCATCATGACGCCGGACATCATCATGCAGTCCGAGTGGATGGAGCTGCGCGGCGAGTAGCGGTGGTGGAAGTCCATGGGGCAGCTCTCTGTGGGGCTGAGCAGGTAGGACGAGTGGCGGGAGTCAGAGCCATGGTGAGGGTGGAGGTCATGGACGTGGGGGTCATAGTCCAAGCCATAGGGTAAAGGGATCTGGTGCTGGGAACGGCTGCCCGATAAGCCCTTCATGTTCCTGGCTGGAGGGAGCCGTCTGCCTTCATTGAACTTTCGAGACGGTGACCAATGTGGAACCTTCTGGTCTGTAGCAGAGAAGAGGAAAGAAAGACAAAGAAAAAATAAGATACAAGCGAGTTGGAGAGACTTACTCTTGTTGCTTTAGGTACATGTATATCATCCTTACACTTTATGCTGTTTCCGACACTATACACCAAGGGACCAATGATGCCAGTGAATACTCTTGAAATGGAGAAACTAGGTTTGGTGAGAAGTTGTATTACAGTACGCATCAAAGCATATTTTTCTTACAAAGTATTGAATTTAACTTCAGTTGTTTTCCAGTCCAATGAGGTAAAAAATGTGGATTAACCTAGTATAAAGGAGATAACTGGGACAATAATAACCATGATGCTTTGAATATAGTATGGAGAAGAGACTGTGTCAAATCTTATCTCATCCAGAAAGAAACAGCTTGGAGGTTTAAAAGCTCAATGAAAAGAAACTTGAATTATAATGTATAATTTGTCATAGTTTACTTATCTCCTTTAAGCTATGATGACTTGAATAATTTATAGGAATATTTTCACACAACTGATTTCATTGTTTTCCTTTAGAAGAGTTTAATTTATATCAGGGTCAATACAAAAGAACTTAACGGTAAAAATTACAGAATGATAACCGGTATGTCCTTTAGATATTCATTAGTGAGACATGATGAGTATGAACGATGGAAGTTAGCACAATATACTTGTGTCATTTACCACAGGAAATCCCTCTCTGGTCTTTATTGACTTAAAACACCGGAAGAGTTTTCCAATTTGAAGAAAATAAAGTGTATTTTAAATTACATGATTATCCATTTATACTATACTTTTTTCAAGGATTCAATGCTTTTATTGTCATTCGTACATAGCTACAGTGTAGTTATGTCGATGAAAATCTTAGGTCCCAAGCTCCTCCAACAGAGCAACACAATAAAACAGATAAAATAATGCAAGTAAATACAATAGAATAGAATAGAATAGAAGTAGTGCCATAAGAGTCTATATACAAGTGATACATAAGTTACAAACAGGTGAATGTTATGGATGTTGAATGATGAAATGCTGTAATCCAACAACTGATTATCTACTTACTTACATGCTTGACTGAGAGTGTCATGTAATACAATTAAAAGCAATTTATTCTCCATTTAACTTCCTCTCTGACTGATGCAATAATCCACATTTATATTCCTCTGTGGACTATTGAGATTCAAGACGGCATCTAAAATACGCACAGGTTTTCGACTAAATGAGTAAAAATCAGCAGAGTTTTTCAAAAGCATCTCTGATCATCCTTCCTGCATAACAATTAAAGCCCCCCTCTTACCACTATGTGATAAGAGCTGTAAGGTAAATGTAGAGACAATGCTAAAGCTTCCTGAGAGCCTACCATGCCCCTGTAATTAATTACTTTGAGTTCTCTGCAGCAGGAAACCCCAGTCTGGAACAGTGCACATCGTCTTACATAACATTTGGGATCTCTGATCTCACACCATTTCAAAAGGAGCCAGAAATAAAATTCACAGTTGTCATGGCAACCACTGCTGAAAAATCCGGGGTACTGTAATAGGATTTGCAAGGTTGTTTGGGGTGGATCCCAGTCTCAACAACAAAAAAAGGAGTAAAAAAAAGACATACACAGTATGTAATGTGATACAGAAACTACAGCTTGATTTGCCGTATGGACTGCTGTGTTTGGTGCAACGTTACAGATTGCATTCTGTGGAGTTCAAATGAATGATGAATTTAAGCACAAGCTTGAAGACGGACATACAAAACGCATCATGAACTGCACATTTGATAATCAGAGTGTCTCTCAAATCAGTGTTCCCCACTCCTCCATTACAAATGAATACAATTCAAGAAACACTTGACTAACCCTTAAAATCCAGTGTCAGTGGGATTTGTTGCGCTGCAGGTTTTTACAACCTCACTGAGTAGATGTAATTATTGTTCTCATTTGATTGATGTCTTTTCCTTGCTTCATATTTTGGAGTAACTACAGTAGAATAAATTAAACCCCACTGGTATTCATTAGAGGGTGAAATCAGCCAAATATCTAATTCATTTTCAGATTTAAACTTCTGTCTTTTTGCAGAGCATTTATTTTGTATACTATTAAAACACTGTGTAACTCCTATGAAGCAGTATTTGTAGTGTTGTAGAGCTTAATTGAAATAATCACTGTACAGACAATATAGTACCATCTTTCTGCGTTCCTCTCTTCTCTGTCTTATCTCATTTCCACCATCATCGCTCTCTGTTGTCTGCCTAAATCTCCTTTCACTATTTCTCAAATCCTGCATCGAGGTAGATTACATCGACCGTTGCTGAGGCAACATAATAGTCAAATTATAGCTTTCAGCAGAAATGAACGCACAGAAATAGTCTGTGTATGTACATACACATGCCACGCTGTGTTATGCACAGTATAAAGACATGCCTCATACATACATCACCTTCAAATAATGCATTATTTACCAGAGCAGCTGAGCATCCATCAACATATTGTTCAAATGCACATTCACGTATAGAGAGGATGGAAATTCCTTGTTGAGGCGACTCTTAGCATTTTTCTACAGCAGTTTCATCTGAATGTGTCAGTAGTGCTGCCCTCTACCTACGTATCTATGTCCTCTTTAAATAGCCAATAGTTACATCATACACTCTGTAAAGACGCTCACATTATAGGGTCAATCCCCTGTTTATACCAGTCGTGAACAGACACATTTAGCTGTCATATACCGCTACATGGCAACTTGAAGACTTTGAAATAATGGTGAACAAGACAGGACAGGAAACCTCCATGCTCCCACATAGTGGTGTCTGTAACACTGTCAGCCTGATCTGCATGTTCTCTCTGCCACCACCCCCAGCATTCTGATTACATAAACCCTCTTGAGGCGGATTGATCAGCCCATAATCAGCTGTTTAAAGACTAATCTTTCAACCCAGATTGGTCTCTTTAGCTATCAACCAACTAATTTCAAGTAGAGTCAATATAACAAGAATAGATTTCTGGAGAGACAGAAGGAAGAAACATAAATGCGTACAAGGTGCTAAAATGTTTTCAATCATTAAACAGATGTCGATTACGGCTGTAGTGTAATTATCTAAGAAGCATTCGCCCCCCATTAAGGCCACAGATTAGGAAGCAAGGGTTACTGTTGGTTAAATGTATCTTGATGTATTGCCCGATGAACCAATTGTGTATGTATCTCTGTACTTTCACAAAGTCAATATAAAGAGAAAGGTGAAGTTAAATATAGTCAAAGGTGAGCTTGACCAAAATACTTTAACAGGTCGTTAATCAGAAACTTAAGAGACAATCCTGACAAGAGATCCATTAACTGTACAAATGACTCCCAATAAATGGAGCGCACCATTTTGAGATCTTCTTCGGGCTTTGTTTTGACTTGGCAAATTGATTGATGCTTTTTACTTGAGAACATTGTAACTGGCAACATTTATCCTCCTAGAGAGCTATATCATCCCTGAAGTGATGAGATGAGCTGTCAACTCTCTGTAGTTTTAAATCTCTGCATTGTATTCAAATATGTGTTACAACTCAATATTCATGTCAACACCAACCATCTATCATAGTGAGGATGTGAAGGTGGTGCAGTCAAGTTATAGAGTTAATATCGTATAACAAACTTGGTACAGTATGACAACACAAACACACTCTCACTGTCTGCAGGAGGAGGCTTGTGTCATCCAATATGTGTAGCAGACTGCTCTGCAACCTCTACTGATGCAAAGTGACCAGAGCACTGTTCTCTGAGTGCGGAGGTGGTGACAGGGAGGCAGGGGTTGCAGGCAGGCTCAACAAACAGGTACGAAAAAATACTAGTTGTGTCACAGAGATGAGTGTGGAAACCCTGCAGGCAGTATCACAGGGGAGGGTGAGTTCCTCAGCTCCATCTTCAAACATACCACCCACTCTCCCTACAATGAGCTGATGCAACTGTAGATCACCTTTAGCCTCCAGCTACTCCGCCTGAGGTGAACCATGGAGTGTTTTAAGTGCTTACTTGAACAGACTTCCATGTGGCCACACTGCTCTTACTTCAGATTCTACGAAGTCACCAGTGTCAGTCCCCAGAAAAGGACTGCAGTCTGGTCACAAATAGTCCTCTGTGAACCAACCTGGACTTGAATGGTCTTCACATTTGCTTCAAACTATTTGTATTCCCACCCAACCCAACACGTTTGCAGCTTTTTTGGTCCATATTGTGTCTGTAAATCTGACATCAAGTGACAATATAATCTAATAATATCGGAGGAAATCTAAAAGCAGAAGAAAAAGAAAAGAGGACGTGTGGATTGGGAGAGATTGATGGATTTAGGGGAGAGGATTAAGTTTCTAAAAGGCTTTTGAGAAAATAAGGTGCAAGTGTGTTTCCCTTTTAGGGTTAGGGAAACATCTCATTAAAAGTTGCAATTGTTAGCAAAAGTAAAATAATGAATAAAATATGTTCATGGTGTTGACAACGAATGCTGTAGCTGGCATACTGAATGAAAATGCTTTTAGTAGTCATGATAATGTTTCCTTTTTTTGAAAAGTACTATACTGTACGTTCTATAAATGCAAATACTCCCTCTGGGCTCTTTAAGACCTCACATTGCAAGTCCATAAAACATTGATGAGAGCTTTCCTGTATAGCAGCTTATGCAACAGCTATTGTGGTGCATGATCAACAGGCTGTTTTCGCTGTGCCTCAGTAATGCTTTAGTCAGCACCTGATGCACCCTGTAAAAAAATGTTTTTCCTGACAAAGATGCCACACACTGAGTGGGGAGGGATTAGGGCTAGTGCGGAAGAGAAACAAAAAATTGGGGAAAGCCTCACTGCTTGCTCTGCTCTCTGGGAAACCAGCGTGCTGCTGGCTGCAGACTTAGAGCTCTGCTGCTATGCTACAGTCAGCGCCTGGCCAGCTTTTCCCAAGATGGTTGCATAACTTGGATTAAATTAGGCCTTCCTCCTCCACACCAATGCACGGCTAGCTAATGCCACAGGGAAGAACAGAGCAACAGGC